TACTTCCACCTTCTTTTATGACTGACTTTACTGTATATAAAGATACAGGTCTGGAATAACGATTTTACGTCACCACATGTCAACATATCTCTCTGGAATAAGAAATGAACGGCTCAACCTGCCTTTTAAAAATGCCGCAACCTTTGTGTACGATATGTATACAAAAGAGTTGCAGCTTTATTTGTTCATCCATAGCAAGTCGTGGATTTTATGTTGCACTTCAAACCAGCATACGAATAATATCACCCATGTGGCCCGCAATTACTAATTTGCTTCAGATAATAATTGTAGCTCAAATGATGTATTAATAAGAACTCAATATTTGAATTTAGCGCAATTTTGCCAGTCATGATGTCATAATGATTGTGACATGACAGATCGATAGTAGACAAGCGGGAGTTTATGAAAATGAATCATTACACAATAGAACAACGCATTCTAATTGTAAAAAATTATTATCAAAGTGGTGAGAGTTTAATATATACATGTTAGGAATGTTCAGTATTATTTAATATTTTGTGTTGATAAAAACATTGGATGCCTGACCAGTTTTTGTTTGGTTTTTGCAGCGGTCAGTCATGAACGTTCTGTTGACGAGATCAGATCTGAACTGTTTGTGTGCAATACAAGTACTGTTTTGACCGATAATTAGTTTAATTTCGACCTCAAGTTAACATACATATACTGAATTTTTCAAAAACCGCTTCCTTGATCTGCATCGTAATATAGTTATGAGTCTTGGAAAACTTCTAATACATTCGTGTACATTATGTCCAAAAGTTTCAGCAACTGAGAAACATCCGAAAGCGAAGTTTGTAAACGGTTTGATGTCGATGTGTATCCGCTCATTACCGCCAATAGAGTGGAACTGAGTTATTGCATACTGATCCCCAAATTTGATTAAAACAGGTGCGGGGGATTTTAACATTTCATGGCTACAAGAACGTCGACAGGCAGACCCAGAATGACACAGCGGCAGTCATGACATGACATCGGTTTGTGTCATTGAGATATTTTTGAACAACATTGTTTCATCAGTCGATGTACCCTGCTTAAAGAATGCTTGTGGCTGCTGGTTGAAGAATTCTTTTACGGCATTTTGTGCTTTAAAACTGCTTACCTTTTAACGCCTTTTTCAGTGACCCAAAGATGTGAAAATCGCAAGGCGACAAATCTTTCGTTGTAGATTTTCTTTTATTGTACAGGTTTGCGTTAATTTGGACTCTCGGTTCTGTAAACTCGCATTCGCGTATTGTTAACAACAACCGCCATTTTTAGATCACAATACTTGAAATCGCAGTCAAATACAAATGACATGACCTGATTAATGTGACGTTTACAAACATAACTAACATTGTGAGACGTCAGTTGAGTGATTAGAATTGTTTCCAAGGCTAACATGACCAAAGATGGGTTTCAATTGTATAAGCCTCGTAGTTTTTCGTCCATCAAAATACTTCCTCACCAGTAGGCGTGGGAAGTGAGTTTGTCCGCATTTATTACCATTCATCCCGTCATCAATACTTCCAAGCAACAACATACTGAGAATTACATGACGAGCATACAAAGGCACAGGCGTCGGGACACGGAGTGAAAAACCCTAAATCCCTCATCGATCAGGGCACGTAAGCCAAAGAGGGAACTCACACTAATGCGATAATCCGTCTGGAGTTCTTAAGAAATACGTGATAGTATTTACCTCTAAAATGTCGGTCTATCCACTGCTTATAACTTTTCATCTACATCAGCGCAATATCAGATTTTCTTATACAAAATAATCAAGTAGGCTGCAGGTTGTTATAATATGAAATTTTTGCTTTCAGGCAGGTATTGCTTATATCCAGAAAATGCGATTTTATATATTTATATTGTCGTTGGTTTAATTTTGAGTTGCTTTGGAAATGTGGACTGCCAGTTTTTGAAGGATTTTTTTTAGAATTGAGATTTGTAAGCGTTGCGGATAAATCAGTGGCTTGAAGAGCCCACATTGGGTGCTATCTCTCACAGCTGTACATCGGCGTAACCGTTTGCTCTGGTGTAGAGAAAGAATTATATGGGACCGCGAATGGAATCAGGTGGTCTTTTGTGACGAATCCCACTTCTGTCTGGGGATGCACGATGGTCCAGCAAGAGTGAACAGGCGACGTGGTGAAAGACATGACCCACAATTTGATAGAGAGCGTCACGTTCTCCAAACCGTAGAAGTTGCTATTGCTTATGGTAGCAGATCACCACTAATTTTGATCAGAGGCAATATGACAGCCCGACGCTATATTTAGGAAGTAGTGGAGCTTCATCTTATTCCATACATAAACACCATCCACAACCCGATTTTCCAGCAAGAGAATGCCAGACCGCATGTTGCCAACATTCTGTAACACTCCGTATAATCCATGAAAAACTTTCCCTAATATAATTGGAGGGATACCGGAGACACACGATCTATTGCAAACTCCACAAGTCTAGTAACCGTATACTTTTGTAGGGTGCTATATTCTTATTTGCGGAACAAATTGCTGTAAAGTGTTTTCCTTAATTTGGCTAAAACCTTTTAATGTCAGTCGAAGACAAAACAAATGCCAGCTGAAAGACGTTTAACTTTAATTCTCGCTACAAACCCATTTTTCTGTGACAAGAGAACGGACAGCTCAACATTGACCCAGAGGGCCTGTAAAATGGAATACGGTGAGAAGGGTATGTCATGTTAATTTGATGCCTACTCACAACCGACGATTCAGCGACCCGGACATTTCGCAGTTTGTACATGTTGCTTTTTGTTAACTAACCACTCAATGTATCGCCATTCGCCTGATTCTGGTTCGATTCAAATTATTCCATTTTCTACATACATGGTGTAAAGTTAGCAGTAGATCAATGGAAGTCAGGTACTCAAAACTTATCGAATGAACCCGTATATCTGTGGTCCGAACTTTCATACTTCAGGAGATATTTGCCATTTGTGAAGTTTCGAAAAAACGGGGTAATGAACTTTCAAATGCAATTACAACTAAACCATTAGGTTTAGGGCTGTGATTCTTTTTAAGATGAGCTAAATGGTTAGTTTTAGCAATGGTTATGTCCCCGAGATCGTGCGATTTAACACCTCTTGACTATTTTGTGGGGGGATTTTTGAAAGGAAAAGTGTATGCAAATGGTCCCCGGACAAGTCAAAACCTAAATTCGAACTGAAACTGCGGTCATAGACCCGATTATTCTGGGAAAAGTCATTGAAAATTTTGATGTTCGGATGTTGGCCTGTAAACGAAGCCGCGGTGGTCACATGACTGATGTTATTTTTCATACATAAATGACATAAACCAACCTTCATTTATCAATAAAAAAATTAGATATCACCTCGTAAACAGCGTGTTGATTTTTCAAATAGAAAAAAGTAATAGATGATGCACCCGTACGTTGCCAGACTATATGAACCACAGTTACTTCACCATACCATAGCGTAAGAATAGGTGTTATGACAGATTAAATTCCTCTATCTAGTAAAATTTAAACACATTTACGTGACATGTTAAAGCTAACATAATACTAATATATCTTCAATAAGGCGTTAGACACCATTCGCCCAACGTTTCATGGCAGAATTTATGTCCTAATCTTTCCTATAGTGATGGCCGGTATGAAAGATTCATAGTATTCAAGCTCATAAAGGAGGGTTATGTAACATCTCGACCAGTAGATGGATTTCTATATTTTGTTGCAACAGCCCAGCCTGAAAAGGATGCTATACTGTATACAAGAACATGTTTACAATCTCTCAGAGATACATACACGGTGGCCAGGCGCGGATCCAGGATCAATCCATGCGGGGGAGGCACGTAGTATGGGTCGCCTGCTTTCAGGGGGCATTTTCAAGCAGTGTGATACACATTTATTTTAAGGTTTCAATCAAAAAAAATGCGGTCTCTCATTCTCTCCCCTTTCCCCTTTCCATGGCGGAGGCAATGGCAGGAATCTTAATCTCATTATTCAGCAAAAATATGCGACTTCAAGGTGCCAAAAATCCACATACAGAGAGTATTAACTTGATTTTCCGCAAGTAAAACGCTCATTACTTCCTATTCAACTGACTTACTGCGTATACTGAATGCTGTTAGTATTCTGATAAAGTCATATAGGCATTAACCAAACCTTGTACGCCCAAATTAAAAAATATATTAATTTAAAATATTTTAATAGATGCAGGGGATAATAGGTTAGTTAAATATTAATTAAATATCCAAAGCACATAAATGTTATTGGATGTAATTATTTACAACTCATTGAAAGCCGATATAAATGTTTACCGTACTGCCACAACTTCCCATTATGGCCATTAGAGCACAGCAATGAGTGTGTCACCAATTTGAGTGCCATTTTATATAAACGAAGTTATTACGATATTGTGTAATGAGCCTATAACAGTGAAATAATACTTTATCATTGTCATACAAATACAGGAACACTATTAATCCAACGCTAGAGGCTCAGAAATAATGTAGTAAGAATGTTATCGTTTTATTCTTGATGTAAGACTACCTCATTGCCAAAAAATCAAGTTTAACAAATTCTTTTTTCTAATGTCACTGAGTATAATTAATATTCGCAAACTACTGACTGGCAACGTGGCGGACGAGGCTACGTTTTTGTTCTGTATAGGTTGCTTTCGCTCAGCTTCACATAAGGCGACAATCTTACAACTGACAGCCGTTACAACCGTATCAAATCTCCCCTACTGTAAAAGGGCAAAAAGAAATTAAATGTGTCAATGGTTCAAAAGCTGATATGTTATCCAAATTATTTTAAGATATCGTGGAAGATGAGGATGTCTCATATTGGTAGAAATACCGAAGAATCTGTATGTTCGACAACACTGTATCCAAAATAGTTTCATTGCAAGTGGAATGAATCAACTAGCTAAGAAGTTATAGGTGTACCGATAGGAGGTAGGAGCCATTCCAGTCACCGCGTTCGAATGAATAATCTTTAAATTATAACCTATGGAAGTATTCTGTTCCCTTGAGTCAGCAAGCCAGCTTGCGCGGGTATAAATATTAATATTTATGGAAAACTTCTGATAAGAGTTAATGCAGTGCAAAAACATCACAGTTGCACGCTTTGCATGTTAAGTAAGTCTTTTCACTAGCTTTTACGTATACTAGAAACTAACCTTAAATAACTGTTAACAAAAAATCTCAATGTTGATGCTATCCTCCACAACGAAATGCATTTCTTGCAATTATTTGATATCTTTTTTCCATTTTTACTTCGCACGTTATCTACTCGTATAATCTGCAAAGGCAAAGCTTAAATCCCACAGTGCTGTCACGAAGGAGGTATTTTCCAGTGATTTTCATACCATACCATTTAATGTTATTCTAGACATAAATGAAATCAGCATAGACACCAATACACCTGTTATCTGTGTATCTATAGACTAGACTTCAAAGCTATACATACGAGTAGTATATTCGCTCCCAGGAAGGATTTGTTTATATGATCAACCGTGCATTGACATTCTTAAACGAGTCATTTCAAATAGTTAATATTATTGTAAACGAACAATTATTCTTATATTATTATTATTTATTATACTTTTTAATGAATATATTTACACCAATAATCTTTCCAACCGTGACGTTTAGTGAAAAAAGTTGGCCAGCAAAGTTTTTTGTATCTCTTGATGAGGAGCCTTGTATGCCCTCAAGAATATAGTTCCATTGTAAAACCTCTGTTTTTTCTGAAACAGGGTTGATATTCAGCCTGGTCTATAACATAACCGATAGAATGCAACCAGGTTTAGATATGAAGGGATATATGCGTACGTCTGTTTGTGCGTATGTGTGTGCTGTATGTTTAGTTAGGTGACATGATTATGAGAGGACAGTAACAGCAATGCGCTATCAATTAATAAATGAGGTGTATTCCTGTCCCATGACGCCAAACTAGGACAGGGCTGTATCTTGGCGGAGGTATGGAGTCTAGAAGCAAATAGAGGATGCTCAGTATCGAATGCTCTAAAAAGCAATCTAATAATTAGCTCCTAAACATAATAAAATTTAACCAAACATACCGTAACCAAATGTCGTACATCAATCAGGTACAGGATGACCAGTGGAAAGTTCACTTTTTGATTAAGGAACAAAAATACAAACTTAATGAAAAGAAAATATGTATTACTATCAACATATTCGTAAATTCGGGTTTTATTTCTTAAATATCATTCCATCCAAATGTTTGCCATCCCTTCAGACACACTCTTCTAATCGCGCGCGCAAATCCTGAATCACTCTCTTGCAAAGTTCCGGAGTGATGTTGTCTTTAAACTCCTCCAGTGCCCGTGGATTATTAGAATACACTTTTGACTTTAGATCACCTCACAAAAAATAATCGCATGACGTGAGGTCGGGTGGCCTAGGAGGCCAGTGAATGTCTCCAAACTTCGATATAACTTCTTGAGGAAAAAGTGCTTTCACCGTGTCCATCGATTCTCTGGAAGTATAGGCAGTGGCCCCATCCTGTTGAAACCATGCGTTTCTGTTAAATCTACGTTCTGTTCTTACAATAGGACCAAAAAAGTGTCAATCATGTCCTTGTATCGCTCGGAATTGACTGTCAATGCATGACCATTTTCATCTTCAAAGAAATACGGCTCAATAATACCGCTAGAGGATATGGCGCGTGACCTTTGAACTATGTAGCTGTTCTTAATGTTTCTCTTTTGGGTTCGTTGGTGCCCAATATTAGCAATTTTGCTTGTTCAAATAAAGTGAAAATGGGCCTCGTCACTAAAAACAACGTTCTCGAGTCTCGCTGCGTAGGAAAATGATTCAACATGCGTTCAGCACAAGATTTCCGTAACTGATTGGATTGTTCTTCATTATGCCATGTAGTGTTGACCTAGGGAGACCCAAAGCAGCGGAATGCTTCCGTACAGAACGCCGAGGATTTTCAATGACCAAATCACTTACTCGACGCACATTTCCTTCGGTGTGGGTCCAGGAATGGGTTGACTAAGAGTAGAGCCTGTTTCATTTTTCAATGGGTTCTTACTTGGGGCAACTCTTGGTCTGCGAATATTGTATCGTGTACGACATTTCCGAAGGACAGCTGCATATGAATCACCACTCTTAAAGTAAGCTTCGATAGCAAAAGCACGTTGCGCTCCGGTCCAACGTTCCAGTGTGACTATTTAACCCGCACATCGAACGCGTCGATCAAGACCTCTCCCCACTTCCGCGCGTATACGGATACCCTAAGATGTCAATTCTCAACATCGATGTGCCTCTAGACAGAGCTCAGGCTATTTTGTAACAAACTGAAGCAATTTGGAAAGACAGTTATTGATATAGCTCTGACTATTCAAAACTTCACCCCTCACAAAAGTTTGGAATACACTCCTGTTAGAAATTGCGCACCAGACAAGAATTGTATCTGCAAATTTTGCTTTATGTTTGTGTTTAACATTGTCAGGGCATTCTTCTATGTTGACCGTATACAATTCGTCGTTTGTGGAATATTTTTCGTCATGTAAAATAATGATTTTTCCATTGGCAAAGTGCACCCGCCTCAGTTGACGACAGCCTCTTTCAAAATTTAAGACCATTCCTCCTCGATTCCAACGATATCCTAGTCTTAGAAGATCTACTCGGATATTGACGAGCCAGTCTCCTTGTTGACATTCCAACCTGATTTTTTGCTCTTCTCGCCAATCTCTATGACCTCTGTGCTGTAAATGCACGTGGTCTTCCACTTTTTGGGAGATTCAGGCATGCTCGCAATCCGCTATTGTTCGATAAATGTTCATTCTGGAATGTTCGACAGATTACAGCTTTGGGTACCCGCGCAACCAACTTGTAGGTTTTCTTATATTTAATTCATGCGACATCTTAAAGAGAAAACCGCTAAATAATTACATGTCAACTGAAAAGTACAGAGGCAAGTTACTTGACGTCATTTTTTCATCAGAGGTGAATTATATTGTCACGACTTAAATTTAATAGACGTTACATATCCAAACATCCTCATCACGGCAAAGCTGATAGCTTGGGTCGCTTAACAATTATACTATATACAAAGACGCCCCCCCCCCTATTCATGACTAGGTCGTGGAGAAATTTGACGCAAATACTATGTATTTTCAGGAGTAATTTATGAAATCTGATATTCATGCTGGCTGTTAATATTCCTGTTACCGCCTTGACGCCCCAAGAAGCTTTCTCGGGGGAACATTTCACGCTAGGAGCTCAGTTTCAGTTCTTTGTGTTTGGATAAACTTGGTAATAAATAAGTCTAAAAACCTCGATATCGTATACAGGATGTCGCAGAATAAGTGACCAATATTTCTGATGCATAAACAACACAAATAATGATACATGTTCGTATAAAAAAAATATACTACGGGACCCAGATGACGATAAAATAAATCGATTTTTCCTGAATAATTTTGATTAACACCTTATAACTTAACATAGACAGCAATTCGGAAGATTAGACTTGGCAACAACCAAATAACAACCCGAATTTTTTCCGCATTCTTTCATCAACAAACTGCATTTATTGTTATACCTGTTTAGTTATTTGTTGCCTGTTATGAATTTAGTCCGGTTATATTTTAACCGGACCTCTTATATTAATACCACATCATTTATATCAACGCAGCTCCATCAATTCCTATTCACCAGTGGCAAGATCAAATATATATATATATATATATATGCACTCGTAACAATAACGTCAGCCATGGCAAAGCCTGTTCGGTGCTATAGTAATATTTAGCATGCATCTCGGTGAATTATTACAGAATTACCTGTATATAGCAAAACCTGGTACAATGTAATGCTCTTATTATTCCTTTTCCGAACCAATTTTCAACTATATTTCGTATCAATGTGACATTTTCTAATTGAAAAATTTGTGTACATTTTATGCAGCAGAACATCTGCATCCAGTCTATTGGAACTCAAATATGTCATTGGGATTTAGATGCGACAATTTTGCATATACGCTATCGGTAGAGTAACCCCAGTTTCTGCGAATTAAAGTGCTGCGAGCTGTGTAATAGTGTTTCTTCTGCTATTTAAATACCTTTTTAGACGCTATCGAGTTTAAATGTTCGGAAAACGGACTAACATTTTCATAAGCGTGCGAGGAAAAGTACAGAGGAGAAACATAAGTCGCTAGCTTGGACTGTGCATGTTCCTACTATGGAGTCACGATTTATTGAAAACTCGGAAAAGCCCGTCAAGCCCTTTTATTTGATGCCCATATCATAGGGGCGACTATAAAAAATGCAAATCGCCATTTTTCGTCAGCAGCCGACATAGAATGACGTCACTTTGCTTAATATGTTTCTCTCATTAACCGCTTACATTTGATATCCACGTTGCTTGTTATGTTTCTCTAATCCAGCTCTTTAATTTGATATCTATATCATAGGGGTGACTATGGTAATTATTTACCCCATATTAAGGCGGTCGCCATAATGGATTTGGCGTTACCTCGCTGAGCTTATTGTATTCTTCTCGTCAACCCCTTTTGTTTGATACCCATGTCACAGGGGCGACTTTGAAAAATGTAAATCGCCAGTTTGCGGCAGCAGCCATATTGGACATAGGATGACGTCACTTTGCTTAATATGCTTCTTTCATTAATCGCTTACATTTGATATCCACGTTGCTTATTATGTTCCTCTAATCAAGCTCTTTAATTTGATACCTATATCATAGGGGTGACTATGGTAATTATGGACCCCATATTAAGGCGGTCGCCATAATGGATTTGGCGTTACCTCGCTGAGCTTATTGTATTCTTCTCGTCAACCCCTTTCGTTTGATACCCATGTCATAGGGGCGACTTTGAAAAATGTAAATCCCCAATTTGCGGCAGCAGCCATATTGGACATAGAATGACGTCACTTTGCTTAATATGTATCTTTCATTAAGCGCTTACACTTATATCCACGTTGCTTGTTATGTTTCTGTAATCCAGCTCTTTAATTTGATATCTATATCATAGGGGTGACTATGGTAATTATGGACCTCATATTAAGGCGGTCGCCATATTGGATTTAGAGTGACCTCGCTTTGCTTATTGTATTCTTCTAGTCAAGCCCTTTTATGTGATACCCTTATCATAGGGGCCACTATGAAAAATGTAAATCGCCATTTTGCGACAGCAGCCATATTGGACATAGAATGACGTCACTTTGCTTAATATGCATCTCTCTTTAAGCGCTTATACTTGATAGCCACGTTGTTTGTTATGTTTCTCTAATCAAGCCCTTTAACTTGATACCTATATCATAGGGGTGACTATGGTAACTATGGACCCCATATTAAGGCAGTCGCCATATTGGATTTAGCGTGTCCTCGCTTTGCTTATTATATTCTTCTTTTCAAGCCCTTTTCTTTGATACCCATATCATACGTGCGACTATGAAAAATGTAAATCGCCATTTTGCGGCAGCAGCCATATTGGACATAGAATGAAGTCACTTTGCTTAATATGTATCTCTCATTAAGCTCTTACACTTGATACCCACGTTGCTTGTTATGTTTCTCTAATCAAGCTCTTTAATTTGATACCTATATCATAGGGATGACTATGGTAATTAGGGACCGCATATTAAGGCGGTCGCCATATTGGATTTGGCATGACCTCGCTTTGCCTATTGTATTCTTCTCGTCAAGCCCTTTTATTTGATACCCATATCATAGGGGCGACTATGAAACATGTAAATCGCCATTTTGCGGCAGCAGCCATAGTTGATTTAGAATGACGTCATTTTTCTTTTTGGGTTCTCTCAAGCCATTTCGCTTAACACCCATACCATAGGGGTTACCGCGGAAATGATAAATCGCTATTTTGTAGCATCGGCCATATTGGATTCAAAATGCCGGCACTTTATTCATTTTGAGTTGTCACGGAAACACAACGTGTCTAAAAGGTTCTAGCCCAGATGGTTATCTGGTCCAAAATACAGTTGCAAGCTTTGTCCCACACATACGAACAAGCAACTCGAGTTATATAAAATGAGACATCACTTTTATATAAAAAATGTTTCATAATATCATCCTGCCGCCATTTTGAAATTTTCAGCCATCACTCTTATGCTAAAGTACAGGGTGTCCGCAAAGTTGGGGTTGTTTCCTTTACACGACGTGTAGATCTTGAGAAAATAAGCGGATTTTCTTAGTAGCATATACACTAATGTCTTAAGAGAACTGAAGCCGGTCCTGTCCTATCCCTCGATCACGTCCACAGCGCCAGAGCCAGCGTACAGTTATATGACATACGACTACGATGTAAATACGAATTTTACGACAGAGCCGTACTCAGAATTTCAATTCAACTTTTTCATTAGTTTTTTTTTAATTGTTCGGTCACATATTAGCTTTGTTATATCAAGCATAGTTGTGTCTGAAAATGAAAACCCCAACTTTGCGGATTTCGTCACCCAGAATATAAGCTTGCTAACTTGACTCGTTCAGAAACTGAGTGGGGAGGGTCTTTTTTGAAAGTATATCTCATACATGCAATGACACCATTCAAATTTTACGGTTTGAAACTCGTGTTTAGTTAATTTAGGTATTTTTTGAATACCCCCAAATAGAGTTTTCCGGTTACGCTCCTGATAGGCAGGCGTTTCCGATGCAGTTTTCCATTACTGCAGTGCTGCCAACATGTATAGCAAATTAAACGATCTGGAAACTACTGTGCAAAAACAAAGATGCTACCGTTGGATGTACGAGGCTTTTTATTGAATAACCATTGCAAACGGACTACGGCACTAAGGATGCCGAAATTACCATGTAGCTTTTACAACTCTACTGGTAGACGCAAAAGATTGGACCCTGCAATGCGTTGGGTTTTCAGTTCGCTCTTAACCTTTATGAGCCTTTTCCGCAACAAATTCGTAAAATCACATAATAATAATTATAAATTCGTCTTTATTAAAAACCTACATGCAGTTACATACAGACCTAACACTTATAGCGGAATTTAACATAAATGGCAAGATAGAGCATGGTACAAATTATGAATTGTTGCACTCCTAAGAAAAGAAAAAGAAAGAAAAAAGAATGCACATTGCAAATGGTGTGCATCAATATTATGTAATGACTATGCATAGTGGTGGTATGACTTATTAATAATAAACCTTTGATATATTTCCTAAATTGGTTTAAGGGCATTACGTTAGAGTTAGCATCAACGTTTTTATAAAGCGGCGCTGAAATAAAGATGAATTATGGTGAGGAATTGTATGCTTCTATGACTGATGGTTCTATTATACGCACTACCTCTAAGAATTAACTTTTCTCTAAGATATAGAGATGTAAGAATTGATTTGTGGATGAAAATAAGATAATTAAGCTTCCCTAAATAGGGCATTTTCAACCAGCATAAACTTATTTGAGACATGCAAGATTAAAATAAAATATTACACTAGACAGTATAACTGGTATTACAAGTGGCTGCCTGAAGTTTTTCCTCAATTTGAAGTCAAGGATGAACTTGTTAGCATATAAAGCAGTCACAGGTATGATTTCTTTACGTGGCCAATATTTTTGTACACAGAGAGACATTTTTTTTGTACGAATGTTTACCTCAAATGTACGGAAACTGAATGGTTCTTTATCACCAAACAATACACGCAGCCACCACAAAAACTTAACAGAAAAACCTGGCTATTTTGTCACTTGTTGTTCATTGCAAGATGCATCTATATGTAAAAAATTCTAGAATTCTAATAAACATATGTAGGTGTTTCCCTTTTTTGTCACCCAATGTACTAGGGAAGATTTCTCTAGAAGTGAAAATACGCAAATTTCCCTAGTATAAAATAGACCGAAGCGGGATTTGCACATTCCGACAACAATAACGATGTTATTATACTTGTTTTATTACTCCTCCATTATGAAAAATGTTTCCTCTTGACTGTCAGAACAGTCGTCGACGGCCATCTTCTGAGTCATAGGAGGAAGGGAGGAGGGTCTATCGCCACGAAGCTTCATTCCTGCACAATTGGTCTAATTTTGGACAGTCAAGTAATCGACTGAGCAGAACGCAATAGTCCAGTCGATATAGTCATGAATTTGTCATAAATTAGTGTAACTCGGAATCTTTATTTCAGGAAGCTGAGAGCGCTATAACAGCGATGAACGGCCAATGGCTTGGAAGTCGGAGTATCAGAACAAACTGGGCAACAAGGAAGCCACCTGCACCAAAAAACGAAGGTAAACATTCTTAACCAACTCCTTAGGACTACAGTTACTTTGGATGCGAATTCGATGGACAAGTTCATATCGGATTTATGTGCTGAAAATTAGTCATTCCTATACAATATGCAAGATACCAACAGTGCCTTTACATATTTTTTGGAGGTATTCAATTACTATTTTCGAGTGATTTTTCCACAGCAAAAACCAAAATCTGGGTAGATGATGATCACAGTATTAATAATATTGGTTCAATAAATCAGAACTCGGAGAAGATAATTGGAATTCGATGTTATATCCCTTGAAAGAACATGGGTTCCTTGAATTGCTGAAACAAAAATTGAAAAATAAGAATTCTTCGGGACCTGATGTAATCCCAGAATTTATTATAAAAAGAGTGCTGGGTTACATTGTAAAACCGTTTGTTTCTCAGAAAATTTATCTTTTTGTACAAGGGAATTCCCAAACATGCAAAAAGGGGCACGGTGAGTCCGATATATAATCCCTCAGAAATGAGTAATTATAGGCCAGTGACAATATTTGTTCTATTGAGACAGTGTAATTATGTCTCAATAGTAATAACATTTTGACTAAGAACCTACACGGCTTCCGCAGTGTAAAATCCTATGAACGAAGTTGACGAATTTCTAAAAACGGAGCATGTTGATTCTTTATTTTCTAGTAGAAAGGTTACTATTGGTAATTTTTGTTTCTCATATCTTATATCTCACAGTGAAATGTTCTTACGCCTCCTATACACGTCCATCGATATATAGGAGACGGAATTTGATCGTCTGTGGGAGGTACTTAACGTCAGTTTATTTAAGCTCCTCATAGCAGCCGTGTCTCCTGGCATTCAGGTTTCGGTGTAAACAAGTATATGCCTTAGAAAAACGAAATATATCGATTTCAATTCATATTAAACTATAACTTTTATATAAAACGTGTTCTTCTAGAAGGTCATATAAAAACGCTAGAGGTGGGTCAATTTATAGCAGACTATCAGTTTGTTGACAGTTTTTGTGGCACGCAACAAATGATTTCAGCACAAGCGCCCAGCGGTAGTCCACACGTCTGACGACGCCTGTGTTCCATCACTTCTTGTAGTTTCCTTAGTTTCCTTCTTCATTCGTTAATCTTCTTTGCTAAAATGGCAAATAATATGAGCATTGACGAAACATTTAAATTGTCGAATAAACTTTCGCTGGAATTGCATCCCTAAAACCAGTATTGTCTTTAGCTATCATTGGAGATATCTTCTGTAGAAGGTAGTCAAAATCGCTGCAAGACACTCGAAAACTAAAGTTAAAATCAAAATTATCTTATTCAAATAGACTCCATTCCAGTTACTTTGTTCTGCGTCTATGTATAGCCAGCGTCCACCGCCTTTTTCTTTTCGATTTGTTTTTAACAATTCTACTGCGATGCACACTCAATTAGTAGTTAAAGGTACTAAATAAATAGGTAGCATCAGCAGCTACGGTCTCAACATCCATTTTTTAAATGTTTCGTACGTGCGAGTTTCGTCTGTCGAGAACACAGACTGAACGAGCTGCAGACATGTGGTCAGCTCGTGCTGATGTATCTGTCGATATCCGCGGATGCATCTCTAGACGCATCTGACGTCGTGTAGGCACAATACAAAAGAGCTATCGATTTATCGTTGTCTATTATCCAAGTACGCAATAAATAATAGTTTTAAAAAACACACATGTGGTATTGAAATGTCTTACGAATCATTTCGTAATCTAATCATTTCATTTAAAATAAATAAAAATGACACGGATTCGTGTTCAAGAGACAAAAATGCATCAGGAATCATATCACACGTAAAGTAAAAATACTAGCTACAGCTATAAATTAAAATCCTCAAATTAGGCCAAGAAGTGATAAATAAGAGTGAAAATAGTTAAAATAGGGTTAATGGTACTTTATCAAGAAAATGTTAGTTTGCCGGTGACGGATGTTTCCAAAAATGCTACTATTAGGTGATGGTATCTTCACTATTTTAAGGGGTGGCTGAAGGACACAAGGGGATGAGGGAGATTTGTTTAGAGTTCTGTTTTGTATACTCCGAAATTAAATTGATCTCATGAAAGATAAATTTATTTTATGGTGATTGTCCTAACGCTATACCGCCATTCCGATCCGTCAAGTTGTGAAATACTTCGAAGGTTGTTGTCAATTTATTGTTTTTGTCAATTAATGAACCGTTTCTATGGATTCAATTAAATTAATCATTGTATTTTCAGTTTTAAATGGCTAAATTAAATTGAAGCAAGCAACGAATTTATGTGAGAACAACTATGCTGTTTAAACATATTTTTTGTCGGACGTGGCAGTTAATCTCGTTAATGACAATTTCATTGTGAGCTTAAATGCGTACATTGAGCAATTGTGTAATGATATCGTAATTATAGCGTGTATTTTGCGGGACAGTGAATAGAGCAATTGTGGAGTATAGGCAGTATTTTGTGGTATTTCATCTGCGCTCATTAGTAACGAATCTATGACCGTTATGACAGAAGGACCAGCCAATGACACTTTTCCGGAACAAAAGACCCCATCTGCTCAGATTCCGTTGGAGCGCTTTGTAAATGTATATAATTAAATAAATACGATTAATTTTTGTGTGGTGTTTGAAAATCGGTATAGTGGTGGCGGAGCTAGGGGCAAAAGCACGCTTAAGGTTTGTTTTTTGACATTTCAGAAAATCATCTAATCATTTTCGGAATTTTTTTGTAAGGGTTGAAACTTGGGAATGGGGCTTGTAGGGGGCCGTGAATGTAACGTCTTTAGTATTAGTCAAGCACGTTCTATCATTAAGAAGCTTCGAATCCCGGTAACAACGGGAAAATTAAATCATAGAGGTCCGATGCATAATGTGCTCATAAAAATAGCTTAGTTGTCGATGCGTGCACGGCGCGATGCTGCATCGTCATGGAGGCCACTGTCGATTGTGCAATGGGAAACAAACATCAACAATTCTGCGGTGGTGTCGTCACTGACACCGCTACAGGAAACATATTCATATATTTTAGCAATATTTGGATATTAGGAGTACGATTTCGCCTTTAGAAACGATTTGACTTCAAGTACAGAGTCAATCTACTTGACGCCAGTTTTGCGGTTGCACATGGTTACAGAGACGGAAAGCAAACATATTCAGTTCACCAAACTAAACTCAAACTATATTACGCTCCAGAATACTAACCTTCATTTATCCAGCGTATAAAAATAATGGAAAATCTGTAGACGACAACCTTTGTGACTTGACTTGGCTAGATGTGATGGTCTGTTGCGAACAGTCATAATCCAGTCAAAAATGCTGCTTTGTGCTACATTTAATGTTTCAAACTCTAATTCGTATTCACGAGCTATAGCCACTGACTATGGACAGTTAACGCGAGAAATTATGAGGTCAAGAGAAATTACGAGGCAGTTTCAAATGAAATCCGAATTGCAAACTGTAACTAATAGTCAAATAAAGTTAAAACTCATTTGGGCAATGATTTTATAGAATAATAGATTAACGACATCTGAAGATTATGGAAATAGAATCAAGTGGAACAACTCACAGGTCGCCCATGTATTTACCAGCTCTTGTAATTAGCGCATTGTTGAACAATTGTAACAGTTTGAAGTGTTATGGATTCGATGTTGACATATAACAACTTACCCTGAGACTTTTAGCTCCAACATTGAAACTTGCATTTTAAGCTTGAATTAAAAAATCAGAAAATCATATAACTATACATAAACAGAATGCATCATATCACATAGCCATACTGAAATTGTTAATTATGTTAACGGCGAGTATTCTGAACATCTACATCAACAAGTATTGATTGTTATATGACATGTACATTACGAAAAACCATGTCACTCTGTCTGCCGGCAAATCCTTGGACCGTCTATAACTGTACAGATCGGATTTGAATGACATTTTTACAAAAGGTTACTGGTACGCGATGGACGAAAAGGACTTGTAGTGTTTGAAAATCTATCCAGTGTCGGCGACGGAAAATGCCAACACGCGTCTTTGCGCTGCTCTCTGTCTTCACCGGCTGGCGTGTCGTTCTTTGTAAGTCTCCTCGTATGACTGGTGCTGTGTCGTACGGCCACGTTGCCAGATGGACGGTACTTCGAGTAGGTAGTTAAAAAATGTCTGTGTATATGGACCTGTTTGACGGACTTGATGCATTTAATTTATCTGATCTATATATATATATATATATATAGAGAGAGAGAGAGAGAAAATGATCATGCGGAGAAAGGTATATAACAAAAAATAGCAAAATAATGGGCGAAAACCGCAAAAAGGAGGAAAGTGGATTCGAGCAAAAAATAGGATAGCTAACCCGAGCAATACGTATTTCTGCTGGTTGGCTTTATCAGGAACCGAAATGAATGCACAAATGCAACTAAAAAAGTAGATATATCCTGCTTTTTTGGTAACTCGTCAGCGAGGTCTAGGCTTAGTCTCACTGACAGCGAGCATAGCAACTATCGTCTATCCAGGTTTATGGCGCGCTGTCTTATCTCGATAGTGTCTAACATGTAGTGAACATCCTTTTAGGAACTGATGACGTCGTTGCGTGTGGGAAGTGCAGAGTGAACCTACTTGACTCCATTTTTTTACTTACACGTTTCTAAAAGAGAGAGTCATTTCAATTTCTTAAATGTTTGGAGATTTTGCTTGCGTCCCTTATTGAGAAAAAGTGTATTTCTGGTATTATTGCCTCTGTCCCTTACTAAGTTGTACTCAGGTCACCGCAATTAGGGAATACTTCTGCACTAAAATAATTAATAAGTTTGCTGGAAAATGGGCTTATTCTCAGCTCAGCCGTTCCTCTCTCTCTCGACTTACATTGCTTGTGCATTAAATGAATACATTATGTACGTAATCTATGCAGGGCCTTACCCCTAAATGGTTGTTGATAGGAATTTTATATTATTTAATCAATATGCTTACAGTTTTTGGTGAGCCGCATATTAATCAAGGTATTTCGTAGTATCGATCCAAGAAGTTGTTGTTTGCATTCAGGTATATTGAATAACATTACCTCAGAGTTAACGATGTTGCTTTAAGTTACTGATATCATCACGCTTCAACGATGTTAAATTCACATCAACATGCAACAAATTCGGATTATCGGACGATCAGAGTAAGAGACAGACCGACGGAAATGAGTGACATGATTTTTTGTTATATACATCTCATATAATATCCAAAAACGTGACGAAAATTTATCCGATTACCTACACTAATTTCTTCGCCAATAGGCGTGGGAAGTAAAATTATCATATGTGTCTCTTTCAATAGCGTAATATAACCGGATTCAAAAATCTTTAACAATAAAACGCACTGCACAGTTGCAAGACTCTCCGCAACAACAAGAAACAAAGTATGCGCGATTTTTAATTTTTTTTCCAGTGCTTGTGTTGAAATTTCGTCAGATATTTTATAAAGCTATAAAGGATCCAAAAAATATAATAACTCATTTTCGCGATTACAATAGCAATATCACTTTTACAAGGTAGTTTGCTGTAATAGCGTCGTAAACGATTATCGAAAAGCTTGGTTTTTTTATTAGCAAAGGGCGACTACAAACGCAAGAAGTTCCGTTCTAGATCTGCAATTTCCACGTACTCCAGCGAAAATATCTGGGTTATCCGGATTTATAAAATATTTGAAACCTACACGTTTGATGTGATTCAATCTCTGAGATCGTGACGTGAGCCGTTGGCTAATAACATCGGGAAGGAATTTCGTAAAGGCATTACAAAATTCCTTCAACCTTTATACGCTAGACAGGGCTAGTTTGAATGGCATCTGGGATTTCATTCCAAAAGCAGATTCCCGACTACAGAGGGTTAATTGATTCAAGTACATCCTTCATCACCTTGAACTGTATACTGAGGTTGAAGATGGAATTCCCTAGAAAGAATCCCTCATACCTTTTTGATAATAGGTGCACACCTCACATGATTAGAGCAGTAACCATCACTCTCAAATTGAATCAGGATCAAGAAAATCGAGAAAGACAACCGCATGTTACATTACTTTCCTCTTTTTTATACCGCGTATGCAGAAGGCTAAATACCAAGGCTGCTATGAGAAACTTTGTTAATCCTATTTTTGAAATGTCATAACCTCCAGGTCTCGCGTCATAGAGGAAGTCGCTGATAGTCTCATTTTCTCCAGCTCACCGCCAAAGATCGACGTGTCACTCACGCGTAATTAAAAAATTTATGAATTTATGGGAAATCTTGATTCAATATACTTAACTACATTTTTAATACGCAGTTTTTTTTTCAGTTGGTAATGGAAAGCCACTTACCTTCGACGAAGTCTATAATCAAAGCAGTCCTACAAACTGCACAGTGTACTGTGGAGGTATATCGAATGGTCTGACGGAAGAACTGATGCAGAAAACCTTCGCCCCTTTCGGAACAATTCAAGAAATCAGAGTATTTAAGGATAAAGGATACGCATTTGTTAGGTAAATGATGGATTACATTAAGACCATGTCACTAACTAGAACTAGAAGGCAGGCCTGATTTTATTAACAACATCAAAATTCTTGATCAGGATCATAATGCATCAATGAGAAGGCATCTTTCTAGTAATGGATCTAATAGATAGTCGATTTCTTGTAAAATACAGGGTGTTCGCAAAGTTGGGATTTTCCTTTTCGCTTGATATAACAAAGCTAATGTGCGGTGAAACGTGAGTGACCAAGTAAAGAAATCATTGAAAAAGTACTCACTGTTCAGCTGAATTGAAATTCCAAGTACGGCTCTGTCGTAAAATCCATATTTATATCGTAGTCGTGTGTCGTATAACTGTACGCTGGCGCTGGCGCTGTGGACGTGATCAAGGTATAGGACAGGACCGGCTTTGATTTGGTTCAGGCTTGATTGAGTTTACGAAGCTCATATCTCGGTTTTCTTAAGACATTGGTGTATATGCTACTAAGAAGAAATTCCTTATGATTCACGTGGTTTAGGTACAAAAACATATTTTTTCAGATTATCTGGAGATCAAAACCAGATCAACAATGAATTAGAAAGCGTTTTCGTAAAACTGCGTTTAAATTGCCGTCAACTGTTGTACTTTGTACGCGATATTTATCCAAAGTATTGGCACTCCTATTTTTAATAAGAGTATATCAGTATGCATATAACGTAAGTACGTTTTTTGGGGAAAAGAAAGAACACAAGAGTATATTTATTATACTTGAAACCACGCCTGCCTCTCATCAACTCAGCTGCCCAGTTATCTCATCATCATTTGACATTATTCTGTTTTTCAGATTCTCAACAAAGGAGTCCGCCACACACGCAATCGTCGCCGTGCACAACACCGACATCAATGGACAAATCGTGAAATGTTCTTGGGGAAAAGAATCTGGAGACCCTAACAACGCACCAGTTGCCGGACAGGTAACAATTGATACGAAACTGGCCAACAAAAAAAATATTTCTTTGTTAAAACTTCAGTTTAGAGCATGCATGCTTTATTGTGGAAAATGCTCAAAAATCAAAGGTAACACCCAAGTGTGAAAAGAAATCTACGCAATGAAACAAATGACGTACATTTTTTTAATAATCTTATTTTTCATTATTATCATTATTTCATTTTGACTCTCATAGAAGTCATCGACAGCTGATTTCAGGTCATCATCTTCGAAAAATTTTCTTTCGTAATCTAAATAGATAAATGTCAGACGAAGCCAAGTCCGGACTATAGGGAGGATGGTCCATTACAACAAAGCTGCATGCCTGCACTATTTAAAAAATGGCGAATGTGCACATAAAATCGATTTTTAAATTCGTCGAGAAACCTATTCAGAAGCAGCAAGTACCGAATCTGGGAGACCTATATAGAATAACTGGTGCTCTTATTAATACCATCCTCTAATTATTATTTATGGGAGATATGCTAATGCTGTGTTAGCGCGTCTGCTATTAGCAACGGCGCAAGGGACAAACCTCGGTCTAACGTTAGATGATATACACAAGGAAATTACTCACATTTTGGAAACCCAATGCAGTATCGACTATGATATATAAAAACAATGTTCAGCTGATATCCTGTGCTACTTGGGACGTTAACGCTATGTCCACATTATTGCGTTTTTTCTTTCTATTTCGCCAGCAAAATCAAAATGACCTTGTAAAGGCAATAATCAAAGACAACTAAAGAACCACGACTTTTTTGTGCCCTTTTGGATGCCGAGTGATTTTTTTTGTATTCGCGGACAAGTCGTCCATTTCAGTGTTAACGTAGAAAGATGCTTGTCCTTAAATTAACCTCGCAATGAGCATGACCAAAAACAACATGAGACCTCGCTACACGTTCCTAAAAGGTTTTCAAATGAGCATCCTTCAATATGATGACATTTCGAGTATTTGGTCTATAGACTACAATCGGCACATTCACCAATTTTGCAAATCGTACAAACATCCTCCGCCTATTTCACAGAAACTAGTCATAGTTTTGCTTTGATCCCATGACAACTTTTGTTGGGGAAACCAAGAAATACATCATACTGAATTTTTCTACAAATCTTTAGACTAAGATTGTTGAATTTCATTTCTTTTCAAAGGCAATAGCTGGCACATCTTTTCCGTACAACGCATATGGCCAACAACTGAGTTATTGGTACCCTCAAAGCTATCCATCGACAAGCTCCACGCAATTGCAAGGACAGTACCTCGGCGGTATGCAAGCAGGATATGGTTACGGACAGTACGGTGGCTACCAACAGTCCTATATGGGGTGAGTACTGTCACATGGAGAATCTCGCACCCACTGGCAGAAAGGGCACGTAACGCTGCTACCATCAGTTCGTAAAACCGTAGAAACCTAAATACCGTCCAATCTGCCTGGGATCCAGAAATACCGTGCTACCTAATTTTTGCATCATGCTATACCCCATTCGTAGTCCATTTACGCCCATACAAAACACAACGTGAAATTGTACTGGTCCGTATTTTCCTCAATGGTCTTGGAATAATCTAACAAAATAAATGATTATTTTTATAGAAAGAAGTGCACATTCTTTTCACAATTCTTTATTCGCTGGAAGTACTTGAATCATCGTCCGTATGGTTAAATCAAATATTACAGGTTCAATTTGAATATCGATCATATTGTCCAGATCCCACATCTGTGTTTCAATTGTCTGTTGAACGTGACGGATGCAATCTTTCCAATGGTTTGCGGCAACTCTCTTGACAGCTTCATAAAACAAATTTTTCACGTCAGAAAATTTGACTGTCCTATTGTTTGAAGCAACATTGTTCGTAGCTTTATGACCGAATGACCAACAGCTATTGCAACGCTTAGGCGGCTGCCGCTTTGCCGAGCTGCATATTTGTTGTGCCGGGGCGTAAATGGACTACGAATAGGGTATAGTATTTAACATTGCCAATTGCTTCATTATATTTGGCCTCGACATCGGCTTGCCTTTTTTTACAGTGGGGTTTTTTAAGAAGGTTCGGTGTGCCTTGATCTTCTGCCGAAGAGCAGTTTCGCAGAGTAGAATGAGATCATTTAACGATAGGTAGTATGCGGCATATAAGTGGTTAACCGTTTCAGGATGGGCCTGCAAGTGCCAGCCGCAGCCGCAGCAGCTGCCGCAGCAGCCGCCGGGTGGCAAGTCCCAAGCCAGCCCCAATTGCCAGCGACGCCCCAACAAATGACAGCCCCAACTGCCACTCTACAGCAGCCCGGGCTCGTCTTTCCCATTCAACAGTATCAAGTAAGTCATTGCATGTTTGCATGATACCTGCAAGCTTAATCAATAGATCGTTCTATCATATCTAATAATTTCAAAGGATGAGTGGAAGAACACTAGATAGTGAACTCCCCCTTGTGGTTTTTAGATAGTCATTTATTTTTTTGTTTCTCGTTAATATTCTTTTTGATGTTTTTTTTAAATAAAGGCATTAATTATTAATACTATTATACAGGGTGGCCAATATATAACTGACTAACTTAAATTGCGCGCAATTTTTGATGCACGCATTTCAGTAGGTGGCGCCGTAGTAGTTGTTTAAAGCACATGTGTCCAATAATTCATCATGGAGCGCTACACGATTCCACAACGCGTCCGTATTGTTAAAACGCTTGACTTAAAATGCGTTTTTATTATCACTATTTATACAAGCTCATCCTGTTGGAGTCTGGAAACCGTAAAAAGCGTCATTTCGGCTGTATTAGTGAATTCTATTAGGTTTTACGGTACAAACGAGATGCTTCATAGAGTTTACGATTTTTTCCACTGATTCTGATACACTGCTCTCATAGAATCAAATTTTATAGCCTAGCATAGCCAAGCATATCCAAGAGATACGAATCAGTTACATGGATTTTCATCTGGAGTGAAGAGCTATTAAAGAGACACATGAAAATTAACATTAGAGACGGTCTCTGACTGTCGTACGCGGAGGTACCACCCGGCGGATTTCATAGGCGGGACCAGAATGTATGCATGCTACATTCTAGCCCCACGGTACCCCATGAGCATTTAGGCCTTAGGACTTCGTGGTAGCTGGAGTATAAAAAAAGGTCCTGACTACTAGAAAAGGGACTTAAAATAATTTCTAAAGGAAGGCATATGTAGATCAAGTACAGGCTTGCAAATACCGATATGTAACTGACATCTTATCGGCACGGATCGGCTTGGCACTCTAAATGAGTGTCATTAGCAAAGCTGTGGATCGGACTGAACGTACTGGAGAGAAAGTCGTTGATACCTAACAGAAACAGTGCTGGAGCCAACACCGATCCTCGAGGAACACCTGCGTTGACATTATGGGAGAACGAGAAGATCACGTCAAGAACAAAGCTCCTTTGGAAGATCATATGGTGGCAGTTTGTATAAGAGGGCAACATGCCACAGCTGACCGGAAGCTTTTGTAATATTGCACCTGCCGGTATGTAATCAAGCCGTACTGCTCCAGATGCCATTGAACGATAGACTAAAATGCATCGAACTGAGAGATTTTCAAAATATCATAAATAGCATATTTGCCCATCTATGCATCATCCAACGCACCCGTGTATATATGAAGGAGATCAAGGAGAATCAATGCGTTGAGCACATTTCAGCGCTAATCACATAATATCAACGGGAACTGTTATAAGGTAGGCTTAACTAAAATCGACGCTTGTATTGCCACAACACATTGGCGTCACCCTTAAAGCACCTGTTTGATCAAAACTTACCTTGAAGTCTGTTTAATGTGGTAAAAGCGCAACCTCCGGAGAGAAATGTCTCCCCAACTACGCGAAAAAATCGGACTGCAACGTATGTCCTAAAAGTTTTGGCTCAAACTATTTATCAGATTTTTTTTAGTGGATCAATTGTTCTTCATATTGGGCTTCCCAGCCTCGATGATAAAACCTTCCTAGACAGTATAGCCCAAAAATCCTTTGTTGGGCGATCCTGCGGCAAGTTTGAATGATTATTGTTTTTGAACACAAAAGGTATGTTGTGTTGTTTTCTCTGACACAATTGTCGAAAAAGTCGGTAATATGGTCTCGATCAATTTTTCAACTAGTTTCTATAAATTTGGATTTTGAGTCATCTTACATTATCTTCAAATTTTGAATATCATTCTTCGTGGAGCGATAGATTCGATTTGCGCTTATGAGTTGAAGTATCGACCTCGAAAAAGAAAAAGGCAAATTTACATGTGTAACTTTTTTCAGCTGGTATTAAGAGGTGTATGCGATTTTATTTTTATACTTTCTTTACACGCAAGAGCCTATTCGCATGCTCAGCTAGATATGTACAATATAAGTATACTTCGAAAAAAGGGGTAAGGCGCTGTTTCAGATACAATGGATAAACCTCACAACTGCAGTGGCGTGCATCGTGGTGAGCCACTGCAACTATGGATTTTTTTATCCTGAAGCAGCCGCGCGGGCAGAATCCTACATAACGTATGTTGTTATCTTGGCACAAAATTCATTGGCTTTAATATTAACAAACGCAAAATAATATCAAGTTGCCTTTGGCAACAAAAGTTGGTTTGCTTGCTTTACGTCAGTTGACATTTATTAGGTACAAGCATAATGTGAAATTTGCAGATAAAATCCTTGTCTAGTGCGGAATTTCTAACAGGGGCGTATCACAACCTTTTGTGGGGAGAGTGAGTGGTGAAGCTTTACATCAGAGCTACGATTATATTGATAACTGCCTTTCCAAATTGCTTCAGTTGTCCACGAACATCGGGCAGTTCGAGATGCGATGGGAGGCCGAAATCATTGGGGTCTATCTGGCAGGCCCATCGTGTCGTTGTCAAGACCGATGTCTGGGAAACACCCGCGTTGACATAGTGAGATAAAGATTAGAACCCGTCAATTTCATCGCAGTGGGGAATTGACAAAAAACCTTACCCTTCAATTACGAATCGGTGTGGGAGTACCCATCTGTAAAGCTTCTCTGAGAGGTTATAGCATCGAAGTTTGCACATAGAAACTAGCTTCATTGGTTGTTACGGTTGGGAATGCCGAGATACGAAACCAAAATTCGATTCAGTAACTAAGACTGTCAGGCGCGGATCCAGAGGGACGGGCAACGGTGCCAGCAGTTAACTAACCTGACTTCACGCGCCTGCGGCGTTACTATGACTACATCTAGATCCTGACGCTTGTTGATGTCAATTTGCTTGACGAAGACGTTTCTCTAGATACTGGGTGGCCGATATGCAAGTGTATCTTGAATATTTGTGGAATGAAATAGAATACGTCCATTTTTTCATCTTAATCTTTTATTGAAACTTAGAAATTATGTACGGAAAATAAAATCAGCCAAATGACCGGCGGTGGGATCGTGTAGTGCTCCACGATAAATTGGACACATGTGCTTTAAACAACTACTACAGCGCCACCTACTGAAATGCGTGTATCAAAAAAAAGTCAGTCAGTTATATATTGGCCACCCTGTAGAATGTTAAATTGTACACTGATAGTTTCGAGAGAGAGAGACGGCGCCGCCTGTGTGATCGTTTCAATTCAAACAAACAAATCGAACAGTATTCTATAGGTTAATGTGGTTTTGATAGAGTAACGTGTTCAAATTCATTGCTTTTCTAATTACAGACATGACAGGGCTTAACAAAGTTGGATTTTAAATTTAAACGAGCCTTTCCGATAAAGCATTACAGCTCTCTATCACTGTATAATTTTTGTGGAATTGTTCGCTGCATGTTCGAATGCGAGCTTGAAAATGTATTGTTCAAACGCAATTACTAGGGATATTCATTTGACCGGTATTTTAAAAAGGCATCAACTACAATTGTGCTACTTTAAGCTTCAGGTAAACTGGGGTTAGTGAAAAGAATAACTTATAGTTTGTGCTTGTCTATTTCACAAAATGGCGTCAAGTAGGTTGGCTTTGCACTTCCCACGCAACCACGTCATCAGCTCATGAACGATTATGTTCAGCACAAGTTAGACTCTCCGAGATAAAAAGTTCGTTACGAACATGAATAACAGAGAAATTAAACGGATCTAGTCAGTCAAACAGGCGTCAAACGCGACAACGCGGCAGTAATGATAGAACACCAAGGTCGGCACGCCCGCCGGTGATTCCAGTCAGCAAAAGCAGGGACGCGTTTCGAAACACCTACGTGAACGAGCGTGGACTCAGGTAAACCGAGGACAGCGAGCGAGGGATTCTGAGAGACAGATTCAGTAGTACTCGAGTCATCGCGAAGAGCACGGAAGGATGGTTGGTATGCGTAACTGTTTGCTCTGGTGTAGTGAAAGAATTCTGGGATCGGGAATCCCGCTTCTGTCTGGGGATGCACGATGGTGGGGCAAGACTGAGAAGGCGACGTGGTGAAAGACGTGACCGAAAATTTGACAGAGAGCGCGTCACATTCACCACACCGTGGGAGTTATGGTATGGGGTGCTATTGCTTATGATAGCAAATCACCACTTATTTTCATCAGGGCGTATAAGGAACAAGCGTATGTGGAAATCTATTATGTGCCAAATATGTCTGATAGTGTATTGATATACTAACATCAAAAATTGGGGTAGACCCTCCTCCACCCTCTTACAAGCCTCACCCGTCAGAAATTCATCCAAAAATGATCAGGATCCTTTGAAACGTCAAAAAACGAAGTGTGGGCGATTTTATTTTTGCCTTTTCGTTTTTGACTTTTTCCTCCGTCGCACTGGCCAATCTTCAAAAACCACAATGCGTTTTGAAATTTTATCCAAATCAGAAGTGGTATCTCCTAGGTTATGGATGGTCCAAATTATAAGGTGAAATGAAAGTTTTGGTTGTTTCGCTTATTTTGTTTACGGTTATCAAATATTGCAATATAATTATATATATCCTCTGACATCTTGACTTCGACAGGCCAACTTTTCACCTGTTCAAGCTTATAGCACCATTTGCTGTATTTAGCATCTGTGAGAATCAGCTTAGCTTTTTGCATGCACATGCTTGTTTATTGCTTACAGTCTAGGAGAAAAATCTTGAAAATATGCAAAATTCTTGGAACACTTAAGTAGCTGAATTCGATTATTTGTTATACAAATGCCGTATTCCGGATTTCGGCGATTTTTCGTACAAGAAGTCATTCTTTTGACAAATGAAAAGAACGTAAAAACTTACATATACAGCGTGATTCACAAGCGGTGACCAAAAATGAAACATCATACACAGTACCGCATTTTAAGGGGGGTCTTTTATGTTACATTTCTTCCTCGAGGGTTTTTTATTTTTAAACTTGAACACAGTATCTTTTTGATGAAGCCATCGAGAAAAAAATGTGACATAGAAGACCCGCCATCAAAATGAGGTCCTGTGTATGTTTCATTGTTGATCACGAGTTGGGAATCACCCTGTATACACTGAGAACTGCATAATATCGGAAAATTGAGGATCATTTGAAGCATTTCCTCTGGCAGCGTTCTAGATTCCCTGTACGAATTTGATGTTTCAATTTTCAGATAATTCTGCTACACTATATTCTATCTGTTGAATGTGGTGGGTGGATAATCTAAACAATGTTTTTCTCTTTCAGGCCCAATGAACCACCTACACTTGTCATCAACCTGATAAAGTGATATTTTAAATCCAACAAGATACCGTATCAGTAGTTAATCGCGGCAAATGTAAAACTGTTCGTGCCAAATTTCAAATAGTATCACAGTCGCACACACACACACACACACACTCACATCTAGAAGTCCTAACTCCATCCATATATATATGTAGAGCTGACGAGGGCTAAAGGTGCATTGTAAATCAAGCTGTTAGTGAGACGTATTAGAACGAAATGCCTCGTTTTTGAGTGTTTGAAAATAGCTGAAATTTCTCTTGGGTGGAACATATTTAGGGCATATCATATGCGGTACTCTGGCATAGAGCGGAGGTATTTAAAAAATAGATTTATTAGTCCGCGATTATTTGACTTTTTTATTAGCATAAATTTCACTTTTTACGAAGTTTTTGTTTTCTATTTTCGAAAGTACTTTAAATCTTATTGCGTTGATGCAAACATATCTTGCATATACATCTTACAAAAAATTGGTACGCCACTGATATTTTTCAACCCGTTACCATTCGTCGTTTTAATCAAAAACTTTGCTTCTGCGGAGAAAACAGTAAGAGCACGTTTCTATGTGAAAAATGACCAAGCTAACTAAAAAAAATATTCAGTGGGGTACTACTTTTTTATAAAGTGTTTGCAGGGACACCGCTAGCAGCGCGGTAGAAATAATTTTTTACGCTATTTTATATCGCATTATACAGCAAAAATAATAGTGATATCCAAAGTGCTTTTGAGGATATGAAATAAAAACATTTTTAATCTAAAAATTCAAATTTACAGTTACTACCATAAAATATTGTGATTTTCTCAGGATTACCAAGAAGACACACAGATAGGAAAAGTTTTAAACTGAAAAATCTATGCTTATTTAACCAAGAAACAAAGCATAATCTTTTGGGGTTTATTCAGTTCGCATTTTTATCACATATCAGAAAAATAATAAGTTTTTGTTTTTGTTAAATAAACTATTTAAATCACGTTCGATATCTATCTGCCAGAGTACTACTATGCCTTGAGATCGACTGTTTCAGTCAGTTCAAGGAGTTGGTAGTGTAAATTTCGGGAGCTACTAAAAAATATTTAATGTTCCACACGAATATGCTTGAATTATGCTGTTAACAATTTGTGTTTAATTCCAACTGTCAAATTACTAAAAACCTAGCGCAAATAACTACACTTCACATGTTGTATTTGAGTACCTCGTGTTTCAAAAATGTATGACAGCTGTTAAAGATTTTCGACAAGATACATATAAACACCTAGACAGTGACACTTAGGAGTGTCTTACAAATATGTAAGTGTTTCAGTTATTTGTCATCAGGTAATCAAGAACATCATGACAGGTCTGGTACAAAACGTTTTGCACTTTTTGCGACTGTCCTTAACTTAGAGCTTTCAGGCCTTAGTTTGAATGCTAAAAATCACAAATATGCACCAGAAAGGCTAGCTATAGTCTTGCTCACACCTCCCAGATGGTCACGCGAACAGTGGAAGCGATGGTGGAGATGATAAAAAAAATAGCACGCATTTTTTAAGCGCAGCATCACACCTTCCACTTAACGCACGACCTGCAAGCTATCCTGCTCAGTAAAGTTGATCATATGTATTTTTACATCAAGTTTCGCAAATTAGATATATGGTTTAACTTCCAAGATCAGTATAATAATATGCGGGCCAAAACTAAAATTCCACGACCTGACTCGCCAATTTTCGATATTTTGAACGAAATTGACCGTTTTCATGATACTGGAGGGTGGATCATCATTCATACCGGCTCAATTTTTGAACCTATGAAGACATGACTCTCTGTAGACTCTCAAATTCCTAAGTCAAACAGTTCAAATTTCGGAAAAATATTAATTTTAACTTTTTTCCGAAGAATTCAAGATGACATACCGTCTCTAGCATGACAAAAATGATAAATTTTTGGCAAAAAATATAGAAAATTATATAGCAGCGATAGGTTGATACTTCGTTTTTACGAAAAAAAAAATTAATATTGTGGTTCATTTTCGGAAGGCATTCAAATTGTCAGCCCAAGAAAACAATGAAAAACTTTAAAAAAAATACTTTTAATTTAAATATCTGCCGAGTAGGACCCTCAAGCCTCCATAGGTATCCTCCAGGGAAAAAAATGAGTTCGATCTGAGATATCACCCGCCAAGCAATGTGTGGAATGTTAGTTTTTACCCATATATGATATTAAAAATAATTGTCTAGTCTTCGTCTTCTGAACAGCAGAGCTCAAGGTTCACCTCTCCTTCATTTTGATTACTCGTAGACAGGAGGACAGAGATGGTTGTAAGACTTCATTTATTTAACCACCTTGAGCTGGAGCAGTTTGGAAAGGAGGATATTTCGGGGTCATAGTTGTTTCTTTGTGATCCTTGGCATAAAGTACAGGATTCTAACTTAACTGATGGGAGAATTTCACGAATGAAGAGCATCCACAGTCAACTCAGTTTCATCAAGTTGCATGTCATTTTGTTTACTATAACCTCTCTTTAGCAGATGGGAGATGAGGATTGGCTTTCGCCTAGCCTTTTGGTGTGATTTTGAAGGACAAAGTATCACACAGAAGGCTTCAAGGTTTCAAAATACTCTTTGGACCTCGGCATCTCGATCGTCTGCTAATCTACTGTTAAGGATCAACTAACTTTAACTTAGTTACCTGTACTAGAGCGCTAAATAGACAGGTATTCGCATCCGTCATTCTTTAGTAGTCGACTACCAAAACGGAAGGGAGTAGCATAATTCATCGTCCTCCACCGTTAATACGGCTTGTTTTGTCTACGGTGATATCATGATAGTCTCTTCCATTTCGGTACTTGGCTATAGATAGGCGCGTGTGAACATGGATACAAGTGGCTTACCCAGTCACATGTATATTTTTCTTTTGGTGATATCGTTAGATTATCGCTTCCTAATGATAAGATCATATTGACGTCAGATAGGGCTAGGGTATTTGCCATCATTTTGATAAACGCGTTCGATCAATAATCTCAAAAAGAAATTGAAACAATATAAAAATATTTTCCAAGTAAGCTGTAATTCTTGTAATGAACTTTAGATACAATGAGTTATCAAGCGAGCCCACACTAAAAACTCACACTGTATATGATTTTTTGACAGTACACATTAGTTGACTAGCTGTCTTATTATGACGATATGACAGCTGTATCGCTCTTATAAGTGGTGGAAAACACAACGGAAGGATCCAAATACTCATCTGATTTAGCGCTATAACTGTACTTCTGCGGTGGGGTTGTAATAACGTGGAAGAGTGACTGGCACTCCATGAGATCACTTTTATGTAGGTTTTAGTCCGATCTTGGGGGGCTTTCGAGGTCAGCGGGATTAAAGACAGTTCTATATATCAGTTTAGCTTTTAGCACTAAAATCAAAATTATTGTCAAATTTTACATTGTGCTTTTAATCTGTGCGGTAGACGTAGAATAAAAGTATTCAGACAGAAAATTGGGAAACTTTGGAACCGTGGAACTTTTTACAATACGTCTACATTATACTAAATATTCTGGTCAAACCAAAACAAAAACAACAAAAACTTAATGTTTCGTTTTCGATCCAATTTTTCTATACGTTTTGTAACCAATACCGCCAGTATCAGTTCTCATAAGGTTTGCGACATGTTCCTTATCTGAGGGTACGGAAACCGACAGTTAAAAGCACAATATAAATTTTAGTCGATAAAACAATCCCGAATCGTTAGAACAGGAAAGTTCATGTTATCGATAATAACCACATTCTTGTGAATGCCATTATTTCTGCTTTCTTGGTTAACCCCCATATAAGTGATTTTCAATTGTAGGCGAGGCGTCCAGACCACTCTTCTAATACACAAATTAGTATATAAGGATTTATATTTGTAAAAAAAATATATATATATGTATACATATAACGAGGTTCGAATTATATAAGTTGACTTGTACAAAAGATGCAAAAGTAGTTATAGTGAAGAAAGAGATTAGATAGGATAAAAGATAGATAGGTTAGTTGATAGTTATGTAATCATAAAATAACACGGTGAATATTTTGAGATCAATGTTTGTGATGTTCCAAAATTATTATTAATCATTTAATAAAGATTAAATACCAAATCAAAAATGTACTGTAACATTCCACTGTGGGAACATGTATGAGCTGACCATTATGTTTAGTTAGTTGAGAAATGCCAGTCCTGTTTTTTTTTTTGTTTTTCGTTTTAACGTCAACGAAAAGATTCTACATTATTGGAATTCAGGCTTCCTTTGCCGAACGGAGATGAATGAAATGTTGTTAGCTATATAAAAAATCAAAAATATATTGTAAAAGGTCATTAAGAACATGGATGGGTCTTCCATTCTGTTTTGTAATTAAGGAAAAGTCAACTGTTAAACTCATCCTGATGCCATCATGAAAGTACTCATTTTCAAAATATTATTCGTAAGAAGTACGGATATGCGAACGAACACCAAAATTGCTAATCTTGAAATTACTCGTTAAAGTGGTTTTTACAGACTGTTAATTGTGAAAGCACTACGTCAATTACGGCCCGATTTTACTGTTGATCCACGACAAATGAGAAATACCCCAGGCTCCAGAGAAAAATATTGGTATTTCGTGTAAAAAAAACTCTGGCAGATATTAAATAATAAAAGATATGCGTTGTTTTTTAATAAACGATGAGAAAAGCTCAAAATTCAGTATTTTGCTTGTATAATTTTCAAATTAAATTCTATAAATAACCGGTAAACTGGAGATTTTAGAGCATAAAAAGACCTTCAATTCTATTTTTTAAAATCGATAATATCAGAAATAAGAAAGGTCGCGGAACATCAGTAAACTAAAAAGTGTGCGTGTTCCGATATTTCTGAAAAGGTTGAAAGAAAAGGGCAAGCGGGCAACTTTTGCTAATCAAAATATCGAGTCAATCAGCATCAGTTGAAGGATCCCGGATATTTCTATTTCCATGTAAATAAACGACTATAGTTCCATCATAGCTCATTTATTTTCTTGGATATAAACAAAAACAATAGAAAAATCTAATTTTTATTTTCCCTATCTCACCTACGCAACGCCGTCATCAGTTAATTAAGGATTAAGTTCAGCGTCATTTTAATATTCTGAGAAAAAAGTCAGAAACGAACATGTGCAACAGAGAAACTGAACGGATCAAGTCGGTCAAACAGGCCCATAGACATTATTTCCATGCTCTATCGGTAGTTACTGTTCATGTGGCACCGTTTTCCCTTCCCACATATTTTTTGTGCGCCGCAGTATGGATAGATTAGTCAGCCGGACCGGTGCGCCGGGCGATGAGCTTAAAGAGCAAGGGTACCCGGATCGAAAACATTTATCTGTCATTATGTTTTGAAGGCTAATGGCTTGGGGGAGTATAAATGTACTAACATCAAAAAAATGTACGTACCTTCCCCCACCCCACACATTCCCCAACCTCCGATTTCAACCCCTACAAAAATATGTTTCTGAAAATGACCAGGCGCCTCAAAAAATGAAATTTTAGTGATTTTGATATTATCATGTTTTTAGCTCTAGGTCCACCGCCACTAAACTGATTCTCAAAAACTATACTATCTCATTTTCGAAATCATTAGTTATCTTTTACAAAGCTTGTCATATCTTTTACAAATACAACTTTACTGAGTAATTTCAAGTGTGTCTCGATTAATCGTATACCCAAAGTTCTTGCTTATATTTCAAAAAATAAATCTAATTAATAATAAGGAACTTATTATGATGGAACGGATGTGTACATAGGGAATACATAGAGCCTTAACACAGTTGTATTTACTCCTTGTCCTTGCCCTTTTTTGGAACAGACCCAAAAATGTCTTTATCATTATATGTGAACAGGAAGATATATCAAAGGGGAGTCAATAGTAGAAAATAATAAGGTATTATAAACTGCATAAATGAATGTACGAGTATATTATTGCTTAGTCGTATTCGTAATTGAATGAAAAAATTTCAACCGTGTTTTAGGAATGACATGAGTGATATAGAACATATATAATATATATTATACTGGGGGGAAAAACGTGCTGTCTCCCCCTCATAGCATTTTTATTTTTCATGATGCTCCGAAAATGCGTTAAACTGTTAAGAGCTAATTTTACTGCCTGTTTGCAAAAACATAGTTTTATGAAGGAGTTTGTATATGATACGAAAATGTGATGCATTCATTGAGAAACAACAAAAGGAGAGTAGCGCGTTATATTCTTATAAAGTAAAAAATTTCCTACGCAACGCCATCATTAGTTCATAAAATATTAAGTACAGCGCAATTTGAATCCTCTCAGAAAATAACATTAAACGGATCAAGTCAGCCAATAAGTCCATAGATATTCTTTCACTGTCCTACCGATAGTTACTGTCCATCTGGCAACGTTGTCCTTTTGCACATCTGCGCGGCACCGCTGCAGCGAGTTGTCGCTCATTCCGCGTATGTTTTGTGCGTTGCAGTACAAACACATTAGTCAGACGGACCGGTGCGCCCGGCGAGGAGCTTAGATAGCAGGAGTACGCGGATCAAAAACGTTTTTCTGTCAGTTTTGAAGGCAAATGTACGGAAAAATATGACTAATAAGTACCTGGAATTGCTGGGGTTTGAGAACGTATAAAAATATCGACATCAAAAAAATTCGATAAAATAACTTGCGAATTTTCTGTCATGTATAAAAAACTAAAAGAAGCAGTTTTGTATAAAATCAGATTCGCGTCAGTTACATTTTTCGCTTTATGGATTTGATTGCGTTCTAAATTATGGTCCAAGTCTGTCCCAAAATTGAGATGTATTAAGAAAATGACAGTGCTACAGCCTTTATTATTACACATCTTAGTATGAGCGTTTCCAGAAGTTTGGAAGAGGTTTAACTTTGATACACAAACACTCGAAAGTCCGCGTCAAAACGTTATTTGTCGATTAATAATACAAATAAACATTCTAACACACGTGCTTGGAACTGTGAGAATTGTACAGGTTAAAAGATGAATTGTATATCCTTTAGACAGTCCAATATTTCACAGTGGAGTGTATCGCATTTAGTGTTGTATTTTTAAAGTAACCCAAAAGTTAGCCAGTTGACACAGGATATGTTACATTTGAAGAAGAAGCTAGCTTTTGCAAACAGGCTGATTTCGCAAAAAAAAAGTGTGACATTTGTACCATGGAACATACCAATAAACTATCATAATTGTGTAAGTATGAGTTTTATTGATTTACCTAGTAACCGTCATTCCTATTTGGTTTTATGACGATTTTAAGAATAACGCCCCTAAAGGATCTTTTTGACTAGTTAAATTTTGTGTGATCTGTGATAAAACTTTACAAAGAGGCGCCATCTATGGGATGGTAGCTCTACTGAACGAAGTTTTTTGGTGGCGGCTACTCTCCAATAGATGGCGCTGCATATCGGTAGCTACCACAAGGTCCACCATTTTGAATGACTACCTTGGGCTGCCAAAATCCGTTCAGTGAACTCCAGTGCATGCAAAGAGGAGGACGCTTTGTTTTTCAACAAAGCCAAGTCTAATACGTAATATTAGAATATAATAAACTAATCCAATCAAAATAATCTATCAAAAAATCGGGGGATTTTAGCCCCCCTCACGGAAATTTAAGATCCTTGATCATTGAAGATTCGTTGCCCCTAACGGATCTTTTTGACTAGTTAAATTTTGTGAGGTGTGTGATAGCACTTTACAAAGAAGCGCCATCTATCGGATGGTAGCCCAACTGAACGAATTTTTTTGGTGGCGGCTACTATCCAATAGATGGCGCTGCATATCGGTAGCTACCACAAGGTCCACCATTTTGAATGCCTACCTTGAGCTGCTGAAATCCGTTCAGTGAATCCCAAGGCAAGCAAGGAGGAGGACGCTTTGTTTTTCAACAAAGACAAATCTAATACGTAATATTAGAATATATTAAAATAATCTTTTCATCAAAAAATGGGGGGATTTTAACCCCCCTCACGGAAATTTAAGATCCTTGATCATTGAAGATTCGTTGCCATATAAACATCCCGAACCCCGACCAACCGCCCCTAAAGGATCTATTTGACTAGTTAAATTTTATGAGGTCTGTGGTAGCACTTTACAAAGAAGCGCCATCTATCGGATGGTAGCCCAACTGAACGAATTTTTTGGGTGGCGGCTACTCTCCAATAGATGGCGCTGCATTTCGGTAGCTACCACAAGGTCCACCATTTTGAATGACTACCTTGAGCTGCTGAAATCCGTTTAGTGAATCCCAATCCAAGCAAGGAGGAGAACGCTTTGTTTTTCAACAAAGCCAAATCCAATACGTAATATTAGAATATAATAAACTAATCCAATCAAAATAATTTTTTTATAAAAAAATGAGGGGATTTTTATTACGGAAATCTAAGGTGCTTGATCTTTAAACATTGTAAAATACCCTCTATTTTGCATATTATTTCGTTTTTGATTACACTATTAGGAAAAACGTTTCAATCCGCGGATATTTCTTACTCCGAAGCTAATTTGTGAAGATCTTGGAGTTGTGTTCTTATTATTTTTTTTACTCAATATAAGGATACCTAGAAATAATTTGGCCTTATTATTATGAACACTGTATTTTCAATACATTTTATTTTGATTTTTTTCATAAAACAGTTTAAAAAGCAAAACACACTATCTTGGGAAATAAATTATATTTATAAACATCTATGTATCCAATATTACGGTGATATCCATAGAAGGCTGATTTGCCTTTTTCTAACTTCATATTTAGGCTATTACAATAGTTCCACCATTTTGTACAATACCACTACTTTTTGGTCTTTTATTATTACACGTAATGATAAAATCTAACCGCAATCCATTCATAAATCGGTCAATATACATGACAAATGTGAATACATTAATGCGGGTTCTGATATTTCCGCTTTATGCAAAAACTAAAAAAATATCAAGTAGTGCAAGTCAAGCTAGGAATTCTAAAAAAGCATACCTATTGTTTGAAAACACACAAAGAGACATTCAAGTCGGTTCAATGATTTTGTTCGAAATGAAAATGTATTTTATAATATTTTTACGATTCATCCATTATTTTGCGCATGGGGGTATCGTCCCGTCCCCCCACCCTTCAAGAAAATCCACCCAATATAGGATGCACGGATCGCGTAGAATAGGGGTTCTCCGGCCGGTTGGTCATTCTGCCCTTACTTTAGGAACCAATAGTAGGTTTCTATTTTGCTCGATTGGAAATATACATAAAAGTATGTGCATTTCTGGAGAATCTCACACTTCGGGCACGAAGAGCGGGCAGGGCAATACTGTCGAGTTTTTCTGCTTGAGAGTGGCTATAAAAGCTTTCCGGTCAAAAAAAAGTGGAGAAAAAATTTATTTTTTTTTTATATCGAAGCAACCGCGTAGACAGAAGCCTAAATACCAGGGCACCGCAGCAATGAGGAGTTTAAAGCGGCTTTTTTAATCCGATTTTTGAACCGCCTAAGGTTAGTTGAACTGGGAAAAGCCTCCTCAGGTAGGTTGTTCCACAATCTCGACACCCTAGGGACAAAGGAGCGGTCGTATCGGCTAGTTCTGGATGTACGATGTCCGACCGATTAGGATGGGAGGCACAAGTCAGGCGGGTCTGAAAATTGCCTGAGTGTAGCGTCCGGTTTAAATATTCTTTGGGACAACTAAATGATAACTATCGCCTCAGACAATTTGAGGCAAGCATATTCGTGCTCGTTCGTAGGCGGGATTTCTAACAAAAAAATCACACGATATTCGCAAAATAATGGACGGTGGCGTATATGTAAAAAATTAGAATTAAATTAAAAATATGCAAGTAAGAGGTCTGTAAATCAAGTGATGAGACTGGCAATGTAGCGTTCGATCTGCCAACGCTGGAGGGTTGAATTATTCGATTGTCTGTACCATTTTTTTTTGTGGCACAGTGGAACGTGCGTTTTCATCTTCAATCTTGTGCGTTCAGATCGGTTGACAGTCAGAATTATTGGGGAAGAGTTAAATTTGACTCACACCACCGTTCATCAGAAAAGGAACAACAGTGTCAATAAACGAGTAAAAACATTCCTGGGCTCCTCAGCCTCCTGATTAGCCTGACTTGAGTCCTTGCAACTTTTTCACGAAGTTGAAAAATCACCTCAAGGGAACTTATTTTGGGACAATCGAAAGCATTCAGTCTCCAGCGCTGTGTCGCTTCAGAAGCAAGTTATTTTAAGGATAACAATATAAAATTGTAATTAATTTGAATGAAAAATAAAAAAAAACAGTCTGATGACTTAATGTACAGTCCTCATATGTTCAAATCGCAAACGAACCGCATGGAAATTTACAAGTTTAAAACATCAGAACCTTTTGAAGGAATCACATTCAACGTCAAAGTATATGTACGTGTAAGGGAAAAATATATAATATCTGTTCATTGTGTACTTTCCAAAAATAAACATATAATATTCAGTTCTACATTTATACATAATGTATACATATAATACGAGTATTGAGACATTATCCTACTTCTAATAAAATTATAAAATCCCATCAAAAGCTGGGAAATAAAAAGAATAACTACCAGAGCGTTCAAAATCTACGCGCAAGACATTTGAAAACTGAAATCCACGCAAAAACATTTTGATCTGATTTGTAGGACATTAAATGTTTTGAACGAGATACAGTCCGAACGCTCAATGCTGTAAATATAAATAAAGAAGATGGTAAGATCGTTTAGGGTGTCCCCTACTTGGCAAAGAAACAAAAACTCGCTTTGGGTAAGGGACCCCTGTATTCCTAATAAAATTACCGTCCCGGCTACCAGCAATACAATATTCGTAACAAAACATGTCTTCCCAAGTTTCCATGCGACTGTATAGTAGAGGCCGTGCACTATGTGACAGGGTTACACACCAAGCTTGCTAACACTACAGGGCTCAAGGTTCAAACAACAATGTATAACTCAGATCTCAGTACAACCTTCAAAGATTCTCAGAAGAAGCATAAATTTTCCATTATTGTTACTTCAATCTTATTGGAGCCAAGCATTTTCCATTTTTTACCAGACAGCCTCAGAAGGAGCAGCTGACCTATCAGAAAATGTATAGGTTAATGTAGATTTAGCATGAGTGATGATAACATTGACTCGTCTTGCCTGAGCTACATGGAACCGTTAAAGCTTCTAATGAAAGACGAATTGCAATGTTAATGAAACTATCACAAAACGTAAAGATTCATGTAGATTTGGAGAATATTTATGTAGATTCTTTTAGATTTCAAAAACCTTTGTTTGCTGAATAGGTCCGACAGTATTGCAAATTCGATTTGCATTAGAAGCTATAACAAAGAAAAAAGAAAAATCTTTAATTTGCTTTATTTTTTTTTCTGTGACAGCGATAAAATATTATTGGAGGAAATTATTGAGCATATCTTTGAGTAACGCAAATAATATAATAAAAATGTCGGCACTGCAGCCATATTCGCGAGTCATATAGAGTTTCAGGCGTTCTGCTCCAAACTTGGACAAAAAAGCGCTACTTGCTTAAGAAAAGAAGTCTGGGATTTTAAAAATATTGATTTTTGTATGGTCGTTTGCTAATTAACTTATCGAAAAACCCTTAAATATTTCTCTTCAACCTGTTACTTTGCACTGTGACTAATGTCCGTATTTATGGGTACCTTGAAATGGCATTGCAAACGCCAAAAACATTTGGTACTTCAAGAAATAAATAGCTGGAGTTTTACTAGGCATCTAACCTAAAACAGACTTGATTGTATGTTTGTCACCTCGTAGCATTGGCAATCTTAGGAATGTTCATGCGCTCTACTTAAAATATACAGGGTGTCCGCAAAGTTGAGGTTTTCCTTTTCAGATGCAACTAAAACTAATGTGTGGTGAAACGTGAGCGAACAAGTAAAAAAATAAATGAAAAAGTACTTACTCACTGTTCAGTTGAACTGAAATTTCAAGTACGGCTCTGTCGTAAAATCCGTATTTACACGTAGTCGTACGTCGTATAACTGTACGCTGGCGCTGTGGACGTGATCGAGGGACAGGACAGGACCGGCTTCGGTTTGGTTCAGGTTTGATTGATTTTGCGGAGCCCAATATATCGGTTCTCTTGAGACATTGGTGTATATGCTACTAAGAAAATCCGCTTATTTTCTCAAGATCTAACGGAAAACCCCAACTTTGCGGACACCCGTACTGCAAATTTTTATCTGATTTTATACACGTTATCATATTTTATACATTTTAAGAAACCGGTACCACTGACAGCAGTACCAAGTTCCAAAATTATTCTATCGTCGTATCCCAAAGACTAGGTTTACATATATAAATATTTTTCATGTAACAAGTTGGAAAACGAAAACTCGTACATTAAATGTAACTGTTGTTTATAGAGCATCTGATAACAATTTGAGTTTTCAAATTACAATAAACTTATCAACAGTACGTAGTAGGGGTGTACCGAGTGCTACTTTTTTCAGAACGTCGAGTACCGGGTACTCCGTGAAAATCGGGTACTTGGCAACTGCAACTTGTCTGTTAACCAGAAATTAACTTTCAAAAAGAGCTTTTCAATACCAATTCAGGCATAAAATACTCAAATAACGTAAATATACTCGCTTACTGGAGGAGACAGCCGCCATGTACTGAAAAAACATTAAATCATGTAAATGATTCAGCAAATATATGCTAGCTTTGCTACTTCTTTGATGGTGCGTTAATATCTTGGGAAGGTTTGGGAAAAGGGCATGCGCTTACATTTTGCAGTTCACAGATGCAATTCTTTGATGTACACAAGCTGTACTGCGTTCAAATCAAGTACTTACCCGACCGCGCACTCAGTAAAATGGTCAGAGTATGCCGAGTACCGGGTACCAACCGAGTATTCGGTGCATCCCTAGAACGTAGTCTGTCTCTACAAACCTTTATTTCAACCAAATAATGTCGGAATCATTACTAATCTAATACTACTCGAAACTTTCTAAATATCTTGCCATCCCAAAACACCCTGTATAAATATTTCAAGTTATTATGTTCGATGGCGAGGCATATTCCATCGATGACATCAATGGCGGCATATGTATATTAACAAAAAATAAGTGTCAGTTTCACGATGGCTATAAATGCGACATATAATACTAAACAACTCAATCATAATGATAGTCTGAATGGCAACACTGGTAATTCGTCATGTTAGGCACTAAGCCAATGTTGCCATTTACACTTGCTATGACTTTCGATCTATGCTGCCGTACTTGAGTAAAAGGCATTAAAGTTCATTTACTGCCTTTTTTAAATTTCGATTTTATGATTACAATTACAAAATATATCATTGGTCGCGTTAAGTTATTTTTTCTCTTTGTCAAATATTTCATATTAATTACATTCCCAAAGCATCAATTTATCAAAGTAAAAAAGCTGTAGTTTCCAAACTATACTGCTTTTATTATCTGTGTGATACAAGTACTGCCTTTTTACGTCAAAATTCTATTGTGAATAATTACTTTTGCTCCAAAAAAATAATTTTGAAAAATATTCTTCGGTTAAGTTGACATATCAAAAAAAACATGCTGCTGTTAGTTTAATTACATAATTATTTTGTCGAGAGCTACGAAAAAAGACAGTAAATCTATTTTTGCATAGTATAAAGGCAGTAAGTCGCATGTTACTGCTTTTTGGTTTACGACAATTAAAGACGGAATGTCATTTATTTAAGGCCTCGACAAAAATTATGATCCGACATCGCATTTAAATGATTTCAGAATAAAATTCATGTAACTTTGCAATATTCGATATTGAGTCGTAATACATTTAGTTCGAAAAAATGCAGAATTTCGAGCTCGATTTTCTCATCCTTATTTTTAAACTTCACTGCGTTTAACCCAAGTATGGTAGCATCCATTATGCATATCGCATTTGTGACTACGTACACATGACTTTTTAAACCCCTATCAGGTAAAACACGTCAATAATCGTTCGTCTTGTCGGAGTAACAGTTGAACACGGGGGGAGAAACAATGGCTATCCAAACAAATTCTGTATTGTTTTTGAATGCTAAAGGACTCCGCACAAAATGATCGAGGCGAATTGCCTGAAAATTCAGTATCATGTATTTCTCGCATACCTAAACAAAAGTTCTCATGGAACCAAAGAGATCATATGATTAGTTCGCGAGAAATAGCAGACCAAATACTCCGAGAATTTTTATTGTGAAAGAAGAAATATTTCACCAAAAACCTTGCAGGAGGGTATTGGTAGGTGTCATGTTAATACTGACAATGACTGTTGGAAAGTGAGCAATCATGAAAAATATGTATTGGCGAGAATTATAAATTGCAACATCTTAAAGCACACTACTTTCAACTAAGAAAATTTTTTGGGGTTGGAGGCTCAGAAGACGCCCGTCTCGAGATAGGAAGGCATATCGGCGATTCAACATCGAATAATTTAAAATTGAAGGAGGACTGGTCGAAAGACGTTCCAATTTTTTTACTCCGAAATTTCGGGAGGGGACACTCCCCCTGGATCCGCCACTGCCTTCAGCATCTGTGGTTCTATTTATTGGCGAGAATTATAAACTGCAACATTTTAAAGCACAGTACTTTTAACCTAGAAAATATTTGAATTTTTTTTTTTTGGAGTTGGGGGCTCAGAAAGATGCCCGTCGCGAGGAAGGAAAGCGTATCGGCGATTCAACATTGAATAATTAAAAATTGAAGGGGGAAGGGTCGAAAGACGTTCCAATTTTTTCAACTCCAAAAGGGAGTCTGGAGCCCCAGGACAGTCCCCCTGAATCCGCCACTGCTTTCAGCATCTGTGGTTTTATTTATTGGCGAGAATTATAAATTGCAACATCTTAAAGCACAGTTCAAACTTGTGCGTTTCTCCTTCCATCTTCAAAATGAACGATCTACATTTGGCCTTGTGAAAGTAATAACCAAATAAAAGGAAACAATCGCGATCTTTCAGAAATTAACATCTAAAAATCAACTTACCCTTTTATTGACATGGTCACCAGCAACATGATACCTCCCAACACCTTCCTACAATACTTCTTTCAGTATACCGATCCTCAGTGTTTTGGGCAAGCATTAGTACTTTTATTCAGAAAGGTGAGAAATATATCATAATGAATTTTTAGACAAATCAACTGGGATCAATGTTCCATATGTATTGTGCATGGTCCTTTGGTACAAGTTATATTAAGGATTTGGAAAAATATATGATTCTCAATAAATGTCCAACTGTTGCTCTTGAGGTTTTAGTTCTACTGAGGAAACTTTTCCGCGAACTTGAAAAATTCCACAATTAAAATAATATACATACAAAACTTCAAAAATGTTATGATGGTTTATTAAAACTATAGTGCACAATTATTTACCTCAAGTACTACACAGCCGGCATCATAATGTCTGAATGTACTATCTGGTTATTTTACTTGTAACCAAATAAATGGAAAGGCGAACATAATTTTTTTTCAACAGACGCGCTGAGAAATCTTCCTCAGTAGAAAAATCAACTGTAAAAAATGGCATTAAATCTTGAGACACTCGTCTCGTACATAATTCGATTACATTAACATTACCGAGTAAGTTTTACATAGCAAATATTCGAAATGTACATCACCTATGTAATAAATAATAAATGTGGAATGCGTCCTTTACGTCATATGCTTTTCTCTTAAAATTGTTCCGATAGCAGATCACATATTTCTACAGATACAGTCTCCTTGCTTGATCTTACTGTCAATCTGTACATCTGGAACAACGTAAAACATACATTAATGTTTGACGACAGAGGGCGTTCCTGAGGGAAGTTGGTGTTATCGATCAAACGACGACACAAGAAATTTCAGACTGATTAATAGGTTAGCTTAGATTTGGCAGCCGGGAAAAGTATCTTTTTTTGGAAAATATTGTGTCTCATCTCTAACACGGCTACTTATTGAATCGCCCTCGTATATCGTATCTGGAGGCATATTTCAATACTATTCACAATTATATCACTTTGACCTATATATCAAAGTTAATTTTTCTTAAATGGATTACCCTCCTTTTTATTGCAAATTCAGAGAGGTCACTTTAAATGAACAAGATTGATGTAACGTACGGTATGGCTTTCCATATAAAAAACATCAACGTTTGACAGCCTGCATATCTCTGCTATGTTGACAGGTGGAGTCGTGAATGTTGTATAATTTTTTTTATTCTACTCAATTTCAACCTAATTCATCGATTTTACGAAAACCTCAAATAATCAATACAGGATGGTAAAAAGCTCAAAAAATACTTTTTCGCAGAAAAATATATTAAACACCCTGTATATTTTTACACTATCGAATTCCCAGTTGGAATTGAATATTTCTCTGTTCAAACATAAAACAGGGAATCCGACAGTGCAAAAATATACAAAGTGATCCAATTAACATTTTGCTGTTTTGATCATTAAAAAAATTCGGAAAATGGCTGAATTCAGCTATAATTGAGTAAAGAAAAATTTTATGCAAAATTCAAGACTCCAGCTGTCAACATAGCGGATAAGCAGGCTGTCAAACTCTGATGTATGATTATAATGGGTGATTTTTTGCTAGTATCTTTTTGGCAACACTGTTTTTGACAGATGACGCGTGAATCGTGTCTTGTGTCGTTGTCAAACTTGTTCAGTTTGGTCTATAATTTAACCATGAATCGACTTACGAACGAACAACGCTTGCAAATTATTGAATTTTACTATCAAAATTCATGCTCGGTTAAGAGAGTGCATCGAGCACTGCTTCCAATTTATGGGCAATTTGGTCGGCCTACTGAGGGAGCTATTCGGAAGCTTGTGACTAAATTTCGAACCCAGTTTACATTATTTTGCATTAAACCACCAACACGCAGACGTAGAGTGAGGACTGAAGAAAATATTGCGGCTGTATCCGCCAGTGTTAGTGATGACCGTGAAATGTCGATTCGCCGCCGTTCGCAGCAATTGGGCCTCTGTTACTCCACTACGTAGAAAATTTTGCGACAGGATTTGGGTGTAAAACCTTATAAGATACAGCTGGTGCAAGAATTGAAGCCACACGATCTCCCAAAACGTTTCCAATTTGGTAAATGGGCGCTAGCAAAGTTGGATTAAGATCCACATTTTTATCGAAAAATTGTGTTCAGCGACGAAGCTCATTTCTGGTTGAATGGGTACGTTAACAAGCAAAATTGCCGCATCTGGAGTGAAGACCAGCCAGAAGCATTGCAAGAGCTACCAGTGGATCCCGAAAAAATCACTGTTTGGTGTGGATTATGGGCCAGTGGCATCATCGGGCCGTACTTCTTCAAAGACGACAATGGCCGGAACGTAACTGTGAATGGCGGGCGCTACCGTGCGATGATAACAAACTTATTTTTGCCCAAAATGGAAGAGCTGGACTTGGCTGACATGTGGTTTCAACAAGACGGTGCCACATGCCACACCGCACACGAAACAATGGCCCTACTGAGAGGCGAGTTCGGTGAATAGTTTATCACACGTTTGGGGCCCGTCAATTGGCCGCCTAGATCGTGTGATTTAACGCCGTTGGACTATTTCTTGTGGGGCCATGTTAAGGCTAATGTCTACAGGGATAAACCAGCAACGATTGACGCACTGGAAGCCAATATTGAAGCATTTATTCGTGAGATACCGGCCGATATGTTGGAGAAAGTGTGCCAAAATTGGACCTTGCGCATGTGCCATCTAAAGCGGAGCCGCGACCAACATTTACATGAAATAATCTTTAAACATTAAATTATATCGACCGTTCTATCGACTCAAATAAAGATTTAATCGTTTTTTCAAATTTTTTGTGTTTTTTTTTTGAAAATCAAATCCTATACCTCTTAAAAAATCACCCGTTATAAAATACCTATCAATACAACAATTAATCACCAAATGTAATATCAGTCTTGTTTTTTTAAAGGCTAGCCGAATGTGTAACAAAAAGTAGGGCATTCCATTTAAGAAAAATAAACTTTGATATGTTGATCAAAGTTGAGACATCCTACAAAATTGTGAATATTTTAGAAATATGCCCCCATAATCTATAGTTTTTTGTTTAGGAGCAATATTCTTCGCGCGGTAGGGCCATCCTGTATGAAAATAAAAAACCTATTATTGCGTTCCAATAACAATAACATACCTGAGCATTCTTATTTGGTTCCAGTCGCAAAAGACAGCCAACCTGTTGAGCCCTCATGTGTATAATCCCAGCGCATACAAAATTGTCGGGATTGGGATCAATACCATCTAGAAGTTGCATCCCAAAACCCATTATTTTCGTTCTAGCAACTAGCAGGTCCATTGGAGAACTGGCTTTGAATATTTTTTGAGATCTTTGTTGGTTTGTGCTAGAATAACGAACATAAATTTAGATCAGGATTCAGAAAAATCACGATTTTTTGTTTGTTTGACAGACAGACTTTCCTACACAGGGTGATTCACAAGTCGTGACGAAACAGTACGCCACTGTTTTTTTTTTCGAAACGCGCAATTTTCCGAATTTTACCGTCAATTTACTACAAATTTTTTTTTCCTATAGTTTTCGTAAAAATAAAAAAATTAGATCGTTCATCAGATGCAATCAGTTTCAAAATAAAATAGGAGGCCTTGATACCAACTTGACGTTTCTTGGGAGATAGTTTGTCAAAGTAAAAAACTTCTTTTTAATGAATCCTTCGAGGTAAAAATCTTACATTTTTGGTCACGACTTGCGAATCACCCTGTATATAAGTAGTTTAATATAACAACTGGATAGAATAGAAATTGTGCGTTTAAATGCGTATTTTTACTTTTTCTTTTATGTAGCTGATTTGATCATGTTTGATTTAAATACTGATTTTTGAAAAGAATCACTCGATACAAATTATTAATTTAAATCAAACGTAATCGTACGTTATACCAAACTGCGTCGTTTGAAAAGCCCTATCCAATTCTGCAATAAAATGAATCGTTTCACATTTAAAAATATATATGTTTGAACCACCACTCAGCTATGAATCACCCTAAAGATATAAAATATGTTCCACGCTATCGGGCTAAAAATGCACCCTGTAAAATAATGTATCAAACTACAATGTTGGGCAACTTACTTTCCTAGATTTTTCCATCTGGCAAAGAAGGACTCTCCGTTCATTTCAGTTGGCTCAAAAAATTTGTTTATTGTCAATGGTAATTTGACGGTTATCTTATACGGTACTTTGTTGCAGGTGAAACTAACGATGATTACAGGAGCATCTGAAAAAAGGAACCATTATAAACCGGTTATTTTTTTTTTACTGAAGGTATTGCTTCTGCTACAAAGAGGATTTCTACAAGACTTGGTCGCTTTGTTTTGTTACATACCTGTATAGTCATCGATACACTCAGCATTGATCATTTGTTGTATTTGAGCACCAGCTTCAAGCACGGGTTCAACAGGCTTCATCTGTACACTCAACTTGGCGGCATTTTCATCGGACCAACTCAACGTTGAGGAAAAATTCTGCAATGAACTACTGGTCTTGTTGCCATAAAACAAACCCAATCTTCCCAGGTTCTGACGAAACTCGCTTTTGATTCCGATTTGGATTAGTTCATTTTCGAACAAGACACCATTGTTTTTACATACGAATCTGCAAAGAAAATCAGTTTTCACACTTCCGACGGAAATGAGTTACTTGGTTTTTCGTGAAGAACATGGCCAAATTTGTTTAAATAAATTAAAACTATTTCTCGGACAAATTATTTTCTTTTTTTTATCGTTGGCTTCCATTAAGTTTTCTCTGAAGTTGACCATTTTCGAGTTATAAACGATTTAATGTATGAAAAGCCCTAAGAATGGGTATACTCAATATTCGGTCAAAAATTACAATTTTTAAGGTCACCAAGTAATAATCTTTATTTATACAAAGTATAAAAAGGCGAAGTGTCGCTAAACGAGTAACGTGTCTTTTTGCTCTTCAAAACAAGTCTACGTAGATTTTCTTATCTCCCACTGCTTTAAACTGGTTGACTGGGTTTGTAAGCCTAACTTACCACCCTTGCTATATGTGCGCCTATGTAAATTACCCCATCCATCGACTGGAAAAAATGGTGATTCATTGCCACAGATTTAAAGATTTTGCTTACACACCCTCTTGTCACAATCACTCGTGTTCAACATTATTAAAAAAAAAAATGGCGCCAAGTAGATTGACTATACACTTCCAACGCGTTCGTTGGAGATTTCAAATAAAAGACACCGAGTCAAATCATTTCAAAAGGCGAAATGGAATACTTGTAGATGGTTCACTTGGTACGATGAATTTTCGACCTCTGCATATCAAACTATATTGAAGCAAATCTATCGTATGTGTGACATGTCTAACAGATGCATTGTATCACCGAGATCAGCAGCTTTTTAATAATAGAGGTCTTTCGTTGCCACAGAAAATGAACAGGAATCTCTGAAACGTAAACTATTTTCAAACGATTTTATTTTTTGTCCCTCAAAATTAATTTTCAAAATTTACTACCTAAACAATGGAACATGTTTTCTGTTGCTTACACTTCACTAAGCATAGGAAAGCGTTCCCGTGGTAGGAAGTAAAAAAATCAACACTGCTATTAATAGTTCTTATGCATTAAATACGCGAAATCGACGAAACGCACTTTGGCTAATTCCGCATTAAAGCAACATACGTGCCTTAAGCCGGCCCTGGATCGCCACTTGCTGTGGCCTGAACCAAGGACTGTATTTATTTTGTTGGGGGCCCACCACTAACTACTACTACTCTACTACTACTCTACAACTACTAAACTACTCATGCTAAACCTGAAAGAGAATATTATGTTTGGATTAGAATGGTTTCCTTTTTGATTAGGAGAGAAAACTGGTCAACAACTAGGTTGACCATCAAAACAACTCCTTTGTCATCCGAGATTTGGCTAGGCGCCACTACCAAATAACGAATGACAATCCTAATTGGTGACGATCGTCTCCTCAGAAGTCCATCGAAATCGACCACATTGAATTTTATGGGTGTTGCAAGAGCATCATACAATGCGGAGCTATCTATTGGCCAATTACAGTTATCACTTGCTTCAATTTTTGACAGTCATATGCCCACAAAAAACTAACTATAACCTCGGATGATAAACGTAAACATTGCGATTTCAAAAACAGATTTAACAAACGTAAATATGCAAGATGATGGATGGAAAAAGAAATAATTAGTGCGAAATTGTGCAGGTGCATCTTCCAAACTTAAATTCATCTCAGGTTTTTGTTTATTCATCTAGCAATCTGTGAAATGAATCTCTTGATGCGTCATAGTGCGTTTGAGGTTATGCGGGACTATGGTGCAAGTTTTATCGGATTTTCTGTGGATATACAGGGTGTTTTACATCTTATCCGACATATGCACTGTTACGAAAGAAGTTGATTTCTCAAAAAAATATATGTAATAGAAGTCCTACATCGTCGTGATATTAGAACACGCATCAATAATTTATTGCAAATGTTGCATCAAACAACTGACGAAAATAAAATACCAGGAATTTTTGGTTTTTTCATACTGATAAGAACGTGTAAATAACGTTTAATCTCTATCGTGGGTGATCTGAATGAAGAACGGTCGATTTTTGTCAAGTTAAATAATAATACGAGTGATTCTGAGAAGAGGGTGTAAGCAAAATCTTTAAATGTGACAATGAATCACCATTTTTTTCCAGTCTATAGATGGGGTAAATTACATAGGCGCACATATAGCATTCGGAGGGTGGAAAGTTAGGCTTACAAACCCAGTCATCCAATTCGAAGCAGAATTGCTGGCTGTTTAAAGCAGAGGGAGATAAAAAAATCTACGTAGAGATGTTTTGAAGAGCAAAAAAGACACATGTCAGTCGTTGTCCAAAAAAACGGGACGCGAAAGAACTGGAGCAAGCTCCGCAGCACATCTCTTCATGTTTATAAGTTTTTATCAAAATTCAATAAATAATTCTGGGTGTTGCATTTAGCACTGAGTATATATATTTTAATGCAAATAAGATAGCGTGTATGACATGTCTCAATCGGTTTTTGTTTCCGCAACCTGCCTCAAATTTAATTTTTCCTATGGATATTGGATTTTTCGATTTTTGAAAAGAGCTTAAAATTTTCAGCCTAGTGATGATCACAAGTGCATAAAAGATTGGACTATCATCGAAATATCATCACACGTAATGTTATGTATTAATCTTTTTCTAAGGAAGCTAAGATGTATACTAAGTGACATATAAATCCGAACACCCAGTTTAAATGGTTTTATTTTAATAAAAGTTGGTGAATGTATTTATCTTACTGTAAATAACAAGTGAAAAAAATTTCAGCCTTATGAGTTGGACGGTTTTTATACTGCTTTTTTTTTAATTCACTAACGCTCTAAAAATGAATATTTCAGCCGCAGTAAAGAATCAACGTTGGCGGATTTTGGTTCTTGACATCCTTTACGATCGGTTACGATGCCTAGAGTACGGAGACCTGTACGATTTCGTCAACTTAGTGAGTTTGATAGGGGCCGTATAGTGGGACTTCGGGAAGCTGGACTTTCTTTTCGAGCAATTGCAGTTCGAGTGCAAAGAAGTGTAGGCACTGTGGTTAGGTGTTGTCAGGCATGGCTTCGAGAAGGCCGTACGCAAAGAGCAAGGGGCACTGGACGCCGCCGTAGAACAACAGACCGTGAAGATCGCCGCCTAAGATTATTGGCCTTCAGGGACCGTTTCTCCACTACCAGGTCCATTGCAAATGAATGGTTTGCAGAACACGGAAGACCTATTGGCATGCGAAGTGTTTACCGACGAATGAGAAGTTTTGGCTTGTTTTCATATCGGCCACACTGGGTCCTCCCTTCAACTCGAGAACACCGACGTAATCGCCTTGAGTGGTGCAGACAACGGTCATTTTGGGATCAGGAATGGAACAGTATTGTCTTTAGTGACGAGTCTCGATTTTGTTTAGGCATGCACGATGGTCGTGCCAGGGTTAGAAGGCGACGTGGTGAAAGGAGGAATCCACAGTTTTTTGTTGAAAGACATGTTCATCACACTGTTGGAGTTATGGTTTGGGGTGCTATAACTTATGGTTCCAGGTCACCTTTAATCTTCATCAGAGGTAACATGAACGCGCAGCGTTATATCCACGAAGTTCTAGAACCCCATCTTTTACCCTATCTTGACACCCTGGCAGATCCAACTTTCCAACAAGATAATGCCCGACCACATGTTGCAAGAGTCACAATAGACTTCTTTCAACATAATGATATCACATTTTTACCATGGCCACCAAGATCTCCCGACTTATCCCCAATTGAGCACGTGTGGGATATGATGGGTAGGAGATTGCTCAATTTGCAACGTCCTCCTCAGACTCTAGAAGCACTTCGAGAGGAGTTGGTGGTTGCCTGGAATGAGATACCACAGGAGGACATTGACCACCTGATCAGAAGCATGCCTAGGAAGGCAGTTGGAGAATGCGTAGCACATCAGGGTGCATCCACACATTATTAAAGGTCAAAGGACTTTAAAGCAGTACAATCATTTTGAAATTTTTATCATTTACTTATTATGCTTCATTAAGTACTTATACAAAATTTTATTAAAATAAAACCATTTAAACTGGGTGTTCGGATTTATATGTCACTTAGTATAATTCAAAGTATAGAAATTGGTGTTTTATTAAGTAGTATGTACGTTTTCTCTCATTAAAATCATAAATCTGACAAAACAATGGTCAAAACCTGTTGAAAATGGCCTTACCTTTTTCAATTGGGCACCTACTAAATAAAATCGTTGCGTCGCCGCACTCACAATAACAAAAAAAGTGGACATACATTGATACAGATTTGGGACTTCAACTTTTGTTTTTATTGTGAGCGCAAAAATTTCAGTTTATATATCTTTTGTGAATTTTATTCAAACTTACGACCATGTACTCATACAAAAAATAGTAAGTTAGACATTCGAAAATGGTTGAACTTTGGAGAAAAATAACAAAACTTGCAACTTTGGTTTTTAAAAATTATTGAAGTACTAAAATCAAAAGAAGAATTTTTATGAAAGCTTACAATGCCTACGTTTTTAAATGTTTAAATGCCAAAATTTCACAGTTGCGATTAACTTGAAATATGAGTAATTTTCATGACTTGACTCTACTGTCATTCGATATAATAAAATTACTTACTTCTTGTTATCAACAACACTTTCGGGTGGTTGAGTTGGGGTTGATAACCCTAGAAGGTCTGCTGAGCTGGATCTGGAACATATGTAAAGCGATAATTAACCATAATTCCAAAAATTACATTGAAAAACATGCCGATAAAATCCGAACAAACCTGAATACACTTACGTTGTATTGTTGACATCGTTGTTGTGGTTTGTGATAGGAGTTGGACTCTTGTTATCTTTGATATCATTTTCAGGTACTCTGCCGGGTTTTTTCTTTTTTAGCACAGCCAAGATAGAACTTTCTCTTTCAGGGAACGCGGGCATTTCCTCGAGCACGGTCGCCAACACGTCAGAACTAGCGATTATGCTCAACTGCAAATATTCGGAAGCCCTCTGTTGAAGTTCCACATCTGCTGATTTCAAGTTGCTGTCCTGTTTGAACACTTCCTGAACCTGCAACCAATAACAATCATTTCATTGTCAATCAAGCAAATTCACAAGTGCATCAAAGAAACTAGAGGATGTTTCCAAAACATGCGGCAGGTTAGCTCAGTTTTTTCTGTAAATTAAGTGATGAGTCTGGCAACGTAGCGTTCGATCTGCCAACAGCGGAATATGTGATCTACCTTCAGTACAAGTTTGAACTCGATCGAGTTATCTCGATGTCCGCAGCGACTTTTGTGTTGTGAAACAGTTCTTTCTATTGTGTTCTAATGATGAGTGACATCAATCTCAAGCAACTGTGTGCTATCAGGTTTTGCTTCAGACTTGCCTACGAAGATAGTGTTGTGTCAAGAGCCCAGGTTTTTCGGTGGTTTGAAGCAGTTTCAGAAGGTAGAGAGTCAATTGAAGATGAACCACGAAGCGGAAGGCCTTCATCTTCAAGAATCGTCGGTTGATAGTCAGAATGATCGGGGACTCGCAAGTCACATACTTTTACACTTTAATGCCTTAATGTACCATAACAACTATTTAATGAAAGGCATAAAACCAAAATTATAGTTCGCTACATTTTTTTCTTGTTACCGAAGTAAAGAATGAACTTGTGCTTGTTTTATAGGTATGCAAGTGCTACTGACCTGCGTTCTAATCTCGGGAAACAGATTGATGAATTTGATGTAAGTAGAAAGTAATAGTGCTCTGGTCATCGGAGAGCAGAGGTGATACTTTGAGTGCAGCAACTGGAACTGAACGGCCGGCGATGAACGTTGATCACCAGCTATGAGATTACCAAATTCACCAAGAATATAACCTCCAACCTTGACCATGTTCTCATGGCACGCCGGCGCTTGCAACGCCTCAAATACAGTTTTGGCAGCGTACCCTTGCACCTCGTCTCTGTTTATCACTATCTGTATTACACGGTACCACACTTCTTCAGACACATAATCGCCAGCGATTCGAATCAGATTCAGGATAACGTCTACATACCTGCAAAGATGGTCGAGTTTTTACAGGTTGTAGCAACAGAAATATAGCAAAAAATTGACGTTTCAACGGATCCTGATGATTTTTCAAAAAATTGAGGGGAGGTGAGTTGTAAGGGGTCGAGAAGGATATATCGCAAGAACCACGTGCGCCTGTAGCAATTTCTCTCAGGGGAGGAGGACGGTCATTCATTTTTTTGTCAAAAATAATCCTTTCTATCAGCGTAGTCAACTTAATTGATGCTGTTTCTTGGCTGGAAATGACCCCTTAGCACTAGTTTTCCATGACTTTTGGGACTCTGAACTCTGAACTTTTTTGTAATCACTTAAGGTGACACGTCCCTTTTTTAGATTTCTTTTCAACTTCCTGTTTGAAGCAGTATATAAAACATATTCTAACAACATGATCTCACCATGTATAATCCGTAGCATACTTTTCAGCAAGTATGGCAACTTTCAGCACCATTTCTTCTCTTATTGAATAATCTGCCGTCTCTAGATAATTCAACATTTCCTGTACAATCTCCTCGGCGTTACTCTTGTCGCACATAGCATACAATAGGTCGACAGCCTGCTGTCTCACAGACACGTCTTTTTCCATCTTCATGGACAGAATAACAACTTCCTGATGTTTTTTCACAGCTTCGTGCGAAAATTCCGACGTCGCTAAATGACACATTGATTCTAGAGCTAGATATCTCAGATTTGTTTCCCTATTGCTTAAAAACTGGCCTAGTTGGTTGCACGCTCTCACCAGAAGATTAGCCTCACTGAAAAAAGTATCTCTTACAGCTTGTTGGATGTTCCACGTGAAGCGGACACCGAAAAAAAGTGGGGTTTCAGGATTGAAATCTTTCGGCCTGGTTCTACAGGGTGTCCCAGAAATAACACGCCAGAATGACACGGGAGGAGATAGACTTCAGATCAATCAGATAAAATCAAGTAAAGTAGTAAAAGTTTTCACTACTTTTTGCCTGTTATTACTATAAAGAACTTCTAACTTTTTTCCCTGGGCTTCCATTAATAGTTGGTTGAGACAACCGAGTATTTATTGCATTGAAAACTAGCACGGTATGCTAAAAAAAAGAAATTATTACATTTGGTTTCAATGCGAAAACCTTTACTAAAGTTTTACTGATTACTGTGAAAAAAAATGTTCCAGAGTGAATCAGCAAACGACCTTAAAAATCAGCCAATCTTTCCAAAATAGCAATTAGAAGTAGTGATTTTTTTAAAAAACCTAAAAGTGGCATTATTTCGAAAACTAGAAAGCTTCTACTAAGGTCATGTTGATTTGAAGCCAATTTACCTCCCGTGTCACTCTGGCTTGTTATTTCTGGTTTACTCCGTATATACAATTCATTAAAAAAAATATTCGAATATTAAAAAAAATAGCGCAGGTTGCAGAGCAAATTTCGTGTAACGACAGTGAAGATAAGTTACTAATTTTCAATGCTAACTGACAATGACAAATTCATTCAAATAAACGCTCCCTGATAATTAAATATAAACTTACCTATCATTGTGAATGATAAGGCTTATAGCTTCGAACAAAACAGCATTCTTCGCATTCGAGTGTTGAACCTTCTTAGATTTTGGAGGTTCCTGCGCCTTATTCAATATAGTTTCAAGGCATTCATTCAATCTACCTCTGACACCAGGATCTTCAGCTGAAAACAAATTATTTTCCACTATTTTCACGATTTACTATTACATCGTGTTTGTTTTTAACTTTTTTTAACGTAATTTAATCATTACTATTTAAGATAACCTTGTGTCCCTTACCTGGAGGAGTATAGTTTTGTAATAATCTTAATAACTTAACAGAGAGCCAAGGTGCTGGTACAAAATAATATGTATAGTCTTGAAGATCAGTATAACTTGCTGTAACAATCTGAAAGAAACATTAGTTACCAGAACACAAAATAAAAAATACAGAAAGTTCCGCTTTGTATCACTTCATTCACACAACTTAAGTTTTTTCTTTCTATTCAGATAATTATGCGAATGATCATAACAGTGCAGTTTTGAAGTTTTCTTTCACTTTCACAAATCTTCAAAGTAAGAAATCCGATTAAACTAATTCGCGATTCCTCAAAACCAGGTCAAAAAATGTGCTAATTCATCGTATTTAAAGTTGTTGCTGAATCTTTGGTCGACAATGTAGAAAAATATCGTCTGATTGACATACAGGGTTTGTCCGGAAAGTAATAGGACTGAGTCGATTTAAAAAAAATTATGGAGCCAATCGTTACAATTCTTTAAAAACTTTCAAAATAGGCTCCTTCTTCGTCGATGCAGCGCTGCCAGCGCGATTTCCAAGCATCGAAGCCGTCACGGAAGGCATTTTCCGGAATAGCCTTGAGAGCCGCGGTGCATTCCGCTTGGATCCCCTCTGTCGTCTAAAAATGCTTGCCTTTCATCGGCCTTTTCAGGCGAGGAAACAAAAAAAAGTCCGGGAGGGGCCACATCTGGGCTGTAGGGCGGTTGGGGAAGCGTTGGGATGCCGGCCATGGTCAGGTGTCTGTTCACAAGAAAGGCGGTGTGAGCCGGGGCGTTGTCGTGGTGCAACTTCCAGTCGGCTGCGATGTCTTGTCGGACCGGACTGACCCTTCGTTGTAGTCTCCTGAGCACTTCCACGTAAAACTTGGCGTAGGCGGTTTGTCCAGGAGGAACATATTCATGGTGAACGATGCCTTTGATGTCAAAAAAGACAATGAGCATCGTTTTCACTTTGGATTTGCTCATTCATCCCTCTTTTGGGCGAGGAGACGCCGTAGTGTGCCACTCTGAAGATTGCCTCTTTGTCTCGGGATCATACTCAAAGATCCACGACTCGTCACCTGTGATTACGTTATTCAAAAATTGGAGGTCACTTTCACACAAATTTTCTTGGCACACTTCCACTCGCCGCAATTTCTGGTCGTAAGTGAGCACTTTTGGGACCATCTTCGCGCACGTCTTGCGCATGTTCAAATGCTGTGTCACAATGTCATGAACCACAGATTTTCGTAAATTTAACATCTGGGCAATTAAACGAATACTTAGTCGACGGTCTGAGTTCAAAACTTTGCGCACACGAGTCACATTATCGGTGTTTGTCGAAGTCGAAGGTCGCACGCTCCGAAGTACAGTCGTGGCGGAAGAAAATGAGTCCTATTACTTTCCGGACAGACCCTGTACGTGACGCGGTGATATTAAAAAAGCGGCTTACTCGACTTAACCTAGAAACAGCAAGTGACACACAGCCTTTGTATTCTTCAGGATTCTTTTTAACTAAAGCATCGATCAGGCTTGTTGCAGCCGTCACCACTCCCATATGTTGATCGTTAAGTAAATGGATTATTCGAGAGGTCCATTCGCCTCCCGGAATTATTTCTTGGGATGTTCTGAATAATCTGAGCAGGCAAAGAGCTGCACTTTGCTTAACAACGTCCATTGTGTCACTGTAAAGAAAAAATGGCGTCAAGTAGTCAGCCTCTACACTTCCCACGCCTTCGAAATAGCTTCTAGTACAGTTTTGCCAGAACATTTAACATACTACTGGGGCTACACGGTAGCCTCATTTCTTTGCAGCTCTAGTGTGAAACTACTTGTCAATGAATTAGTGGTGTGCAGTTCACGAACGAATTATTTCAATCGAAAGATTCTTATGATTGAACTAAATACCATTCCTTGAAAAACTCGTTGACTCGTTCGATACGAACGACTGGTATTACAGGATCCCGATGATCCAACCGAACTAGTTGTAAGTGAACAAACCAGATAGGAGAAACACTGGTTGCCCAGAAGTTATGAAAAAGACGATAAATGCTGTTAGTTATAGTCTATAAAATTAACATCATTGCGGCTCAGGAAGAAATTAAAAATAATATGAAAAGAAACATAAAACATAAATACATCGAAACTTTACTATGGAAGTAAACAAGCTTTCATTGTAGTGCCATAATAGTGGGAAATTGGTTGAGGAAAACAGAGAAAGCAGAACTTCACGCTAAAAAAGAGGACAATTCTCCCGAAAGAACATCTGGCAACCCTGGTAAAAAGTATGTTTTATTGATTAAAAATCTTGGAAACTGAAAACAAAAAATAAAAGTGTTTCCCACATCTCATAGCTACTATGTAAGCGTCAGTTTCCGTTAGAAATTTAAATGTGAAACGTCGATCCAGTAAAATAATGTCAAGTAGATTTACTTTCAACTTTTCACGTAGCGACATTAATATAAAAATGTGAATTTTGACTGAATCTCGATCATTGAAGAACTTTTAAAAACCAAAGAGCAATTAATTTCAGCTGGTCGGCGTCCAGATCACCGAGGACTTGATCTGGCACGAACACATCTAGGCTAATAGCGACAACTGCCGGGAAAAATTTCTCTATTTGTTTATGGTCAAGGAGCCCTTTTCTCCAAATAACCTCCATACTATTTACAATGCCCAGATAAAATCTAGCATCGTGTACTACTCACATGTTTGGGGTGCTAAAAAGATAAAGATAGAAGACGCTACACCCGTCGACAAATCATTCGTTTCCCACTCATTTATTTTATATTATTCAACTGACACCATTCTACCAAAATGTTTATATCTTGCTGCCCTGACTGAAATAATTTACTTACCCGGAAACTAGTAATTTGGGAATGTCATTTCCAAAAGCGTCTGCCATCTCGCGACTTCCAATATTGGCAATACACTGTAAAGCCAAATTGACATGTATTGGATTCCTAGATGCCAAATCATTCTTGATACTCTGTATGATCAATTTTATCAATTCGCTATTTGTATTTACTAAGACAGATATGAATAGGTAGCCCTAAAATAAATACAATCAGTTATGTTCAAAAGCACAAACATCCAGCACCTGTTGGGAAACTTACGATTTGTTTCTCAGAGTATTTATTTGATGACAAAAGATTGACTGCTTCCATGTGCCCAAAGTCAATGTCATGTCCAAGCAAAAATATGAACAGTAATTTACAAACATATTTCTTTTTTTGGTAACCATCTAAAGTTTTGTCTCCTTTGAATTTACTACGGATATTAGCTAACTCTTTATTGATCCTCTTTATTTCTGCTTCCTTGCTTTTACCTGTAATACGTCAATAACATTTTATTGCAATCATTTATTAGGCTATTTTCTTTTTTAGGTGACAATTCTTTCAACTTACCATTATCACAAAAGTGATTATTTTTATTTTGAAAATGTGATAGATCCACTTAAAACAATATAGCATTTCCCTCAAAAACGTTCTGGATTATACAGGGGTGTTCCGCCACTGTGCTGGATATCAAAGTTGGATTTTTTACAAGGTCTATATTTTTTAATAGACATCGAGATAGACCCTTTATCGACTTTCTCGGAGTTATTACTTATGTTGTATAAGAAAAACATGAAGCTATATCAACCCATATCTTGACTACTTTAATATATACAGTGAACTTTCAAATGAAATGGTCAGTGCAAAAACCACAAGTCCATTTTTTACCAACACAATTTTTATTTATTTAGATACGTATTCTACGTATACAGCTCGCGCCAGTGGATGACGTCACTTTGCTTATTGTGTTTCTTTGATCAATCCCTACTTCGATATTTTGCTGCCGCCGCCATATTGGCTCTAGAATGACGTCATGTTGCTTAACCATATCAAAGGGGTAACTATAGAGATTATAAACGCCATCTTGCGGCGGTCTACATATTTGATTTGAAATAACGATATTTTGCTTATCATATTTCTCTCAAGCCCTTTCATCTGATGCCCATATTATAGGGGTGACTATGGAAATTGTAAATCGCCAAATTGGGGGCTCCACCATATTCAAACTAAACTAAGAAAGAATAGTTATATGCAATCACAGAGTGGTCATTCTGATTATTTTACAAAATAAACATTATATATAAATACAAACAATCCAGAAATTAAAGCATTCAACAATAAATAAAAAAAAACACTTCAACATACTGAAGAGCTTCTAAAGCAATAAGAGATATGTAGATATAACAAGATAAAATGTTTTATGATCGCCTGACAACCCAAAAACCAACCAAATAACATTGGATGATGGCAAAACATGCAAAATTAAAACACGTAGCATGTTAATAAGTCAATATTTAAGTATCATTTTCAATAATAAGCAATAAAAAATATGATTTTTTGAATAAGTTATATTTACTTTTTACTTATTGTCTCCTGAAAAATGCAAATTACGGGACTTGCAAGGCTTATGCACTGACTGATTCAAATGTTGCCAGTCAAAATTTTGTTTTTATATATATATATATATGTACTAAAAACTGATTAAATTCCAAATATCATATCACTACAAAAATACAAGTGCTCTTTCTAAACTTACAATACAGTATCATTAATGAGCTGCAAGAAATTAGGTAAAACTGTGAATTTCAAAATCATTTATACGTCAATTGCTTTAACAGGCGCCAAAAGTATGTTACGACACTTTTATGGTTCTTTCCTTCAAAATTTCAATAAACACCCTGATCGAACCAAACTTTGCCCCCAGAACATGTTTTTTCAGAAAAATGTTGAGCAATAATCAATAGAAGAAATAAATATTGAGTACTCACAGTTTCTTATATCTGATATGAAGACAGCTAACCCTCGCATGCCATCTCCTCTTACGGCAGGCATGGCTGAAAATATTGTCATCAAACTATTAAGTAATGTTTCTATCAAACATAATCAATCAATCAATCAAGATATGTCTGTTTTTCAGAAAACACCTTAGATTAGATCAGAGAACCGCAGTAAATTTAATGACAAGGAAAAATATTGAATGTAAAAGACCAAATGCTTCCTTGCTTCAAAACTCAATACAACTTTGATGATCTTACTTATATTTAGTGCAATATTCGTTCAAATCACTTGCCCCATATACGGTTTGTGATCAAAAAATGACACCTTTATAAATATCTGACATTTAAGGTTATATGCAGGAAAAGTGGAATGCAGCAGGAAAAAGTGAATCCAGATGGATTACTGGGGCAATGTTTTTTACTAGCAGAAATATATGGAAAGAAATACAACATGAGTATCACTGTCTTGCAGTGGACTAACAACTATTAAATAATAACATTGCAATGCAGTTTTATTGCAACCAAAATTGCGAAAGGTTATGTTTATTTAAATAGTTCTTTTGATGATGATAAAGCTTCTTGAAACTTACCTACAGCCCACAACTGCCCACAAAACTACAGCCTGGATGGATTGGATTATTTGGGTATTTGGGAATATTCATAAAACAAAAAAGTAGCACAAAACGCAAGGGCGTATTCACAAAACGTAAACTGTCAGTTGCGTTCCATGTCATTTTTTCACCGACGTCACCAACAAACGTCACAAACCAGTAGGGATGGCAACGATTCATCGATGTATCGAAAACATCGATACATAGGAGGTTTTATGACGATATATCGATGTATCGACATCGAAAGCATCATTAACATCGGTATACCTCGAATATATCCTTAACTGTGCTACCATCTCTAAGCGAGGACTGGTAGCTTCGAGATTTAAAGGTCAGAAAGCTGTTTACTAGTATCTCAATATTATCATTACAAACAGATATTACAGATGTGAGATGGACTGTAGTCTTTATTCTGTACTTCCCCAAGGGGTTGAATAAAATAAGCTGAAAACAGCTCATTTACGCATTTAATGATTTCAAGTTCGTGTCATTGTTTTATTCTTAATTAATCGAAATACCACGAAAAACTGTTGTGTGGAAGTACTTTAAAAAACACCCTTCAACTTGTGCATAGTGATCATCGTGTTCCTAATTTTGACAATCCCATATCTTGCAGTTTCCTATAACCATACTTTTTTGCTGAAATTTATTGTAGTCGGTATACTTCTTTTATCCTATCGTGAAGTTGCTGTCGCGTTTTTTATTTTTACTTAATGGTTCTGAAATCAGAAAAAAAAACGCGATGGGAACTCCACCAACGGATAAAACGAGCATTCCGCTAAAACCGATAGCAATCGATGAATTGAAAGCAGAAAACGTGAAAAAGTGGTTGTTTGGATACATCGATGTATTTGTTCCGACGTAGCGAGCTCCATCGGTGTTACGATGACGATGTTTGTCGATGTCCAAACATCGATGTTTCTAAAAACTTGCCATTCCTATCAACCAGTCAAACTTCAAACAGTGGCATGTAGGCAGTGTTTAGAGGGTCTAGTTTCTGTTGAACACATTCCTCCTCAACCTACTTGACGCCTTTTTTCGACAAAATATTGTCAAGTGTCATGTGCTGAAGGTCACCGTTGTGACCGAAACGTTCACTAAATGAAAAAAGAATTTCAAATATATGTGGTTTCGTTGGCCAGCCAAACGGGAGGTTATCTTTTTTTGATGTTTCGGACGCTCCTGATCATTTTCAGAAAAAAAATTGTAAGGATGAAAATCGAGGATTGGGGGTGGGAGGGGTATATATCATTTTCTGGCCGCAGTATATTTATATACTTTGAACCCCATTAATTTCACATATCAGTACATATTTCGCACGTCATACATTTCCCCATTCACTTGCCCTTAAAAGTTGGAGAAATATGCTATATTGGTTCAGCACTGTTGCCAGATGGTCGATACTTAGAGTATGGACTAATTGCAAAGGCCCGTTTGGTTGTCTTATTCCGTTTATTTTTTTTGTGCCAAACTTAATCGTTTATGAACTGATAACAGCGTCGCGTAGGAAGTGCAGAGTCAACCTACTCGACGCTGTTGTTTGCCATATGATACTTTCAACAGCACTTTGTGTGGTTTTCAAAATTCGCTATACTATGTTTTTGATTGGAAATCCATGGTAACTTTTGATAAGGACGCAATGAATATAAACATACCAAAATATTAGCTCACTTGCATCGAAACCTTTGTTCTTTGAAGTAAGGTAATAAAATTTAATTTGGTAGGGGGGGTGCATTGATACCCCGGCGATGCTCCCAACATGACGGCACTCCCATCTGCACCGCAGTTTGGGCGTGCGTGGAAAACAGACACGAGGAAAATAGAAAAGGGAAAGGGAGAAGGGAATACCGATGCGCCCTAGCACTGCTTCACGCATCCAAAGCTCCAGTGTCTGTGATAAATTCACGACGGAAAATTCGATACTCCCGTGTCGGTTCACGCTCCCCTGCAACTCTCCATGATGATGCACATGTTAACTTGGACCCCGGATATAATTAATAGATAATAACAGAAATAACAGGTAAACGCCACCGGGCATGACTTTTGTATTAAATGAACTATCGTCCCGTATTTTGCATGTTTCCCATGCAGGATAGAACGGTATGCTTTTTCATCTGATTATATAGATTGTAGATCTATGGATGCTATCAGTTGATGGTATCCTTCCTCTTTAAGAATAAATTGTTTGATAGTGAAAATACGTAGGATTGCCATCCTGTTATGCAGTTTTAGTTTCCGATTTTTCAACATGTCCAGCATTTCGTGTTTTTTATAACATCTTTCGCATGTTTCCGATTTCGGAGAGGATGGTAACGTAACCAAGGCTCCTAAAATTGTTGGGCTATAAAACCCGAAAACTAGAATCTTGGAGTTTCAAAATGCATTTTTATAGTCTAGACATGGCCATTTTCACCAAAATAGAGCCTGTCAAACATCACCGGACATTTGGATTTTTTCTTGCTGCCTTAATTTTTTTGAGTACAATGACTCGCAAAATGTGCCAATAACTATTTTCATAGAAATGGTCAGAAAAATCGCGATGTCCATTACGGATTTGGGAAGTTCCTAAAACGTTCAAGGAATACAACTTCATAGTCTTGATCTATGATGTCGCATGTAATGCCTTTCAAACAAGTGTAAGAGAAATTTACTGTTGCTCAAAATGTAAGATTTCCTTATTCAAATTCTGATTATAGTAATGAAATTGTACTTCTTCCACAGGGCAGGATGTTTGGGAATAAATTGAGATCCTGGGTGGAAGCAGTCCGGTCTAGGAAAAAACAGAACAAGAAGGAGAAACAAGGAAAAACTAACATGTTCGGGGTGAAAAATACAGTCAAGTGGAACGTGAGCAATAAAAACTTGGAAGATGATTTTAAGGTAACATTTATTTAATAAAAAGGAAAAGTCATTGAACCAACTGAATATCTGAAACAAAAAACTCTAAAAGCACAAATACCTATGAACAACAATAGAATTTTAACCGTATCGACTGAATATAGCCCAAAAATGCGCCGCCAAAGAAGCACGAACAAACTGATTGGAATAATACATACTATGACGTATTTTGCCATTGATTTAAACGTATTTTATAGCCAATTATATACTGAAATGCATTCTGTGCGTCCAAGAAGGGATCTGAACGATAGTGGTGCTATCTATGAGATAGTAGCAGAACAAAAAAATGGATTCAGTAACAACTTTGAAAAGAGTGAAAATATTTTGGTTTTCGTAGATGACGCATCTCCAATCCTTTTTGGCAATTCTCTAATGCCTATTCCAATTGTACATTTCAGATTTTCATTTTGAGCAGGTTCTATATTTAATTTCTTTATTCCATAGGAAAGCGACAAAAAAGGATTCCAAGCAAAAAATCTCCTAAGGCCGGACAAAGGGCGACAAATGACCGCAAATGCAAATCACCCAGTATCCAGAGTATTGCATTCCAAATATTCTGCGAACAATTTGTCATCGCCTGAGTCTGCATATTCTACAGGGTATTCCACAGATGGCACTTCACCAGGTGCTGCTCCTGAAAACATGTTGAATTCTTCCAAGGGTGTAGGTAAGTTGTTCACGTCTCTATTAGCATGAACCGTGCAAGTTGTAGATGCTACTGTTACTCGCCGGCGGTAAGAATCAATATTATCTAGATTGAAATTGTGCGATCTTGGCTTGTTTAGTATCATTCACTGTCCACGCCAGTTAGCGAGGAAATACTGTACTAAGATTATATGAAATCGGTATTTTAACATAATCCTGTTCTCCTTCGTGTTCCTGTATCTTCATCTATCCACACACGACACACATGCATTACCGCCATTGCAGTACAATTTGGCGATAGGACAAACCAACATCTCGATCGGCAATAATTCTGCCCCTGTCAAAGTCGCTAACATGGTGATAATTTGAACGTCATTTTAACAAAGGTAAACAGAGTTAAAACGTTGACATTGTTGCCACAGCATGCTCCAAATATAGTCATTATGTCGCCAAAAAAACAAGTTGAAGAAATTATTTTTTCTTGGTGTAACACCTCTAATGTCACCGAGTATATTTTTAACCTAGGAACACGAAATTCAACAAGGAGGTATTTTATGGACAGGACATAAATGTCTGAGAACGGATTTCGCGACTGGGCTGGATTGAGGGGGAGATACTGGCAGATATATACAATAGTGTTAATCACGAAATCTCAAAAATTATTTGACATATGAACATGAAATTTCGCAGAAAGGTAGCTTATGGAGAGTACATGTCAGCTAAGAATTTTGCGACACGGCCAGATTAAAGCGGGGTAGAGGTATTTGTTATAGTTTCAAAGAAATAGGGTCCGATGATTCTTTCAGCCGATGTGGTCGCCCAAACTGTAGCTTTACGTGATAGCAAAGATTTAGATCATGTAAATTAAACTCAAAACGAAACAAACGCCGCGCAATAGTACAAAATCTGCATTCTTGTAATAAGCCTATACACAGGACGCATGCTGCTCACAGGTCAAACGCTCCATGGCCACTAAATTTCCGCGCACCAAGCTACTAATCCCCTCTACCCGCATACGTGTCACGAGCAATCTGGTTTTAAAATTCGTACGCCCTTCTGGCCCACCCTGTATTATATATGTGAAAATGTGTATGTACGACTAAACTGATTTCGATGAATTTTAGCATATATACCTATGCTAATGTCGCACATGTTGAATCTAAATATTGGTATGCAACCTAGATAAGTTTAGACCTGATAGTAGATACTAATCATGTGTTAGATATTAGGCTCAAGTACTGCTCACATGTTTAGTTGAACTAGTGGTCTTATTAGAAATAGATAGAACGCACCACCAGGCTAAATTCGAAATGACCCCGAAACGTCAAATGCTTTTGTTATATTCTGCATTAAAAACACTTATTCAAAAATATTGTACTCCTGTTTCCAATAATTTGCACTGTAACCCATCGCCGAAAACATTTCTTGACAAGTGATCTGAAAATTTATATCCTGAGATCATCAGAATTACTGTATTCTGAACATGGTGGAATCAGTATATTTTAGTCAATAATATAATTGATAAGACTTTACCAAACGAGAGTGTTCTGAAAAATGCTATAGTTGAATATCAAAAAATTGGCAGCGTCGCGTTGAGGCTAGTCCGGTCCTGGCCCTGGTGATCTAAATGACCTAAGTTAGGTGAATGTGCCAGTGATCGAACAAAAACAATTTGCATCGCTGTCGTTTGAGGCCTATATTTCCGTAAGGAAATCCTTTTGGCCATTTTTATACAAACCTGCTGTCACATTATTTTCTGCGTTCTACTCGAACTACACGATGAATACATATGCATAAATACGAACCTGTTGATTCTTTCTAGATGGCCAGCATCCCCAATACCCACATATACAAGTACTAAATGCTTCCTCACAAAGTCAGAGGTTTGTAAAAATTGAGAACACCGACATTCCAGCGAAAGTGATACTACCATCCTCTGTACACCTGACAGAGTATAAATCACCAATACATGTCAAAGATACCGTACGTATCGTTATTTTCAAGTACCAGGAAAAACATTTTAATGTGTGTCTATACAGTGCGCATCAAAATTAGCGCCCCACTAGCCTTGAATGATGCTCCCGACTATTCAACACCACGACATCTGACCGAATACCTACTCCTGCCTTGGTAAATGAATAAAATTATTTAAAACGAAAACGGACATGACGACTACCCTCACGACAGGATTGCTAATTTGCTAGTCCATTGACGACCACATCAGGTCGCCATGCCAAAATCGCCACCTATTTCATTTTTATTGCCATATTACGCACTTCAATTTAAATACTCCAGTCATAACAACAAATCCAACGCTACCAATCTATACGAGGTGTGTAAATTAAGTAATGGAACTAGCAACGTAGCGTTCGATCTGGCAACACTGGAGGAGGCTTGGAGGGGAACAGGGGAACATGTAATACGCCTTGAGTACAAGTTTGGAATCGTTAAATTTCATCATACATACAGAACTGGCCGATACGACCGCTCCTTTGTCCCGAGGGTATCGAGATTGTGGAGGAAGATTTTCCTAGTTCTACTAACCTTAGGCAGTTCAAAAATCGGATCAACAAAGTTTCGGTGCAGAAAAAATCAATGATCCTCCAACTTGCGGATGATGACTTCACGTCTGCAACTGACCGCTTGATCACGACTACCTACGACTTTCTCAAATTTAAAAATATCACAAATATTCTTAAAAATTTGTCAATGATACGTATTCGACTTAGCAGTTTTTTCGACTACAGGAAGCAACCTAATTGCATTGTATTTTGTCTCGGGAGAGACACTTGGAAATACTCGAACTGTAAAAGAGGTAAACCTTCGTTCTCCATCGAATCACCTGTGTAGCCATAAGTATTCCTAGAAGTCACCCAAAAATAAAATCGCTAGTCTCAAAGTTGAAAAAACCGCCGCCGAAGCAAATGAAAAATCAATAATTTGGACAAAGTGTCACCTTATAACCTCAAAAAATAAATCGAGGAGGAACTTTCAAAGGAGTGGGGGCATTAATTTAGACGCGCAGTGTACTTAAATTAGTTAAATTTTAACAGGAGCATCTATAAGGTTAGCTTCTTAAAAAATGCGTCACATACACAGTATATTCATTGAATCAAAGCAGCTACGTCACGAAGTCAAATAATGACAGTGACGCACATGGTTGCCACATTAATTAAAATTACTAGATCCTAGGAAATAAACCACAAATAAACAACAGCCGTTCGCGTAATTACCTGACAAACTTTGCGACAATATCACAACACAGAAAACAACCAACATGAATATACCCGGGAAATTCAAGCTATACCTATCAATTTAGGATCTATTTTGCATCCAAATTTACTAGATATGACGTAACTGCTTTGCTTCAGTGAAAGAACTATACAACAGAACATGAAATAAAGAATGTAACACTTCTTTAAAAAGTTTCTTCACAACGACATCGACAGGCGGTCGGTAATTTATAAGTTTTCTCCCAGCCTATTAGACGACGAACCAGTTATACTCTTTTTCATGAGTATCCATTACAGGATAATGACAGCTGATTATCTAGTAATATTTCAAAATTCCCCATATCGGCAAAGGACACAAATCTGACAGATCTGTCAATGCCAGGTAGGCAGAGCCATAGTTTTGTACGCTACAGAGTTCCTTTGCATACAAAAAACAAAACGCTACAGACAAGTTTTACTAAATTTATACCCGATTCATTATTACCAACGTTGCAGTCTAACACAAAAATGTCACTTGCTGATCAGTGGACGTCAAAGCGTGATGCTTACTCGTGAAATAGGGTATAGGCCTGTGTTTCTAACTTTGATTCGAAGGAGCTGTATGCATCGAGACCTGGCTGCTACAAATTATTGCTCATTCGTTCTTAAAGAGTCAAAAAAGTAAAACAAGCTCTTGTTAGTGTTGTCCAGCCCATACTGTCCAGCTGAATGCTAATATCATAGGTATCTGTAACATTGAAGTTTTAGATAGCCCAGGCAAAGGTGATAGCATAGACTTATGAAACGAAGCTTGACTTATAGATGCGATATAAACGTATGTACAAGGTTTGTCCGGAAAGTAATAGGGCAGAGTCGATTTAAAAAAATTGATTGAGCCAATCGTTACAATTCTTTAAAAACTTTCAAAATAGGCTCCTTCTGCGTCGATGCAGCGCTGCCAGCGCGATTTCCAAGCATTGAAGGCGTCACGGCAGGCATTCTCCGGAATAGCCTTGAGAGCCGCGGTGCATGCTGCTTGGATCCCCTCCCCCAAATGCTTGCCTTTCACCGGCCTTTTCAGGCGAGGAAACAAAAAAAAGTCCGGGGGGCCACATCTAGGCTGTAGGGCGGCTACGGAAGCGTTGGGATGCCGGCCTTGGTCAGGTAGCTGTTCACAAGAAAGACGGTTTGAGCCGGGGCGTTGTCGTGGTGCAACTTCCAGTCGGCTGCGATGTCTTGTCGGACCCGACTGGCCCTTCGTTTGAGTCTCCTGAGTAAAACTTGGCGTTTGTCCCGGAGGAACAAATTCCTTTTCCTTTTCCCGGCCCTCCAAAAAGGCCTGGTGCCACCGAAACACACCACTTCTTGCTAAAGCAACACCTGGGTAAGCCTGTTTGATCATATCAAACGTCTCTGTCGCAGATTTACCGAGTTTCACACAGAATTTAATCGCGTACCTCTGCTCTAACGTACGCTGCATTTTCGGCTTGCACCACTCACAAAAATGAGTCCTATTACTTTCCGGACAAACCCTGTATGTTGTACAGTATAGTAATCATAAGCAGTAGTTGTAGTGTCGTAGTTACTAAAGTAGGTACATGAGTAGTTGTATGAATGATATAGCATACAGGATGATTGAAAAAATAGTGGTGATGTTTCCAGGGTAGAAAGTATAGGTCCACAAGCAGAGGCGGACTAAGCCCATCGGAGGCCCGGGGTGGAAAAGCTAAATTTGTTAATTAATCATTCTATAATATATAATATTCAGAATACTTTGCTGTTGGTTCAGTTGTTGACCAGAAACGCATACGAGTAGAGAACGTTTTTGCGCACTCAGGAACAGCTAATTACATGAAATATTGCTATTGTATAAACAAAAATTGTAGAGAATTTTATACTCGACGAACTTTCGTTAATCTGCTGGTCTGAAAATATATATTGCAGCATCGAGCTTCAAGAGAACCAAACATGGTGTTAACACCTAGAGAAGTGATAACTGGACCTAGTAGCCCTGCTTTAGGTGTCACCTCCCCAAGACAAAGGAACAGAATTAGGACGAATCCCTGGTTACCAGGTGGGGCTCTTAGCCCTAGCCCTGTCAAGCATGAGATAACTGCCGGCGCCCCTACAAAAACGATTAACGACAGTCCGTAAGTACGAAATCGATGTTCACATCACTTCTTCACATTCACTTCTGAAATGCTAGAGCCCCAACAAAGTGCGTGTTGATACGACCGCTCCTTCTAGGTCGATATTTCGGAACAACTGTATAGAAAAATAAAAAGATGCACTAGCAGAGCATTTTGTGCCGTGAAATAAATGATTCCCTTGTTCTGATTGCAGGGAGACCCGACGTCTGCAAGGCTCCCTGGTTAGCAAGAGGAAGTCAATCTCTTATTCATCATGTTCATCGTTAAGTGGTGTTAGTATACAAATCGATGTGCCAAAACCCCGATCAGCAAGCGACGAAGACTGTACACTCAACGAAATGATGGGAAAATTCGATGAAAGTTATGTATACGAAAAAGAGACTGATATACTGAGCGATAGTGATCCAACCGACTGTGAAACTGACATCGATACAGGCCAAGATGGTGAGTATTTGAACCCGGGTTCATTATGAAATATTTATTACACGAGTCACTCTCTGGAAGTCGTAACATTTAGTGTGAGCGTTAGACATTGTAAAGGGTTATTTAAAAGTCCGTAAAAGGTCAGATATCTTGGAAAGTAATTGAACGATACTCACCAAATGTTGAACAGGAAGATAAAATCAATCATTGCCAAACAGATAGTAACCTGATTTTTCAAATACAATTGCAATGGTATTTTTACTTCCCACGCCTACTGGCAAGGAAGTATTTTAATCGAAAATGAGATAGCGCCATCTGTTGGGCGAGTCTCCTACTCGCCAGAGCTTTAATTGCCGATCTCTGCTTTTACGTGAACCACGGCGACAAGCCGCCTGGCGGCGTCTGTGAGGACCGTGACTGTGGATCGCCTTCTAGACCGACGCGAAGTGATCTACAACATTCTAGATGTCGCTTTGTGGTACACCCGGTTTTTTCTCGAAGCTGTAATGGGGACTATATATAACTCGGCGGCCGGGAGATGGAGGCAGAGTACGGAATACGGTAGAGTAGGTAGAGCGGTGGCATAAGAATTAGTTAGACATAAATAGTGGTGTATATAAATGTTTTATTAAAAAACATTTTTTTTTTTAATATCTTTAAAATCGTCAACTGGAATGAACTAAAATTTGTTCTGTGGATTTACCTAAGTATTGTCCACATTCACAAGTCCTTACTTGATATTAACCTGCACCAGTGGCGGAGATACAGGGGACTAATGGCATTATTTTTCCAAATAAAAATAGTACGCCACTGTTTTTTTTCGAAACGCGCAATTTTTCGAATTTTTTTCCTAGAGTACACTGTTTTACTTAAAAATAAAATTAAAACAAATTAGATTATTCATGAAGAGCGGAGATACAATTAGTTTCAAAATAAAACAGGAGACCTTGATACCAACTTGACGTTTCTTGGGAAATAGTTTGTCAATGTTATGTGTAGGGGTTCTGTAATGGAAAAAAAAAAAGTACCCCAGAGGTTTTTACTAATTTGTTTTTTTTTATTTTCACGAAAACAGTGCACTCTAGGAAAAAAACACAAGAGTAGCAAATTAAAGGTAAAATAAGAAAAATTCAAAATCCTCACTTGCTTAGTTATGTCTCATTTGATCTCAGGTGGAGATGAAGAAGAAACTGAGCTAGACTTCATCGACAACTGTTCTTATTTAGAGCTGAAAGCAAAAACAGAACAGAACACCGGCCACTGCACTTACCACAGCTATGAGGTACAGAAAAAAAAATCATCTAGAAGGCGAGTGAGACGTAGCAACAAAAGCAGTGAGAAACGGTGCGGTTCTAGCAAAAAACGTAATAAACAAACAGATCACAGAAGGTACGTGAAAATGCATCAAGATGGATCGAAGAGCGCTGGAGCAACACCAGTGTCCGTGAGGCGTTTCAACGCCAGGATTCCCCCAAAGCTTCCACTCGAAGACTGCTTAAAAAGACGGTCTAACTCCATTAGCCTTTACCACGAACAGATACCGTCTACTATCGAAATGAGAGATAAAGAAGCTGGACTGAAATACCTAGAATTAATAACTAAGGCTGAACAGATATTACGTACGATGAAAGCCAACGATCTTTCTCCTAGAAGGGTACCTGGACCTGCAAATAAGAGAGTTGAGCTTTTGAGGACTACTGAAACACCACCGAAGTCGGAGGGTCTGCTCAAAGCAAGGCCAGCGCAACTTGACGAAGTAGTTGTTAATACAGCATTTTCTGCTAAAATTCCGTCCAATAATAACAGCCACTTCCCCAGATATAGTCCTCAAAAGAATCATATTACGAAGTTTATAAGTAGCAATTCGCCTTTTTTAACTAGAAGAGAAATTGATGCTCAAAGTAATATTTTAAAATCACCGAGGCTCTTAAGGAAGGCCGAAGAACAACAGAAAAATGTGTATTTTAAAGAAACTAAGTTTCCCATCAGTCCGAAATATAGACAGAAAACTACCAAGCGACATGACAAAAATGATTCCAGTTCAGATTCTGATACGACGACTATAGATAATAAAATGTGCGCTGCTAATAATAACAGGCCTCAAAGCGAACCAGTTAGGAGAAAAATGTATCAGCCCAAGCCATGTTTGGGCAAAAGATATATCGGCTCTGAGAAGAAGGAGTTTTGTACAGGAAGCGACGAGAATTTGAGACAACAGGTCATTTTGAACACCATAGAAAAACTGAAGAAGAACTTGGAAGATCATTCGGCGTCACTTAAACAGTTAACTACACATAATATGTATGTGTAAGGAAAATATTTAGAACGGCTGTATCGCTCAGCTCGCAGTTGTGGCAAGCATATTTAGTCCACAGTACATAACCCATATTATTCAATGAATGAATGAATGTCCTTACAAATGCATGCAGTATATATTTATCAGATAACAATGAATTCGGCGGGCTTTGAAACCGTTTTTCTTTTAGCTTCATTTTCATATGCGGAAACAGCGCAACGTCGCAGGGAGCAAGATCTGGAGTGTAAGGAGCAGTGTTGCCAGGTGCGGTCGACGATATTTCGGTAGAATTGTGTGGAATTTTCCGGTAGATTGAGTACCGGAGAGTAAATGACGGCATTTACTTAAAACAGTTTTATTTAACTCAAAATATACTCTAAAACAGAAAGTCAAAACAAAAATAAACAGTTTATGTCTCACTTCAGCCAAGTAAAAATAAAATATTCTTAATAAAAAACAGAAATGGGTATATAATAAAAAATGTGTAAGCTATATTGGATAATCAGTATTCCAATTCATTTTTGTATGTTTTTATCAGTCATATTATCTACTAATTTTGCTTTGCCAAATTCGAGTCTTCAACTCTTCCGTCAGACGATGCGGTACCCAGAGGTAACAAAGTTTTCTTACTTGGTACACGAAGGTGTAAGGTCTCCCCTATCTGTGGGTATGTCACTCTCCGGTCTTCGTCAAGCATTTTCTTCACAGCAGTAATGTTTACCTCGGTTACTGGCGTACGCGGCCTTCCTTCCCTCTCAGCGTCCTGAGTGCAATTGCCCCGTTGGAATTCTCTGCACCACCTTAATATAGTCGTACGATGAGGACAATCATTCCTTAATGCAAGCGTCATGTCAACTAAGCACTGGTCTATGCTTAAACCACGCGTAAAGTTATACCGTAAAACTACCCTTATCTCATTACGTGACAACTAAATCAACAGACGTGCTGCTGGCGGCTAGTACGCACTCATGGACATGTCTCAACATGCAGTAACATGCAGTCTTTTGCGTCCGTTTGTTTAAGTCGTATTGCAAAACTTTTATAGTACCTTTTGTATTGAATCATTCAATAAAATGGGTTATATATTGTGGACTAATTTTTATTTAGTTCGGTAGAGAGCTTCCTTCTTGGTCAAAGTCTGATTAAAAATTGTCTTGAGTGTGGAAAATGAGGCAGGCAAATTTCAATTTTATTGTTATTGGATGATAGTACGCCAACAATGATATTGGTTACTGAATTTTTTCGACGCAGTTAAATGACAGAAAGATACCGAGAAATTGCATTTGTAACAATGTTCCAATTACCTCAGATGCCACGTCATTAGCATCACCAGTCGAACTTATCGTCAGTGTTGCCGAACCGAAAAAAACGAAATTGTAAAAATTGGATAGATTCAAGGACAAAATCGGTATTAGGGCCATCACAAGATCAGTGATAGATCAAGGGACTTTGCGTCACGCAGCGCCCTCTATGAAAAAAGTGTATTTTTGTACGCACACATACACAAGACAGGTTTTTTTGAGGGCATCTGCTCCTGAAAAAGTTCTTTATTATAACTTGTACAATGTACTCGAACTTCAAACTTTTTTGCAAGCATCATTTCAACTCCTTTTGCCATTCTTGTTTATAAGATTCTTGTGTATGACGGGTATGGAGCATTAAAGCTACATAGACTACATAGAATTTCTTTTTCAGCTTTATTTTTGATTCCAGCTCTTTTTTGGTAAAAAATGTGGAAATATTTGAATTGTTTTAAAAAATTCATGGAAATTGAGGACGATTTCGGTAAGTAGTCTCATTTCTGTAAAAATACCGAAAACTTGGTAGGTTCGGCAACACTGCTGTCCTTGTCTGTTGACGGTCTGCCTGCATCGAGCAGCAGTGTTGCCAAACCGAAAAAGATTAAATCGATAGATGGTGCCTTTGAAATTCCGTAGATTCAAAGACAAAATCGATAGGAGGAAAAAATCAGGGCCGTCACAAGATCAGTGATGGATCAACGGCCTTTACGTCACGTGGCGCCGCCTATGAAAAAAGTATGATTTTGTTTCACTCACAACACAAATTTTTTCGTGCCGGGAAGGGGCATTGGGGATCGATCTGCAATTTCACTGCTTAATTAACCAACATAAATTCAGAGTGACTAGGTGTTTAGCTTCGAAAATGAAGTGGCCTTACCGTATCTAAGAAAATAACTGCGTCAAGTGAGACAACTCTTGATGAATGATAATTATTGTTAAACCAGCTTGAATGATATATTCGTACAAAATTAGCATCTGCTCATTTTACGAAATTATACAGCTCGTACATGCGATGTGCAATGATTACCTAACCCAAAACATTTTAAGTAAATTATGCAGGGAGCTTTCTCACTAACAGAGATTTCCTGCGATGATTAAATAGGTAGTCATTGGAACATTTAAAACTTATCCTCTGGTTTTTATGCTAGCTGTCAAATAAAATCATCGCATATGTTCGACGTTTCAGTCTTTTTCCAAGTAGGTACATCATTCAATTTAACGTGTACCTATGTGGTTTTATTTGACGACCAGCAAAACATGAAGATTTAAAAGGTAGTCATGTTTTGATGTTAGCAATAAGAACATACATATATGTAATGGTGTTTTGTAAAGGAATCAAGTATATTTTAATACCAGTTGGAAAATGTTACCTGTTTTGAAAAGCAAATGTTATGAAATAATAAAAAATGAAAAAACTGAAATGACAGCCAGCCCCAAATGAGGAAAAATATTGAGTACAGTACGAAACCGACAACAACACAGTGCGACAAAGATTTCAAATGTCTTACAAAAGTGCTAAAACACAGGCAGAAGCTCACAAATCAGTTTGATTAAACTAAGATATTTTTTGTAGAAATCTAACAATAGGTACTCCTTCATGAGAGATTGATAATCTTTTTTATTCTGATAATGTTTTTAACCCCCCAAAATATACGCTAACTGCAATTATCTTATCAATGTATACAAAGAGAAAAAATACTTTATACTTTCAAATACGTTACGGAACGCAGTCATTATACGGGGTCTGTAAAATAAGTAGTGTGTTGTCTCCCTCCAAGCCCAGCGCCTCCAGTGTTGCCAGATCGGAGGCTAAGTTGCCAGTCTGACTACTTAATTTACAGACCACGTATAGTCTCAGTGACAATGAAAATAGAACAACCAGTGAAAATGTTTTTTTGATGAAATGTTGTATCGCGTGTTGACAATTAAACATAAGCAAGAGAAAGTCATAAGTAAATTTTGAAGTGGAAACATTTGCGGTACCGCTATATTTTGTTAATAATATACTCTGTGACATTAGAAGTGTTACACCCAGAAAAAATAATTCCTTCGACTTGATCTTTTGGCAATGAGGTAGTGTTACATCAAAAATGAAACGATAAAATTCTCACGAAATTTTATTGACAAGTAATGAGAAAAAAATAATATTGTGTTAAGTGAGCTGAATACACCCCTGTATACGTCTAGGCATCGACAAAATGAGCAACTCGAACTTCGTGGAGTAGCTGTGGCGGATGGTGCAAAGTGGATAGTCTCCTCCCCATCATATCCCACACATGTCAAATCACTCTTACTGGGTGTTGTATGTTCATTGTCACTGAGTATATTCCGGTCTTTGTTATCGTTTGTGACGAAAAATAAAGATAATCATATAGTAATGTAGCTTGCTCAGCTATAAACAGGTATATAATTATTCATGAATTTTTAGGACATTTGTAGGTGTAGAGGTTACACAGATTACACTCTCAGTAGTGAACGTAGGTACTAAATTTTTAAGGGAATGTCTTTAAAGTAGTGCGTTTCAAAAAAGTGTAGAACAGCTGCAATATTGTTATTTAAAATCATTGTATGTTTTTCTATTGAATTCCTCATGTTATAGTTCACAACATTTTGTTACATTTGTAGTCCTATAGTTGAAAACAAGCACTGTATGGCTCGTTTTGTGCAATATGCCATTGATTTTAGAGGAATCCTGAAATATTACATTGGTGGAGAAATATGCAGTTATCCTTTATATGTATATTTATATAATGGGCGATGGCAATAATAGCATATTTCTCCACCGAAGTATGTATAGAGTTGTTTTCATTACTAACTCTGATATATTACCGCATTTAATTTGATTACCCTGAAATATAGTATGTCTAAGAGACAACTTTTTATGAAAGTGTACTTGCCCCAAAAACTTTTTGGGGCGTAGGAGGACACTAAATCACAGTATCCAATAAAGACGCGCTTCTCTGTCATTTTCAGATATTCCAAATTTTCAAGTAGCTTGTGTATTTTAATAAGCTGATGAAACAATGACATACAAGAATCGAGAATACCTACCTATAGTCAATAATAATAATAATAATTTCAGTGATAACGTAGTATTCAACATAAATAACTAAACGAGAAGCTATACTCGACATTATTTATTATTTCTCAATCATTTTCAAATATTTCTGAATATAACGCTCAGTTGTCAAAGTGACATGATAAAAATGACAATAAATTTAAATTCAAATTGTAATTTTAAATGTTGCATCATTTACCTAGGTGCGTTTTCATTGAAATCAAAATATTTACCAAGGGAGAGAAAAGATGCTTCTCGTTGAAGAATTGCGATCCCTAATGGTAATTTCTCAGGTTAGTAGTGAAAAAATGCCTTATAAAACTTTCCTTATATAAAGGCAATCATCATATGCAGATTTTTGTTAAAAAATACTTGGCTATACTTCATCAACTTGAGTGATCCTAAGCAGAAAAAATCATTCGTTTTCAAGTAATAAACTTTAATGAAATTAGTTTTTTCGTAACAAGCTTAATAACTATTTAGTAGATACAAGTATATTGCAATAAATTCAGATTAACTGGTACTAGAATACGCGTTAATAAAACACCCAAACTCCAAAATCATCAGATTATTCAAATCCGGCAATTTCAATTCGGCTTTTTTCTTGAATTATTTTGATTAAATTTTCTCATACTGCGCCTATACTTGCTAAATTTTAACAAACCTCAAGAACATCGAAAACGAACTTTCAAAAAAGCTTGACACACTGTATCTTGGACATAAAGCATGTTCACACGATTATACAAACTTTTCTTCTTAGGACCACACGTTCACTTCACGTTTGGCCAGGTACTTTATTAACACCCTGTATAAATAACATGCATATACATGTATCTATGTATTTACATCTTTTTGTTACCATGAAAACTGTGAATTTGTTTCTATTAGACTGTTAATTTTTATCACTTTTATATTTAATTAATAAAGAATGGTTTGAAAATTAGTCATTCATTTCGATACATTGTGTTTTATCCTCACAATTTTATGGATTTTATCCTAATTATGTTTTGCGGTGATTACATCAATGGACAAATTCGTGGATTATCTGTCAGTACACAGTGCTGCCAACCATTCCACAAGTTCTTTCTAGAAACATTTTGAGTTTTTATGTGTATTTCGCTTTTGAGGTGAATCTCATAACCAGAAACCATATTGTTGAATATTGTAGTTCTACCAAACTTCGACACCTGAACTGAAAAGTTGTTGAATATAGTGGAAAGGAAAACAAGGTTGGCACCATGGAATTTGACGTCCAAATTGGCAAAAATTAAAACAATGTCTAAATTCGTGAATAAATCCACGGAGAACTTTGACGTCAAATTCCTGTTTTACACTTTTAAAATTTGGCCATGAACTCAATCTGATATGACACTGAGATCCAAAAACTGCAAAATAGAACGAATGGTTAAGCTGTAATGGTGTATCAGTTATTGGACGCTAATGGTTTTTGTAGTTTTAAAAAGACAGCATCTTAAGGCGGCTTCTCATTAGCCAATCGTATTGATCAATAATAATGAATCTATGCCATTGAACATAGAATCGAATGGTAAACTTGATCACACTGTGCAAAACGATGGAGCAATATCATTAAACGGATGTTCACATTAGACTATTTCACATCAATGGCATAGATTCATTGTTATTGATCAATAAAATTGACTAATGAGAACGCGGCTTTACGATTACCCTTCTAGTTCGTAAACAGCACACTTGTGTTCACGTGAACCCCTACAACGATTGGAAGCTGGAAGGAGGCGTGGCTAAATGTCTACCAATAGCGACACAACGACGATAGTCGTACCGGCGCACTACCTTACGCGGCGTGCTGCGAACTAACGGGCTCTTTACTGTTTAGTATTTCGTTGTCGGTCGGCGCGATCGGAGGCTGCCGCGTCGAGACCTCCGTGTGACGATCTGCTTCCGTTGAACGTAGTCGGCGATTCTCCGCAGTGTCTTGATGATAATTTGACTTAGTGGAGTGCAATTGTGCTTGAAGATGTGACATGACCTCACTTTTAGTCCTTCATAAAAGGCAGTTGCGCATCTCTTTGTATTTTCACGTTGGATATTGTGTCTTCTTCCGATTCTGGAGATACTGAATGTCTTACTGTAAGTTGTGCATACTTATCTACTTCTCTGTGACTTCAGTGCCCATGATGAATTCTGGTTGGGATCAAATAAGACTGATTCAGTGGGCTGTGCCGTTGAATAATTCGGCATTAGCCAAGGACTGATCCTTCTCAGGGCCTGTCCCTTGCATTCCATCACATGCCAGTGGTCTGTTGGACCTCGTTCTGACCACACAAGTTGTTCCTTATTGCAATTTCCACTGGGCCAGACCTCAGGTCTGAACCGGAACCGGCTGTGGCAACAAATTCGTTTAGAGGTTCCTGTTCTTATTGGTAATATGAAGCTAAAAGCTTGATATAAATCATTCCATCTTTCATTCGAATATGTGTCAAGTATATTTACAAAAAGTCGTATAGGCAAAACAAACAATCAAAATATCTCGACACTAGCAATCACAGCAAGAGAAATATGTCAGCTCATTTACAATTTGTCACCAGAACATGCAATGTGTCAAAAATAAAATCGATTTATCGGACTTGGAGCTAGCCGAAAATATCGATATTTTTGCGTGTCGGGGCAAAATTTCGAAATTGTGGAATTAAATTTATTATCAAAAATTCTGTATTCCTAATTCATAGTATTTATAGATATGCTGTAATAATTTTTTAAGGAATTAAATTACTTCTTGGAAAAACTCGGCGCCCATGGTAACGAAAACATTGTTTTTTGTGGTAACTGGAACGTTGACTTTTTATGTGGTACTGTTGAGAAAAACGAACTATGTGATCTGCTTCTTTCTTACGGCTGCCAAAATTGTTAAATGCAACCCGTTCTACTATGTCTAGAAGTGATATTTATTACGATATGTGTATAAATTTTTTTGATTATGTTGAATATCTGTATTGGTCTAAAATAGTATTTAACGGATTATCATATCATTCTTATCGACTTCTAAAGATTGAACTTCATAATAAAAATAATTCATCTATTAATTTTCATTATACAAGTTTGTGCAATGATTTAAACTATACCTAATATATTTTTTACGCATTTGAGAAATGAAGATTGGCGCTTGGTTTATGAACGCAGTGATGTTAATCTGGGATGTGAAACATTCGTTGATATATTCAAGTATCATATAAATGTATCTTTTCCAATAAAAAAAAATCAACTAAAACTCAGTCTCAAAGAACCATGGTCAACGGTGTTAATCTGCACAGATTGTCATCTGTTTGTTTTGCAATCTGGAAGCTTCGACAAGTATGTCCAGAGACAGTTACCATTTCATATCATCATGCACAATTTGCTTCCAGAGTTAAATATGGCATTATTTTTTGGGGTACATCGTCATGTGCTGAGGGGCCTTACATTAGGGCATTGAGAACAATAGCTGGTATAGCACCGCGTAAGTCGTGCAAATAACTTTTTAGGAAGTATAATATTATGATAGTTCGTAATATTATGATGATAGATTTTATTTTAGAATGAGACTACTAAAAAAATCTGATTTGAGCACAGGTTCAGCATTTCGATCGATACAGTTACCAATAATGAGTGGACTATGACAAGGAATTTTTTGTATTCAACTTCAAGGAAGATGCAGAGTCAGCCTACTTGACACCGTTTGTAAGACCGAATTTCAGTATTTTGTTTTAGAATGATCCCACTAAAAAATCTGATTTGAACGCAAGTTCAGCATTTCGATCGATACAGTTACCAATAATGAGTGGACTATGACAGAATGCGACGAAAACCAACAAGGAATTTTTTTTATTCTACTTCAAGTAAGATGCAGAGTCAGCCTACTTGACACCGTTTGTAAGACCGAATTTCAGTATTTTGTTTTAGAATGCCCCACTAAAAAATCTGATTTGAGCGCAAGTTCGGCATTTCGATCGATAGAGTTACCAATAATGACTGGACTATGACAGAATTCGGCTAAAATCAACCAGGAACAAATTTCGTTCAACTTCAAGTAATATGCAGAGTCAGCCTACTTGACACCGTTTGTAAGACCGAATTTCGATATTTCGTTTTAGAATGATTCTAATTTAATTGATACGTATATAATCTGCTATTTAGAAATTCTGACACAATATTTTGCAAAGGAAGAATATCACAATATTGATACCACAGAAATTAATAAACAAAATTGCCCTTACTAATACAAACCGGTGTAGAAGAATTCTCAGAACGGAGTTCGGCCGGCCACCAACTTCAAATCCTGGAAAAACGTCTGTCTGGTATGCAATGTTGCAATAAATTTTTTTAACAGTCTTCGCGAACCTTTTACACGGGCTGTCGGGAGAGTTATTTTCAATGTTTTCGAAGGGAAAATTCGGCCGCACCCGGAAAAATGTGTTCGTGGCATGTAGATTAAGTGTTTGTCAGTTTTTGAAGTGGTTTGCGCCTTTGATTACGGGAAGAATGAAGGAAAACTTCCGAGATACCGCAGACTTCTTACACACACGGACTCTTCTCGGGATCGCAAATTTCTGTTTTCAGACGGGAAAACTCTGCCGTACCTAGGAAAATGTTGTAGTGGCATGTGGAATAAGTGTTTGTGAGTGCTAGTAGTAGTGATTTGCACATTTGGATTACGGGAAGAATGAAGGAAAACTTCGCAGAGACCACGATACAGAAATGGCGGAAATCTGGTAAGTGCTATTTTATTTTATTTTTACAAGGTGCACACTGTATTTTTTTTTTTAAATTTGAATATAGTGTTTAGTGTGCACATAATCAAATTCTGTACCTCATAGCCAGACTAGGCTAAGTCCAAATAAGTAGTTCTGAGATAATTGTATTTCAAATATTTTTCTTGCATTGTATTGTATGGGACTTGACATGAGTTAAAAAGTCGCAACTTCCTTATTATTACACAGAGATGGACGCTGCATGTAGCAAATGAAAACTCACAATATTATCGTAAGCAAAACATGTTAAACTCATTTTTGACAAAAATGGACTTAACCTAGTGTGACTCTGGGGTACAGAATTATGAATAAACCCTTGAAACTTATCTGGCCTGTGGTGTAATTTTTGAGCTTTCACTGCTAGTATATACCGGGTGTTTCAAATTCTACCTTCACTCCAGGAGGTACTTCTGATACCACAGACAATAATTAAAATGAACGAAATTGCGCTTGCTAATACAAAAAGGTCTGGAAGAATTCTCAGATCTGAGTTCGGGTGTCAGCCAACTTCAAATCCTAGAAACGCGTCTGTCGTCTGGTAAGCAATGTTGCAATAGTTTTTAAGTCTTCGCGGGCCTGTTACATGGAAAATGTGCTAGTGGCAAGTGTAATAAGTGCGTGTAGTGATTTACACCTTTGGATTACGGGAAGAATAAAGAACTTCGGAGATACCGCGATACAGCAATTGCAAGTAGTAAGTGCTAATTTATTTTATTTTTACTTACTTTTACAGGGTGTGTATATACCGGGTGTTTCAAATTCGACCCATTGGTATCTGGGGAACGGCAAGAATCATGTTTTTATTAACGTTTTTATGAATTTTTCCTCTGCCTTTAACCGCCTGTACCGTTCCAGCAATAACTGCATTTGTTTTAACTAAATTTAAATATACTGTAAAAGGGGGCTATTTTATTATTAGAAAATGCTCCATTCGCCTCTCTTACATTGGTCATTAAACAGAATCATAATGTCAGCATTGCTAGGTCACGCGGTGATGAGCTTCGCTATCCAGGCGGCTTCTGATGTCATAAAGTTATAAATCACACGTTTCGTGGGCTTTGCAAAGCGAATCTAATCTTCTCTTAACGAAGTGTAAGTTGGGAATTTTTCTAAAGTAGCAATTCTGGGGATTTTTGTGCCTGTTCTGGAGGGATTGTGTCTTACCCATCCGGCAACACTGAGCGTGAGACGTGATATCTGTGAGACGTAATGTCAGCTGTCATCACTGACAGCAGGTTGATGTTGTTTTCATTTGGAATTTGTATATGAAAGAGATAAAACTGAAGTACTCTTGAAATAGATGCAAATAACTTTAATAATTTTTAACATCTTCTTGAAGACGTTCCTTCCACAAACAATATATTGATGATCTACCAGATGACTGCCAAGTATATCGTTTATTCATTTGCAATATTCTGCATTCCGTATTGTAATGGAGCTGCTTTCGATATACAATTGGATGCAAAAGCACAATCTACTCATAGACTCGATAGTCTAAACCTTTTATCTTATACATTTTTGCTTATATTAACTGTTCTTACTATCTGGTTATTTAAACACAGAAGAGTAAGCTTTCTGCATGAAACAGGCCTGGCTGTTATTTATGGTAAGTGATTTATCATTACTGAAAACTTCTGAGTCTTCTCTCGAATTGCCAAGTGTGCAGCAGCTTGATTAAATCAACTTACAGGATGTTCTGAAAGTTGGGACTTTCTTTTTCAGGAACTATATTTGAAATGATAATGCTAATGTGTGGTGGAACATCTAAAAAAAATTATAACATACCATTCGTTTGATAAGAAATTTCAAGTATGATTTTCATAGATACTGTTCATGGTGGTTACCATTAGATTCCAAAAATACAAACCTATGCTTTACATTCCCACTTCCACTGTGCCTGCTCGGAAGCTGCATGCATTTGCAAAGCCCCAACATCTGGAAAGCTTTTGCAATAAATTAACATCTTATCAACATCATTACTACAATAGGGGTGTGCAATGTTTGAACATTGGGTAGAATGCACAGGTGGACTGGCAAATAGATGTTTTTAGCCTTTTGTGTTTGTATTACAGGCAAAATTTACTTATTCTTGCAAGAATTATATGCCATGTAAAATCTCTTATGTAATTACTTATGAAATATATTTCCATATGTCCATATTTTATGTAACATCTTGTATTTTTGCTGTGCTTAACACACACTGCATTGAATGTTCTACATATACCTGTGCTTACAGCATGATTCCTTTTAAGTGTTAACAATAATGTAACTATAAGTCTTGACCTAAGTTTGAATTTGCTTATGCTGAATTTTCTTACAGGTCTAATTGTTGGTGCAATAATAAGATATTCAGGAAGCTCATCGCAAGTATTAAATATGCAAGTCTACGGCAATGATCCTAGTTACAATTCTTCAATACCTCCTGATACATTGTCTTTATATTTTCCAATAAATGGGAAGTCTCAAATGAACAGAACTTTTCAGTATGTTTTTAGGGAGCAAATAAGTGATTTAAAACAGAACGAGATTGACTTGAAAGCTACATTTGATCCAGAGATATTCTTTAATATAATTCTCCCACCTATCATATTTCATGCTGGATATTCACTAAAAAGGGTGAGTACATAATATATTGAAAATTATTGGTGTTTGGTCTGAATGTGTAGTTGGTCAATTAACCAAACATTTAATGTTGAATATGTTGATTGAATAAAGTAACCTGACATTGACAGTCTGGTTAAAGATGGGCAAGATTTTTGTTTAAGGATAGTTTTTTCAGTTCAGAAGTTTTATTAATATTGGCAGATATTTCATACCATAAGCTTTGTGGTGAATTTTTTAAAACTATTGGGCTTAGCAAATTTACAATTAATATATCTAAATAGCTCTCTACTACCGCTATGCCAATAGGATTTGCTCTCCTCCATGACCCACCTGACTTCAGCCTCTCATCCTAGCCATATCAGACTTTGTACATCTAGAACTGGCCGATACGACCGCTCCTTTGTCCCTAGGGTACCCTATTCCTACATGAGGAGGCTTTTCCCAGTTCAGCCTTAAGCAGTTGAAAAATCTGTTTAAAAAAGTTTCTTTAAGCACCTCATAGCAGCCTGCGCGGCTGCTTCGTTGTAAACAAAAAATAACGGAAAATCGGATTTTTTTGGTATTGGAATCAAACATTATGTTACTTTTTCTTTCTCCTGCCTTTTATATGGTGGATGACAATCAATTGTTTGGCTGATGTGGATGTATATACTAACAGATATCAATTTTTCAGAAATACTTCTTTCGTAACCTGGGCGCAATACTAACATATGCAATAATTGGCACAACTGTGTCATCATTTGCTGTAGGGGGCCTAATGTACGGCTGTGTTCAATTGATGCCTGCGAAACTAGCAAATAGTTTCACATTCTTGGACACACTCTACTTCGGAGCACTGATATCTTCTACTGACCCACTCACTATTCTTGCTATATTCAATGATTTAAATGTAGATGTTAACTTGTATGCCTTGGTTTTTGGCGAAAGTGTCCTCAATGATGCTGTAGCTATTGTTCTTAGCGGGTAAGTTGTATGTCAAGGACGTGCTTTGGGGGGGGGGGGGGGGGGCAGGATGAGGGACCATTTCCTCCTTGATCAATCCACATCCATCATCGGAAAATCCGTGTCATATCAGTAAAAGCCACCGGGACAAGTTTTAAAAAGATTCGCGTCGATTCACATTGAAACATCTATACAGGGTGTTTCCAAAACATGAGGCAAAAATTCAAAAGGAGATTATTTTCTGAAGACTATTTTGACCTTTAACGATTTTCGAAATACCGTTGCATTTCGTTCTTGAAGGACTCCACTACAAGTCGGTTTTTATAATAACTTCATCACTATATTTTTACGAATTTTTGGCAACACGGACTAGCTCTGGGTAAGTGCGTTGTTGCCAGACCTTTGATTTAGTGGGAAACACCTGTCTAACTTTGAAAGCAATAATATCATTGGAGTGTTTTTAGTGCCACAAAAATAAGGAATCGTCAAGCCTTCCGTTAGGAGATTTTTGACAGCGACAGCAAATAACGAATGACGACGAAAAAAGGGCTTTTATGACCACTAAAGTGAACCGTAGTCATTTGACTGGATTCAAACAACTCGAATTTTTGAAGCATAGTTCCTTAAATGTAATAAGTTGTGACCACCCTGTATATAGAGGATGATAAATTTCAAAACTGGACATTCTTGCCTTGATGAGTAATACAACAGTAAACTGAAAAGCTTTTGTCAATTTTTGCATTTACTTTCTACCCAAAAAGATGCTCTATTTGCATTACTGATTATCATCTGTCCAGTTTTGCAATTAAATTACCCTACATCTGTATTGCTAATACACTCAGTAGAGGTGGCCTTGATGTTTGCAATTTTTAGCTCAATCCAGAACTATGGTAAACGTTATCAATCTGGAAGTGGAGGATTTGAAACCAAAGCATTCTTTAAAGCACTTGGTGACTTTTTTGGAATATTCATGCTGTCCTTGGTGATTGGCGCTGTCATGGGATGCGTTACTGCATTGATATCCTTTTGAATATACAAATTATATTTATCCATACAATACTCAAGTTTAGATTGTGTGTGACATTGAACTGATCGTCCGAAATTCATGCGAGATTTTGATTTGCCATCATTATACAAGCTAATGAAAATACCAAACAAGCGTTGAATCCTAAGTATTTTTGCAACAACAAAGTGGTGGACTGGTGGATTTAGAAAATGTTTAAAATTAGGGTTTTTCAAAATTTTATGCTCACAGAATTTGTTGTAATTGTAACACCAGACTATTGGTTTTGTTGTGTAGCTTCTTTCAAAATAATCTAGAAATTTACTGGACAATACAGGACAGTGAGATATCATTGCCCTACCAAAATTCTGTTTTACGTTTACAGTAAAGAAAATTCTGTGAATATACGCCATTTTATTGGCCATGCAAGCATGGGGGATTGAAGTCAGCAAGTTGAAAAATAAACAAACTGTTTTCAAGTGTCAAATTCGGTAGTTTCCAAAATTTTAGAAAAATGTATACACCTGTTGCGGAGACCCCCTCTGTACGGATTTCTGTGATATAAATATACTGAAATATATCACAAAACGTTCAGGAAAGGTGATATTGTCAATTGTCACTACTTTTCAAGCTCTATATTATCCTTATATAAGAACACATGACCAAATTTACCAGAGTTAGAGACTTTCCACTCCTAGAGTCTGCCTTGTTCGTACTAATGTCCTACAGCACATTTTTGATAGCAGAAGCTGCAGAACTGACAGGTAAAGTAGCGATATTTAGCACTAATATATTAGCTAGGTGCTGATTTGTATGTTTCAATTTCAGGAGTCGTAGCAGTATTGTTTTGTGGTATCTGCCAAGCTCACTATACGTATAATAATCTCTCCGAGGACTCCAGAATAAGGACCAAACAAATGTTCGAGCTGCTCAATTTCCTAGCAGAAAACTTTATTTTCTCCTACATTGGCGTTTCGATGTTTACTTTCCCAAAGCACCATTTCGATCCGCTATTTATCTCGACTGGATTTGTATCCTTTTCTACAGGCAATAGATACTTGGTAGTAGAGTAATTGACTTTTTTGGAATCATCTGACGAAAAACTGCGCCGATATTATTATACAATACAAAAATAATATCGGCATGCTCATCATTGCTAAATTCCATTTCAGAACACTCAAAAATGGAAAAAAGAAACTTGAAGTTAAAATTCCAAAAATTGCGCATTTCGGAAAAAAGACAGTGCGGTACTATTTTTATTTGGAAAAATAATGCCACCATTTATTTTTAAACTTCAATGCCCGGTATCTTTTTAATGAAGCCCTTGAGGAAAAAATGTTACATAGCAGGTTCACCTTAAGATGCAGTCCTGTGGATGTTTCATTTTTGGTCACGATTCTAAAAACCACAAAAAGAACATCCTTTTTTGTCAAATAGAAGCCGCTTATTTTTGGTGGCCTTTCGTCAAAAGTATATCAAAAATGAGAAAGACAATGTTTTTTGTCTCTTATAGAATATAGAATTTTTCAATTTCTAAAATTGAACAAATACAATTTACATTTTTCAATACGACAGCTTTTTTAATTTCTTAACAAAACATAGATCTGTGCTGCCATTGGTCGAGCTGCTAATATATATCCTTTATCCTTTTTATTGAACCTTGGAAGGAAGCCTAAAATACCTTCCAATTTTCAGCACATGTTATTTTTCGCAGGTACCTATGTTGTTTATTGATAACGTTAAATACTAAATTTTTGTCATTTTGTTGCCATTATTTGGAGGTTATCCAGTTGCGTTCTACGTTTTCGATCATATTTCAAAAACTAGCTGTGAATGGACTTTGTTCTGATGGTAACGTTTTAAGTATGGAAGTATCAAAATGTGGTCAAGATTTGTACCATGATATTTAACCGCCGCCACCGGTCTTATAATCTTCTTCTAACGCCTATTCCACGTGTAACCATTACGTTTTAGCGTCTACTCAGGTGAACAGCTGATCAGCAAGTGACATCATTGTTCAAATCTTAGTCTTTAACGTTGGCAATAATAAATCGGGTAAAACTCAGGACCGTATTCAGAGCTGTTGTTCACATATCTATATACTTTGACTGGGAATTTTGAAAATAAATTATATGAAGTACACATAGAAAAATGTTTATTAAACAAGTCAATATAACATACTGCGTTTTCCTTTCCAGTAGCTGTAATTTTACCTGTAAAAATAACATAGACACGTGTTTCTGGTTAATTGGTCGTCATCAGTGTAATGTCATTCAAATACAGGTTAAATATGCGTAGATCATCTTATAAAAATTAATAATAAATGGCAATCTGATATCTTTTAATAGTTAAACAACTGAATTTAATTTCTTATTTTCACGGGGCGTTTTCGTTTTTTTAGTATTCTTAACTGTTGGCCTATACCTATTCACGAACACTGCATTGTCCCTGTTGAGTACATTTCATAACTTTTTGCAATTTCACTTACATTTTTCCAATTCAATGAATTCGTAGCGTACAAAGAACCGCAACAAAATACGGCTCTGTCTACCTTGCGTCACTTGTCAATATGGGGAATTTTGAAATATTACTAGATGATCAGCTGTTATTCTACTGTAAAGTATATCCGTGCAATTTAGATCGTCGAATTTCCTCTTTTTAGGGTTAAGAGGTGCGATGTCATTTGCTTTAGCGATAAGAAACACGATGTCCGAAGCTAGGCAGGCCATGTTAACAACAACATCTCTCATAGTTATTATAACCGTTATTATACAAGGTGGGGCAACTATGAGTCTGCTGAACTGGTTTCAAATTCCGTGAGTATTTTCGTCTAAAAGAATTTTTTCATACCCTGTTTTTAATAAACTGGGCAACAAAAAATGTTACTTTTACAGGTTTTCAAGGTATACATTATGTCCAAGATGAAGATATGAAAGCACTGGAACGATTGAAGGTTTTTTTTTATATGAAGAAATAGTTGCGAGTTGCAAATGTTTTTCATATATACAGCGTGTCCGCAAAGTTGGGGTTTTCCTTTTCAGACACAACTGCGCTTGATATAAGAAAACTAATGCTTGATGAAACGTGAGCGAACAAGTAAAAAAAATAAATGAAAAAGTACTCACTGTTCCGTTGAATTGATATTCCAAGTACGACTCTGTCGTAAAATCCGTATTTACATCGTAGTCGTACGTCGTATAACTGTACCCTGGCGCTGGCGCTGTGGACGTGATCGAGGGATAGGACAGGACCGGCTTCGGTTTGATTTAGTTTGTTTAGTCCAGTATCTCGGTTCTCTTAAGACATTGGTGTATATGCTACTATGGAAATCCGCTTATTTTCTCAGGATCTACATATCGTGTAAAGGAAAACCCCAACTTTGCGGACACCCGGTATAGTCTGCAAGCTGTTGCTGCTTTCTTATTTTGTCGTTTTCATAGATATAAAAAAAAAACTTTGTCATGAACTGATGACGGCGTTGCGTAGGGAGTGCAGAGTTAAGGTTATGTATATATCATTCTCATTGAGCTCAAAAGGTGACAAGTGAAACGTTTTTTATTTTTGATATCCATCTTTAAACGCCAGCAATAATGTAAAAATTCGAATGTAGCTGTAGAAAGAAGAGAAGAATCACGCAATCCTTTCCTATTACTACTCCGTCCTTCTCACATCAAAGTCAAAAATTGCGATATTATTATATTTATATTTTTTTCAGAGTGGGAATTGATGATGAAACGGAAGCTCTATCAACTCAAGGTGTACATAGTGTAAGTATATAAAAATGTATATTCCATGACACTATCAAATTTAGTCGTGTATTTTCATAATCAACAGTCTAATAATTTGCTTTGTACGTTATTCATATTGCATTCATCCGCGTGTGTTCATTTGTTTGGATGATGTATTTGACAATCTCTGGTAGTCAGAAATTCGTTGTTGAATATAACCATTGATTATTTTTATTTTGTATGAAGAGAAGTCATTTTTCTTCTAAACGGTTCACCAATAATACTAAAGTCTTAGTATTATATAGTAAAGTAAAATTTCGGTTTATGATTAGGTTTACAACTCTATGGAAAATGCATTTGGGGTACGTAATACATGTCTTTAAGCATCCTTGTAGCTACGACTAGGGTTTTCATACCCGGGTAACCAAGACTTTTCGGACCTGGGTAATACTTGACGGGTACCCGGGTATAAACAAAAATTACAAATGTACATTCCAAAAGCCGAAGGCGATGACCTTAAATTATATGTTAGGCAGAGCATCCTAATTGAAAGTTCTCATTGGCTCTTAGCAATCCTAAGACACAAAAAAATATTGCATGAGAAACTTCATATTAGACCCTATAACTTTTATACAAAACTTTTTTCTGGAAGGTCATATGAAAAAGTTAGAGCCGGAAATCCGGTACCTGGTGCAGATGGATTTTTGAAACACGTGACTTTTACGGAAGAGCTTGGTGGCGTTCTTAAAACAGAGTTACACAATAGGCAAATGACATCGTGTTTTTATTAGTATTTTGTTAGGAAGAAGTTTATTATTTTATGTATAAATATATATATATATATATTTGATTGGCCCAAACTGATGGAAAATATCCGGGATTTGAAAAAATCCGATACCCGGGTATCAAAAAAGTCTGAGTATTCTACGCGAAAACCCTAGCTACATGTTGAAATGCTTGATGCTTTTGGGTTATTGAAGTAAAACTTTATACCCTTAGATTGTTTAATGTTACTGATAAGTCCATATCTTTTCATGCATGTTCCAGCCTGACTTGTTTTCTGTATTATTAAGAAAAAAATCTGGTTATTGCTCTAAATTAGAAGAGTACGTACGAAAAATACATAAATGTGTTGCTTTTGTTTTATAACAAACTAGCTGTTACCAGCGAGTTCGTACGCTTAACATTGTTAAAATAACCAAAATTTTGAAATCAACACAGAACAAATTTTACATTGTATAAATAATAATAATAATAATGAGGTCAATTTTAAAAAAATCAGCTAGAATAACACAGACTATACGATTTTTCGAGTTATGTCATATGGGAATTATGATTTTATATTAAATGATTCACACACTACGAGGCAATGGTCTTTGTATTACTTTATTATTGTACGACTCTATTCTTATTCATGGTTGTCAATTTAATTTTTGGCCGAGCTAAAAAATACCTTAAGCCTTAAGGTAACAGTCCACCATTTCCATTCTTTGATTTCAAATCTTACCTCACCTCACCTTACTCAAAATAAATATGTATTTGTAAAAGAATCTGATAAAAGCATGCCATTATTATATATCTTAAGCATGACCGTTTTCCTGCTTCATGTAACTATCTCATCTGGATCTGGCCGAATTTAATGTGAGAATCCGTTGATTGAATATAAATAGGTGCGATAACAATTTACTTCTAAGATGTAGAGTGTTAAACACTGAAAAGTTATTTTCGCAAGAATATCAATAATCCTTTAGTCGATTTTGTTTCAATGTGATTTTCATAGGGCAATTTATTTGATATTGACTGTCTAGCATTATCTCTGTGCATGCCAAGATTCGACAGATTCCAACATAATCGGATGAAGAATTATTGAAACGCAAACGTGATGTTTGTTAGAAACTGGAATCAACCCCTCAAGTTTGGCCAGATAGGTACTTTGTTACCGTCTTGTATATTAGTATTTGTAAATTTCTTATTTTTATGTCACAGCTTTGGTAACAATCAACTATGAAACTCTCCTGTCAGTGAGAGTATGTTTTTCCAAAAAGAGGCGACGGAGTATTGATGAAGCTCCAGAAGAAATTTGTAATGTTGCCACGCCTTTTTTGGTTAATTAATAAAACACAATGATAAATACTATCTAACGGTTGGTCCAAGCAAAACAGTTGTCTGATGGCGTGCAAATTTAGGTCCTCGCTCAACAGAGCGGAGAGTAGGGGGGGTGGTTAAGAGCGCCAGTGGCTTAGGACAGAGGAAAATGACTAAACTTAAGTTATACAAAAAAAGGGTTGTAGTCCATGAATTGGCGCTTGGGGCCTAATATCGCAGAGTCCGGAAAATGACGAAACGACCCCTGCACCACGACCTCAACGGAAACAGAAAAGCGAATCATGCAGAACACGTAACGTTCCAGAAGAAGGTATCTTGAGTGGCCTTGAAGAAGATATAGGAAACCAACTAACGGAGAAAAACTACAGAGTTTTTTTGCTGATCGTCAACACCATACTGAATCGCTGAGAAAGAAAGATATACAGGGTGTCCGCAAAGTTGGGGTTTTCCTTAACACGACGTGTAGATCTTGAAAACATAAGCAATTTTTTTTAGTACCATATACACCAATGTCTTAAGGGAACCGAGATAAAGGGCTCTGCAACATCAAAAATATCTGAATATCGTCCTGTAGCCGCGACATCCCCGACTGGTACTAGGACACTAGCTCAACCCTACGACAGAACTGGGTCGGGGTCAGTGTGTCAGGTCAGTATGCAACCTTCAACCGACGGTTACGGTCACGCGTCTAGAGGTAATCGCGTAGACGAGAATCCCTCAACAAGCACTAGAAATGTGGCTAGAGAAGTGTAAGTATCAAAAACTACAGTGTGACAAACGCTGCGTGAAGAGGGGCTGTATCCGTTTCACGTCCAACGTGTACAAGCCCTTCAACCTGACGATTTTCCAGCAAGAGTGCGGTTTTGTGAGTGGTTGTTGCATCAACATGACAATAATCCGGACTTTTTGAAGTGCATATTGGTGACAGACGAATCTACGTTCACGCGTAATGGGGTGAATAAAATGTCATTTTCGCTGTTTCGCTTTCATCGCTGTACTAGAGGAATTTACATGCGCCGAAATGGCGGCCATTTTTTATACTGACGCGAGAGTTTCATGGCTGATTGCTGTCTGAGCTGTGCTTATGTGTTTGGGTCCTCTGATATTATTATCATTTCTTAGGGTGGTAGTACTCCAAGAGGGGGTGGTGGTGGTGATTGGAGTGAAATAAATGGCTCCTCTGAGTTTCCCAAATCGCACCAAAATGAAAAAGCATTTTTAGCTAGAATTTGGGGAAGTTTTGATACTCATTACATGAAACCTTTATTGACGCATTCGAGGCCGACTCTGTTGGATACCTTACCTGTCTGTTGCAATCCTTTGGCAAGGCTACTTACTACGACTGAGCAGATGACACAGGTTAGTTGGTAATTTTCTGCGTGGCGGAATAGGAAAATTTGGCTCATTTCTCTAAACTCAGTCTGAATGATATTAAAAGTGCGCAAGCTATCATCATTTATCATTCAACCGTGTATTTCAGGAGGGAGCGCACAAGCGTGATTCTGACTCTGACCTTTGTATAGAGGATAACGATTTATATAGTACGAATAACGTCAGACCTAAAGTAAGTAGCTTGCCTTAAATATGTTAGCTTATTCACCAATGTGTTGTTTTTAGCTATAAACAATCTGCAGTATTCACACAGATGGCATGTGTATTACGCATATATGAAATATTCGTGAGAGCTTTTGTTTCTGTTATATTTTCTGTTATTCGAGGTTCAATCGCACCACGTTTGTGAGAAGTGTTGTACATAGCAAACGGTTTTAGTGTTTAAGGTATCATTTTCTTAGAGAATTGATATTTTTGTGCCATAACTTATGGATCCCTACTGAAACCAGCAATTTGACTAAATCTGCTGTTCAGAATCCTTTTTACTGAATTTAGTATGTGTCAACACGTAGAACCGAATCTTGACAAGGGTATTGCAATGCTGCTCAAGTTTGTAATAGCTGTTTGGTCCTTATCACTATCAATACTGACAGAATAATTAGACCGTGAAATGACGAGCAGCCTACAGAAAAGTGGATTTCAAAAATCTAAAAAACAATCAGTATATCGCAAGCCTGTATGAATGTTCTGAGATAAAGTTGCTTTTTAAATGCCCTGCCTTACAACTAGCTTGGGTAAAAAAATGGATCCACGGTTACTGGTAATTCGCCGTATATCTTTCAGATCAAGGACGAAAAGGCTTTGTAGTTTTGGGTTCTGGGGGCTATAAGGGGGTATAGGCGAGCCACATGCACACATTCTGGCTCTGCCTTAGACATCCGCTGGGTGGTACCTCCACGTTCGACGGTCAGAGACCTTCTACCAACTACGGACAATTGCGACATCCATGGCCAAGGAAAAAATTCTCTTGGGACGGGATTCGAACCCGCGCAACGCACGGCGACTGATTGGTAGATCCATAACGTCTACCATTACGCCACCGCTGATGTCTCGATAATTTTTGAAAAAAATTTTAGAGATGAAGGGGGGTGGGGAGGTTATGTGAAATGTTTGATGTTAGCGTATTTATACGCTCCCAACTCTAGTAAATCTGCGCACCTATTAGACATATTTTCGGGGAGATGCGACGTTGCCAGATGGACTACCGGTAGGCCAGGGAAACAGTGTCTATGGGCTAATTGTATGGACCTGTTTGACTGCCTTAACTTAAGCTAGGGGAATCAATTGAATTATTACGATTTTCAAAATGATTGAAACTTGTTTCAAGTCCCTGGAACAAATACGGCGAATCAGCAGTAACCTTAACACAGTGTAAGAGCAATATTCATCATGTTTCATAAACGTGCTAGAACAGTGATAAACACTTATCATTATGGTGCAATTGAACCTTTACATTATTAGTTTAAAGTATTGTTATATTTGTTCCTTATTAGCTATATTGTAGTCATGTTATAGTAGTATAGTTTGCGAGTATTCTCATCCTCCAGCCATGTCTGATGATATCATGTACAAAAGGCAAACATTAAATCTCATTTAGGCAATTCACCGTCTTTCTAAATTAAACGCGTCTCAGGGCCGTAGTGACAGTTTCCCTATGCTCAAATATTTCTACTGTTACACTGAATAACCGCTTCAAGTTTGATCCCATTGTTCTGAAACACCCTGTATACTCGATAGTATCTCTTAGTCAAGCATTGAGTTGTAATTTATGACTAGTTAGTGTTTGAATAAATTTCTTCATTAAAAAAAATCCGATAAATATTGTGTGCCTAAACTTTTAGGACATACCAAAAATGTTAAAGAAAAATATTTTCTCATTTCCTTAACGTCTGCTCATCATCGTTGTACTTAGACCGACGGCGACGCGACGTATGGGAATACTCGCATATTGTGCGTTAGTTATGGCGATTTGGCAATGATGTATATGTTTATTTTCAGCCACAAATAAATGCTATTAGTGGGCAACAAGTTTAAAGTGGAGGCATTCTTATTTGGTGAAATGTATAAGGAAATCATTACCATACGCAAGTAAACATTTAGAATACGATAAGTTTGTTATGAGAGGTGGAGCATTTTATCAAATGCGCGAATGATATCAAGATGTTGCAAAGGCATGATGTTTAAAAATTCCTATTTTTGCGCATATTGTTTCACCCCACAATCTTGAAATATTCAGTTTTTATATCCCCAAAACGCCTTACTGGTGTTTAGCTTGTGATTGTATATTCTTTATATTATTACATATTTAAGTGACAGGTGGGGCATTCCACGTGAAGCGGATACCGAAAAAAAGTGATTTTTCTAAATTCGTTCATGTCATCGGCAATGGCTTGTTTATCCGTTAAAAGACGTCAAAATTTTTAAAATTCTCTTTTTCAGATATTTTAGGAAACGACAATCCGATTTGAATGAAAATTGGAACACATGTTTTGCTAGACGTCCTAATATTTGACTTTTACAAAAAACCCGAATGGGTTCGTGAAAGGTGAAAACTACCTACTGATTATAGCAATTTTTTTAACTCTCCCAATTATCTATTTATTTCATTTTTGTGTCTTATAGAAACAACGCATCTCGCATAGTTTTCGAGAAAAAATTAATATTTTTCGGAGCCGGTTTCTAAAAAATGTACTTATTGCATCCAGTGTTAAAATTTATTTGCGCCCTTGATGCAACTAATTTTTGTCTCGAAAACTATCCGAGATTGCGTGTTTTTATAGGAGACAAAAAATGAAGTGAATAAAAATATCTGCTGAATACAAAAAAATCAGAGACGTTGGGAAAGTTGCCAAACTGCAAAAATATAGTACAGGAAGATCTTTCAAGGTAGTGGCCCACTAATTTTGACGTCCTCCGAAGCTTCTGTATCCTAATCGTTTTAATAGGTTACGTAGTTGAGAAGGGAGACAGTTTTCGACATATCTTAAGGTGGTGGGGGTACCTCATAGTATGCGGTGCTTAAGATCGAAGTGGGGACGGTTCTATTTTCCTTTCATGCCGGAAAGTATCTTTTGTTAGCCACCAGCAATCCTGCATCTTAATTGATTGGTCATCTTTGGCTGTGATTAATATTCTTATGTTACTTGTTCGATGGCTGTAGCACGTAGAGACGTTGTAGCCTTGATGATTTTGCGTTATGGCTATCTATGAACTTATTCATGGTTGAAATCGCCACACCTTCTCGATATATTGTATGTGTTTTGCCATATTTTTACTTACTAGAAATGAAAAAAATGTTTGTGGTTGCTTGCAATCCTCTATCAAGTCAAACTGTGACTATTGTGAGGTTTACTATTGTTGTAAGAGCCAGTGTCAGCTTATTATTCCATACAGATTCATCATGTGTGATTTTCGTGTTTATACACGATTTCTGGTAATTGAAATTTTCCGATTTTAACAGTCACCTGCAGCAGTATTAGAATCTATATGTATAATAGAAAAAAATGTGTAAGTAATACGTGGTTTTGATCATTGTGATTTAAGCTAATACAACACAACGCAAACGAAAATCACTTTATACAGGGTGGCCCATTTTTACAAAGCAAGCTATTTCTCTTTACAATTTACCTTTAAAATCAATAGTCCAGAGGCTGGAACCTTTAAAATATTCGTGATCGGTCACAATAATAATTGTAATTGTTTGAAAAGTATACAATCGAATTTTTTTGCCGCATATTCGTATCGACGAAAATATATTACATACTAGTAATGTAGAAAAATGCCAACTTCAGTCCGCCAGACGGTAAATCTTTTTTGAGAGATACTGATACAATTTCCTATAGCTCATTTTATTTCTAGGTAATCTATTTCTTCGTTTTTTATCGACTTCTGCCGGATAATCTGAACCGCAAAACATACTTTCTCCTAAAATTTCAAATGACTCACTTCGTATGTTCTTACGTATTAGGATTCCTCTTTTTATAACATTTTTCAAGGAAGCCAAAAATAGTCGTACTGTTATTGTGAAATTGAATATTGAAGGAGTCTGTTCAAATTACTTCCATTTAAAAAAGTACGACTTTGATATATAGGTATGGCTAGAAGTTGAAACACCCTGTATAATACTGAATATTAGAATATATACTTATTTTTTTATTTTTGAAAGGTTTTCATTTAGGAGCAGTGCTCCGTCCACACATGTAGTGGTTCTCCTATCTGCTGAGGAGTCCCCTTATTCTCCCTCCAGCAATATACTGCTGATTCTATATTACTATTTTTTTTGTAACTTGCGATTTTGGCAATATTCTATGTATTATATTTAGTTTACATATTGTATGCACTTTTACTGTTTACCATTAATTAGGCTGTGAAAAGAGTTTTCATTGAGTTAGCCAGTGGAAAATAAAGAAATGAATGCTAAGTACGAGTATTTTTTAACAATAGAAATGGCCCTCGATACTGTTCGTAGTTTATTGTTTTTCTGTGTTGTGCTGAATAAGAACGAGAACGAGAATAAGCACATTTAGGGGGAGAATATTCATTTTCACCCCAAGTAAATGATTCTCCAAATCAGGTTTTACCTTAAAAAAATACTTTATTATAGAAACATATACAAGGTGGTCTGGTGTAAGAAAGCTTCTGAAGGAGTGGCAGATGAAATATAAATAAAAAAAATACTCCATATCAAATACGATTTATAGTATACAGTAGTGGACAAAAGTTTGGAAGCATAGTAATTTTTAAAAAGTGCGCTAATTTCTTATTCGTTATTATCAAGAACTAGTTTTTTCTCATACAGTGTGCTTGCAGTCTTGAGGATACAAATGATGTGTGTTTGCTGTGGTACTACAGACTAGCATTAAAATACCTTCATATTATTGGAAAACGACGACTAAAGTAGGGAAACACATTTTTTATTACAAAATTAAATACAATAACTCTACAAAAAGTTTTTAAAAATACTGTTTAGCTAATGTTTGGTTGTAGCATAGCCTTTAGCATTCAACACTGTCTGACATCTTTCCAAACTTTTGTCATTACCAAAACTGTGTAATTTGAAAAAACGCGTGTTTCGTTTTCAGAGAATTGGAATATTGATAAGATAAACCTTCTATTAATACGGGAGCCAAAGGTAGACTGTAATATTTATATAATCTAGCTCAAAATAATGTTAATATTAGTCTCCAAACCTTTGTCCACTGCTGTATGTAATTCGGTTAGCATGGAAAAGGATTTTAAAAACGCGAATTTCATAAACACTTTTTAGGAAAATGTTGGCGTGGCAGTATGTTGACATCGATTTTTTTGCCATTACAATAAAGGTATAGTACAAATGAATAAAACAAAGTCATATTTCATATAGATATTTATTTATTCACAAGTATATTTATATACACCATAAGTATAAAATTTCAAGAATATATCAATATGCAAAACGCATTTCATGTATAATGTATAAAATGTTCTATAACTGGAGTATTACAAATTAGAAATGTTTTCCAACATTATTTTTTAATACACATAAACGTCAGGTACTATTAAAAACGAAAAAATGTCACGGAATTTAAAAAAATCTATACAATCATCCAATTTGTATATTGGAATTGCATATAAAATGTGATTATGTACCATAAACGACCATTTAGTAAAATATCTTACAAATCTAGATTTTGGCACATTTAAATGGACAGTAGAGGTGTTTCCTCTAATTTTAATGATAACTGCCGATTGTTAATATATTTACACGATAAAATAAAATTGACCAGTTTACTTATTATTTATATAAGTAAGGATAAATGTTTATAGAGTTAAAAACAGTTCAGTATTAAAACATCAACTACAAATCATCGTCACCTATACATTCAAATGCATGATTCTCAATAAATTCTCTACCATTTTTAAATGACACACTAGAAAATTTCTCTTGGAGCTTCTTTATTGTGAATGATTCCTGACTCCCTGACTCTGGAATATCAGCAATCTGGAAAAAATATTTATTTTGTAGAATACCATCGTATTCATATGGTTATGTGTAAGAATGGCGGTACCTAATAAAGATATCATTATTATACAGGGTGCGGCAGAGAGGATGGACGGTTTTAAAAAAATCATAGAATAGTTCATTTTTACTCGAAAACAAATTTATTGATGGAATCAGGTTCATTGGCCCCCGAGATCGTGCGATTTAACACCTCTTGACTATTTTCTTTGGGGATTTTTGAAAGAAAAATTGTATGCGAATGGTCCCCGGACAATTCAATACCTAAAGCTCAATATTCGGACTGAAATTGCGGCCATAGAAAATAATATATATAAAATTTTGATGTTCGGATGTTGGCCTGTAAACGAAGTCGCGGTGGTCACATGCCTGATGTTATTTTTCATACATAAATGGCATAAACCAACCTCCATTTATCAATAAAAAAAATCGATTTCACCTCGTAAAAAGCGCGTTGATTTTTCAAATAGAAAAAAAAGTAATAGATGACGCACCCTGGTGATATGAAAATAGCGAAGGAACGACTACACATTGAGATCTAAATAGCATCTAGCTCAAGTTACCTGTTCGTTGAGATTCACGTCATCTACAGATATGAGATGGCTAGAACCATCGCGTTTCATATACGACCAGCTGCCTTTGATTACGGGGCAATATTTTTTCTTCACGCCATTCTTTTTCATCAGCAATTCATCTACCAGTGACTGCAAACATACTGACATCAAAATTGCTTGATCGCTAGTTATTGTAACCCATTGTAGCTTATCTTTTGACATTAAATACTCGAATGACAGCTCCAGGCTGGAGTTACTGTTTGATTGGCTATTTATCGCTGTTTCTTGCTTGTTCTGAAAATAAACCAACAATCAATCATCAAAAAAGATCCCTGAAAATAACTCAAACTTCAAGTTGATCGCATCTATTAAATATTTATTCGAATATACTGACATTGAGAAAAGAGCCAATTTATTGCAAATAATTTCTAGGTATAACTTTGTTAATATTCTCATTATGCCTAGTGTGAAAAGATGAAAACATGTTCAGTAGCTTAGCGATTATAATAGGTAGTCTAATCACATTAAACAGAGTATTTATGTGAAAATAAACTGATTTGTATTGTATTCTTTTCAGTAAGCTGACGGTTTTTTAAATACAAAGGGTGATTGGTGAAAAGTCGTGTCCTAATAAGGATAATTTACCATGTTTGACCTTCACGAAAACCGTATAATTTTGCCTATAGTTTTTGGAAATACGCAGTTAGGTACATTTACCTTCGTCAATGCATATGAAACGGGACCTCGGTTGGCCGCGTGGGTCAGAGTGTCGTGCTACTGATCAACCGGCCGGCCGGGCCGCGAGTTCGAATCTCGCCTTCGCCATGGATGTTGTGTGTTTGTTTTAGGCAGCAGCGGTGGCCGCAGTAGTAGACTCTTCGGTCTCCTGATCAGCCGCCGTGCGCTGTGCGGGTTCGAGTCCCGTCCCAGGAGAAATGTTTCTCTTGGCCATGGATGTTGTGATTGTCCGTAGGTGGTAGATGGTCTCTGACTGTCGAACGCGGAGGTACCACCCGGCGGTTCTCGTAGGCGGAGCCAGAATGTGTGCATGTTGCATGCACAAGTGTTCCCTCGCCAGAGTCCGTGTGGCGTCCCCCCTTTCCCATGTATCCCCCAAAGCCCCATGGTACCCAATGGGTGCTTAGGCCTTAGGCCTTCGTGGTAGTTGCAGTATTAGAAAAAAAAAAAAACTTACATGAGTTGCTGTAATTCTCCAACACCTCATCCTAGTAACTTTGAAACTTCCTTCTTTAACAAACTGGCCAGGTGCTAACACCCTCATGTTCAACTCTTGGTCCCCTATGGCGATCAAAACCTTTGTTTGTGCTTTGGGATAATCACAGTAACATGGTATGAACTGGATGAAACCATAGTATTTCAGTTTTTGAGCTAATTCAATATATTCTCTTTTAGCCAAACTAACTTGATACGTTGTCAGATGTGCTTTAGTTTCTTTTGTGGCTAGTATCCATCCCTTTTCTATTTCGGTCACTGTTTGCACATAGAGTAAGTTCAATGCTACAGGGTCTGTCATAAGTTCAAAGTCATAGCCTGTGTCCCAATAACTGGAATAAAGTTTGTAATGTTAAAAACACTGCAACAAAACCTCACGAGAAAGTGTGGATGTTTGTTACTCAATCGCAACAAAGAGCTAGACTATAGTCTGAATATTGGTTACTTTTTATCATTGGAAATGGCTTTGAAATATATATTTCATGGGCTGCAGCTAAAATGGCTTAATGGAATTTGAGATAAGGCGTCTGGCGCGGAAGCGTTTAGTCGCAGGTCCTACCGAAAGGAATACAGATATACAGGGTGTCCCAGAAATAACACGCCAGAGTGACATGGGAGGTAGATTGGCTTCAGATTATCATATAAAATCAGCATGACCTTAGTGAAAGTTTTCTAGTTTTCGAGATATTGCCACGTTTAAGGTTTTTTAAAAAATCCCTACTTTTTTGCCTGTTACGGCTATGAAGAAGTTCTAACTTATGATATTTTTTCCTAGGCTATCGTTAATAGTTGGTTGAGAAAACCGAGCATTCATTTCATTGAAAACTGGCACGGTATGCTAAAAAACTAAATTACTGCATTTGGTTTTAACCGTCACTGAAGTTTTAGTATTGACCGTTAAAAATGTACCAGACTTAGTCAGCAAATGACCATAAAAATTGGCTATTTAATGCACTTTCAAGAATAGTATAACATTTGTAGGTTTTTCTTACTAAAAACTGAACACTTCCAAGTTTTGTCATTGAAGTCGTAATACTTGCAATATACTACAAATCAAAAATCTTTTGTGCCAAATTACAACTTTGTAGTTGCTGTAATCGCTTTTTATTTTAACAGTATTTCACAAGTATTACGACTTCAATGACAAAACTTGGAATTATTCAGTTTTTAGTAAAAAGAACCTGCAGATGTTATACTATTTTTGAAAGAGCATTTAATGGCTAATTTTTAAGGTCATTTGCTGATTCAGTCTGGTGCCCTTTTTTTCACAGTAATTAGTCAAACTTTAGTAAAGGTTTTCGCATTGAAACCAAATGCAATAATTTGTTTTTTAGCATGCCGTGTTAGTTTTCAATGAAATAAATACTCGGTTGTCTCAACCAACTATCAATGGCAGCCCAGGAAAAAAAATCATAAGTTAAAAGTTCTTTATAGTCATAACAGGCATGGAAGGAGTAAAAGGTAGTGATTTTTTGGAAAAAAAGTGGCAATACCTCGAAAACTAGAAAACTTTACTAATGTCATGATGATTTTTATCTGATTGATCTGAAGCCAATCTACCTCCGGTGTCACTCTGGCGTGTTATTTCTGGGACACTCTCATATAAATAAGGTATTTGCAACATGCATTTACTGATGATTAACTGCATTTCGACATTTTTCTAGGAATGCCAATTCTAGTTCGTTCATCCAAATCTGGCTCATATTGATGCTCAGTAGTGAATACCATTGCACAATTGTTACCAGTTCTCGCCTCTTTTTGTCTCGCGCCAAAAAAACTGACAAAAATCGGAGAACCTGCGAAGATTATGAAAACGGGCTCCACATTTACATTTCTCATGTTTTTCTCGCGTGAGCGTGGAGAGGCTTATATAAAGAACTGCCGGCTTATATAAAGAACTGCCGAGATTGTTAAAGTGAATCACACCATTTATGATTTAGCCAGAATTGTTTTTGTAAAAAAAGTGACTAAGTGTTGGCGGCCAATCGGAGACAAAAACATAAGAAAGTAAAAAAAGGCGAGCAGTCACGCATCAGCCTTCCCTCTGATCGGACGCGCGTTGTTGAATTAAAGGCTGGAAACTGCAAAAACAGTGTTTTTATCCACAGCTGGTGTAAAACATTCTTTATCTGAAATGGATCTCATTCACACTGATGCAAAATGATCTTTACACTTCTTTCATGCAGGCAGAGTTAGTATATTTTAGGGCTTCTATCCCAAATTAAGACCACAATTTGCAAATCTTTCATGTATGAAATAAAGAGGCACAACACCAAAATTAGATGCAATGAACCACTAGACAGTAGAACAACTGTATCATGGTGATGACTGATGGCTCCAATTTTTCTTTTAAGTAGGATTAGATCTACTAGACTGTTGGCAAGTAAAAACAAAGATCTCATAATGAAAAACTAAAAAACTGACAGTTTTAAAACAATATACATACCTTTTCCTTAAAACTACTTTATTAGAATCCTTGAGTGTTTTGTGAGCCATATATGGAGACTCAAAGTCCAGTAATTTCCTCAATACAATGATATCCCCACTATTATCCTTTTTAACCAGATAGAGAGCGAAATATTGTAGATATTCCAATGGCAAGTTAATGTATTTGAAAACTTTAGTGAGCACTTGTTCAGTTCTATCAAATGAGGATACCCATAAAGGAATTTGATAATTGTTCATTGTATATACATCTAGATTTACATCTTGCTTCTTCTCACATGTTGTCTCCTGCTGTGCTGAGAGTAAAAATCCGACTACTAGCTCTGATGTCACCAATTTTGAATCTTGGCCAACTAAAAAAAAAAGAACATTTAAACTTTCAAAAATACCAGGAACTCTTGAAGAAATGGCATTAATATTCTCATAACATGCTTTTCAAGTTTATGTACACTGTGAAGGATGCCCCACAAATGTTTTTATATAAATTTTCAACTTTTACCTATACAGGGTGTCTGGAAAGTTGGAGTTTTCCTTTACATGACATGTAGATGTTGAGAAAATAAGCTAATTTTCTCAGTAGCCAACCGAACTGAAGCCGGTACTATCCCTCAATCACGTTCACAGCACCAGCATACAGATATATGACGTACAACTACGATGTAAATACGCTAGTGTGCAACCTAACCTAGAGCCTAGTAGTGTAGGTCAACAAACCATTACATTGGTAACCAATTGCTGTTCAAAAAATAAAAAAAAATTTCACACTCATACAGCAATAACAAACTAGTCCACATGCTGTTAATTAATGGTGAGTGTCTTCAAAATGCGACTGATCTAACAGTACTTATAAAATATGTTCACCAAGAAAAAGTGACAGAAACATCATATTTTCGATCTCTTTTTTGTTATTTTTGTTACATGTGCTCTTGGATTTTACAACAGAGCCTTACTTGGAATTTCAATTCAACTGAACATCGAGGATTTTTTCATTTATTCTTTTTCACTTGTTTGCTCATGTTTCACCACACATTAGCTTTGTTATATCAAGCAAAATTGTGTCTGAAAAGGAAAACCCCAACTTTGCAGATACCCTATAGATTGAGAACCATTCAGCTTTGAATTTTCAACTTTCACTTATAGAATGAGAACCATCCAGCTATCCGAAAAATAGAAAATGCCATTTCTGTATTTTCAAAGAGATGGTGAATTTAATTGTGCACAAAAACGATCCTATCACTTTTTTATACAAGATTCAAAGTTTACCAGATAACTGACTGATCGTTATGTAAAATAATATCAGTTAGACTTGAACACCAACAAATATTATCCAGGCTATTGCACAGTGGAAAACTCAAATTTAGATACTGTATGTCCTCAATAATATTGTTAGATGTAACTAGGTTTAAAAATAGTATAAAAGAATTAATATGAATAACCTTGACTACAATAAAGAATTGAAAAACACATTCCTATGCATTTAGGCAAATGAACATGCCAAAATCTGAAGGTGATCAGACTTTGAGGAACATTGCTATTGATTTTATTATCAAGCAAATGCAAATTTGCTACTAAGCATGTAACTAAACACAAAGGATATAAAACAAAACTTACTTGTCTGTATATATTTTTCTAATAATGCTCTTCTTTCCTCTAACTGTGAACTGGACAGGGGCAATAATTTTTTAGGGGGAAAGAAAGGAACTGAATCATTTCCGAATTCTTTTTTCAGTTGTTCGTGTAAGTTATGTAGCTGCTTATATCGCACTGTACAGTGGAAAACACCATTTATGTGGATGTTATAGCCCTACAAAATAATTAATTGGATAGTTCAATTTGTTATCAATACATAACAAATAAACATACGATATATGTTGACCCATTTCCTTCGTTTAATTCCTGTGTATCCGGGATAGAAAAATGCATTTTACTTGGCTAGTGCAGTAACAAGTATGATCAATATAAAATTCTATAATAAAACTTAACAAGCACCCAAACTATTAAAAAACATTACAAATAATAATAATTACTCCCATTTCCCAATCACTGATCAGTGGCAGGACAAAACATAAACACCATAAACACTGAAGAAGCTAGAATTCAATGTTATTCACGGGCAACACGATTGACTTATGTCATTGTCAAGCCGCCATTTTTGAGGATGCGTCATGAGCCACTTTCCAGTGCCTCATTTGTGTTACTCGGAGCTACCCACCACCTGTCAATATGTCAATACCGTTCCTGTCCTCTAGATCTAGAGTGTCATGCACCTGAGCTACTCATGCACCAACTTTTTATTCGGTGTTATGCGCTCCGAAATAGAGGGGATAACGAAAATGACAATGTGTCAATATTATTAGGACATGACATTTCACCATTTCAGTTTTTTGCACTTGTCATATTAAACCGATACCAGACGATGGAGGATGATAAAAAACTGAAAATGTATGACCCAGAGTCACAACGTACATTATAATAAAAAATGCAAACCTCTGATGTGTTGCGTCATCATTCTAAAAACATCATCAGGCATCAACTGAATAGTCTGACAATGTGACAATGCATCTGAAAATGAAGGCAAAATGTCAACGTCAAAGCAAGACAAAAAAAAGTTCGGGAGCGTCCACAGACTACTAAAGAATAGTATTAGTCTGTGGGAGCGTCACACTCCGGGTGCATACAACTCGGAATTCTAAAGCACTGAAAAGCGGCTATGGTTGCCAGATTATGCGTAAATGACAAGCAACATTGCCAGCTCTACGCATAAATCTGGGATTGTTACTTTTATCACAGAAATCTGGGAGATGTGTTACCAACATTTTGAGTTATTGACGAATAAGTGCTTTCTTGTCTGTTAAAATAACAACGTCAATAACTTACAATACTTAATAATCTGGAAAGGTTAAGAAAAAAGGCATACACTGAGAACCAAATTTGTCTGAAGGCTTGAGCTCAATGTGTACGAGAAAGAAGTGTGTATAAACACATATGTTAGAAAGAGACAGAAGCCGGCTGAATAGCGAAGCCCATCACTGTGTTGCCTAGCAACGCTGATGCGGCAATCTGCAATATGTTACACCATTCCCTTGAATTAACATGTATGTTGAAAATATGCGTTAGTTTATTCTCTACGCCCAAATAATATTTTTATTTTGGGCGTATACATATTTTTAAATTGTGTCGCATCTGTTTAGGATCGATTCCGGATCCACAAATTCTGCATCATTGGTTCGCCAGGCAAGGTTTCCACCTCCATGATCATAGATGAGCGATTTTTTTCAGTGTCCATCTAGCTCTCATTAGCGAGTGTCGTCCTGCTTCGAAATAGTTCGATTTTATCGCAATCGAAGACAGTAACCTATTGTAGAAGTATGTGCGAACATTTTTTGCTGTAACATTGGCGGTTCTCTCTCGTACACATTGAATTCAAGCCGTCAAGACAAATTTGGTTATCCCTGTATAAGGGATATGGGAAATCCAAGAAAAATCTCAGATTTTTGCCTTTGCCCATGTATGTAGGCCTTAGGGTTTACTTGGGGCGAAAAGAAGGGTACAAAGAATGATACTTTGTAACAAACAATTTTATTTGGTTTAAGTTCAATACATTATAGATAAATAAATGACAGATTAATATTGCACATGATTGAAAAAAAAAAATACCTAAGTCAAATGGACGTAAATTTGCGAACAATAAAAAGAAAGAGTGCAAATGATATAGCTAACATTAAGATAGGTTGCTACAATAAAAATTTTTATATATGTACATGATGTAGCTAGGTAATTCGTCCATTCAAAGATAAGGCGTATAACAGTTTCTTTTAAACATTTAATAACTAAATAAAAGTATCAACCTGACGCAAATCAATGGATAATTTCTGAATAACGTAGAAATAACAAACCTGTCAACCAAAGTGGATCTTCTATAGTTTGCCTCTTCATCTGAGACTTAAATGAGTGTACTGCGGCCAATTTCTAAAATTTGCAAACTACAACTCCATTTACAGATTTGAGTGTTACTAGTAATGAAAACAGTAAATACTGCTAGAATTCATACAAAAACATGGAACTGCAATATAATCAAGGATGGCTGATAACAATATTCACGTAACTGTGGAATCTGCTCAGAATCTTTTTTCCGTTAATATTAGTCGCAAGTTGACGAGTATCATCATCATCAAAAAACTGTGTATTGTCTTTTGGAGATACAAGTGTTTTTTCCAAACGTAAGGTCTCCTATTTTTTACAACTACAAAAATCACTCAACCACTAAAGCTCAAACGTTGGCATGCCGAGGAAGCGTTAAACCTCCATTTTTTACCTCGTCGTCAATACTGAATCAACAAGTCAAATGTTCTTTCAACCCAGGAAACAGTTGGTAGTCCCTGGGTGCCAAGTCCGAACCACAGGGTGGCCATGTGTTCATCAATTATGATATACGCCTAATAGGTGCGTAGAAATATCAAGGTTGGGAGCATATATATATATATATATATATATATATATATATATATATATATATATATGAAAATATTGAGATATACCCTACCCATTTTTTTAAAACGTCTGAAACGTCAAGAAATGAACTACTTTTTGGATTACCCTTGTATACCAGGTTTCCTAAACATCGAGCCAAATTTCAAGGGATAATTCTTTGGACTATTCTATGAAAAAATAATTCCTTTACTCAAATATAAAGAATATGTTATAGTTATTCTGAAAAAAAAAAACAATAAAATGCTTCCCATCAATTTTTGAAGATGGTCCCAAAAGTGTTCACTGACGACCAGAAATTGCGGCGAGTGGAAGTGTGCCAAGAAAATTTGAACATGTGTGAAAGTGACCCCCAATTTTTGAATAACGTAATCATAGGTGACGAGTCGTGGATCTTTGAGTATGATCCCGAGATAAAGAGGCAATCTTCCGAGTGGCACACGACGGCGTCTCCTCGCCCAAAAAAGGGAAGAATGAGCAAATCCAAAGTGAAAACGATGCTCATTGTCTTTTTTGACATCAAAGCATCGTCCACCATGAATTTGTTCCTCCTGGACAAACCGTCAACGCCAAGTTTTACGTAGAAGTGCTCAGGAGACTCAAACGAAGGGTCAGTCGGGTCCGACAAGACATCGCAGCCGACTGAAAGTTGCACCACGACAACGCCCCGGCTGACACCGCCTTTCTTGTGAACAGCTACCTGACCAAGGCCGGCATCCCAACGCTTCCGCAGCCGCCCTACAGCCCAGATGTGGCCCTCCCGGACTTTTTTGTTTCGCCTGAAAAGGCCGATGAAAGGCAAGCATATTCAATGCTTGGAAATCGCGCTGGCAGCGCTGCATCGACGCAGAAGGAGCCTATTCCTTTCCGGACAAACCCTGTATCTGTGAAATGAAGCTGCCTTTGGAAAATCATCGCAAAGGGTGAAATGGTCAAAAGGATTATCTCCGAATGTATGTCCCATGTTCAGAAAATACACTGTTATGCTACGTTCTTGTAATCTAGCCACTATAAGACCAATTGGTGGATTTTTTAAAACTATATTAACGAAAAACAAGATACCTGGCTAATAAACAGTATGCGATTTATTCAACCATCCATATTACAAGTCGAATTGAAATCTACTTCGTCTTGGAACTGAATGAAGCATAATAGTAGTGGTGCAGTGACATGGAAGCCTTTAAGAAAATGTCCAAAACGATTTTTAAGGATAACAAGAAGGCACCAAGCAGCGGTAATAGACTGTGTATTGTGTAAATGGCGCGTTACCCTGTGAATGTCCACGAACAGTCCAGTGAAATTATGGTTTGATATGGAAAAATGTCAGTAGCAAAAAATTGTTGGACCACCGTTATGGTCATTGAAATATTCCATCTCGCCTTTATATAGTACTTTTCAAAATATCCCACGTATTTTTTGAACGGGTTAAATTAGCAAGCTGAAATTCGGAGTGATGGAATTGATACTTTAACGTAAAAATAACAACAAAAATCACCCCGTGTTTCAGCTTGCTAATATCACCCATTGAAAAGATAAGAGGATTGGAGCCATATTCCGATTACAAAAGACTGCCCACTATCAGTAGCATTGAAACTGCTAACAACATTTTCCCAAAGTCAAACCTATTTTATAATTACAGTGAACGACATCTCATATCCTATCTCAAACTACAAATCTCTCAAATACATACTACTCTGCTCTCCAAAGCACAGTTTTCATTTTGGTCAAGATAGGTCTAGTATTTGTTCTTCAAACATTTCATATTTTCTCAACAATATTTATAAACTCCTCACATACCTATAGAAACAATAACATTCAATAAAAATTTATTGTTTCTTGCAAACATGTCCACAGTCAGTGCATATCACATTTAGGTTTCTATAAATTACATTTTATCTAGATCGTTAAACATTTATGAAATGATAATAGTTTGACACCATTTTTTTGTACGTTTTACGTTTTTTGTACATTGTTAATATACAAAATTTGTGAACTTTTGTACCAAATTCCTGATTCGTGGGGACAGCTCAATAAAATATTTTTTCTTATCAAAGATTACGATTACTGAGAGGTTATTTCGAAAAAAACAAACATTACATTATTTACAATTACAATATGGATAAAAATCAGTCATTCATTTTCCATCTCAAATGTTGACCCATCACAGTGACTCTCTATAATGTATAAAATCTTCAAACACGAACGACCATCTATATTCTAATAGCTTTAAGATTTTAAATTCGAAAAACCCCTTCTCACGTAGTAGTAGCGGTGGGAAGGCCACCTTTGACCTACCCCGTAGTATCGGGTATTTTGAATTTTTGCGAATCCAGTAACGTAAAAAACCTCACAGATAAATTAAAATTGGCGATGATTTTTTAATATCTACATTATTTACAGTTTTTGTAATGATTATATACATACGGATATTGAATCTTTGTGTTGCGGCGATTCATTTATATATGTTTAATAAGCACACGATGCGTTTCTTAAAGCAGTGGGCGTGCTGAAAGAACAACAAAGAACGATCAAGTACAACAGAGGTGAACATATAAGCGAACATATAACATCCATATGTGCCAGACTGATCAACAAGCATATAGTATAGCTCCAATACAGTTATATTTGTTTGTGATTTAGTGTAAAAACAAACATTTTCACAGAGTTGAGAACCAGAATAAAAGTAATTCCCGTTACGAATTGCCGGAGAGGTATTTTATCTAT